TGAACCTATGGAGAGGATTCTTTAAAAAAGGGGGGTCGGTCAGTTCAGTGCGGGATTTTCAGTGTCGGTCATTTTGGTGCCGGGTTTTCAGAGTTTGTTCCAGAAATGGAGCAAATTCTGGAACAAAACGTTTTTGGGGTTTGTTCCAGAAATGGAGCAAATTCTGGAACAAAAAAAAATGTGGGACGAATTGGGAAGTGACATTTTGTCAGGGACGAGTTGGGAAGTACGTTTGGGTCAGACTTGGATGTGGGGAAGAAAGGTGGGTCTTATAAGATAGGTGTTGACAGTAGAGTACCTTGTTGGACCCGGGGAGGGATTAGAGTACCATGTCGGGGCCCAGGGGACAGTAGAGTCCGCGCAGTTGAAGTTGAAGACGGCTGGCAGGAGCAGTTGAAGTTGTAGACGGCTGGCAGGAACAGTTGAAGTTGTAGACGGCTGGTAGGAGTCGTTGAAGTTGTAGACGGGCCGATGAAGTGCGGGAAGTTGGGGGGGGGGGGGGGGGGGTTCTAATCAAATCTAAGGTCTAAGTGCCCTACTGTCTACACCTATTGAATAAGAACCCGTGCCTTTGGATATAACTGGCAGGTATGAAAGCCTGAACCTATGGAGAGGATTCTTTAAAAAAGGGGGGTCGGTCAGTTCAGTGCGGGATTTTCAGTGTCGGTCATTTTGGTGCCGGGTTTTCAGAGTTTGTTCCAGAAATGGAGCAAATTCTGGAACAAAACGTTTTTGGGGTTTGTTCCAGAAATGGAGCAAATTCTGGAACAAAAAAAAATGTGGGACGAATTGGGAAGTGACATTTTGTCAGGGACGAGTTGGGAAGTACGTTTGGGTCAGACTTGGATGTGGGGAAGAAAGGTGGGTCTTATAAGATAGGTGTTGACAGTAGAGTACCTTGTTGGACCCGGGGAGGGATTAGAGTACCATGTCGGGGCCCAGGGGACAGTAGAGTCCGCGCAGTTGAAGTTGAAGACGGCTGGCAGGAGCAGTTGAAGTTGTAGACGGCTGGCAGGAACAGTTGAAGTTGTAGACGGCTGGTAGGAGTCGTTGAAGTTGTAGACGGGCCGATGAAGTGCGGGAAGTTGGGGGGGGGGGGGGGGGGGGGGGGGGTTCTAATCAAATCTAAGGTCTAAGTGCCCTACTGTCTACACCTATTGAATAAGAACCCGTGCCTTTGGATATAACTGGCAGGTATGAAAGCCTGAACCTATGGAGAGGATTCTTTAAAAAAGGGGGGTCGGTCAGTTCAGTGCGGGATTTTCAGTGTCGGTCATTTTGGTGCCGGGTTTTCAGAGTTTGTTCCAGAAATGGAGCAAATTCTGGAACAAAACGTTTTTGGGGTTTGTTCCAGAAATGGAGCAAATTCTGGAACAAAAAAAAATGTGGGACGAATTGGGAAGTGACATTTTGTCAGGGACGAGTTGGGAAGTACGTTTGGGTCAGACTTGGATGTGGGGAAGAAAGGTGGGTCTTATAAGATAGGTGTTGACAGTAGAGTACCTTGTTGGACCCGGGGAGGGATTAGAGTACCATGTCGGGGCCCAGGGGACAGTAGAGTCCGCGCAGTTGAAGTTGAAGACGGCTGGCAGGAGCAGTTGAAGTTGTAGACGGCTGGCAGGAACAGTTGAAGTTGTAGACGGCTGGTAGGAGTCGTTGAAGTTGTAGACGGGCCGATGAAGTGCGGGAAGTTGGGGGGGGGGGGGGGGGGGGGGTTCTAATCAAATCTAAGGTCTAAGTGCCCTACTGTCTACACCTATTGAATAAGAACCCGTGCCTTTGGATATAACTGGCAGGTATGAAAGCCTGAACCTATGGAGAGGATTCTTTAAAAAAGGGGGGTCGGTCAGTTCAGTGCGGGATTTTCAGTGTCGGTCATTTTGGTGCCGGGTTTTCAGAGTTTGTTCCAGAAATGGAGCAAATTCTGGAACAAAACGTTTTTGGGGTTTGTTCCAGAAATGGAGCAAATTCTGGAACAAAAAAAAATGTGGGACGAATTGGGAAGTGACATTTTGTCAGGGACGAGTTGGGAAGTACGTTTGGGTCAGACTTGGATGTGGGGAAGAAAGGTGGGTCTTATAAGATAGGTGTTGACAGTAGAGTACCTTGTTGGACCCGGGGAGGGATTAGAGTACCATGTCGGGGCCCAGGGGACAGTAGAGTCCGCGCAGTTGAAGTTGAAGACGGCTGGCAGGAGCAGTTGAAGTTGTAGACGGCTGGCAGGAACAGTTGAAGTTGTAGACGGCTGGTAGGAGTCGTTGAAGTTGTAGACGGGCCGATGAAGTGCGGGAAGTTGGGGGGGGGGGGGGGGGGGGGGTTCTAATCAAATCTAAGGTCTAAGTGCCCTACTGTCTACACCTATTGAATAAGAACCCGTGCCTTTGGATATAACTCGGAGGTATGAAAGCCTGAACCTATGGAGAGAATATTTTTTGAGAAGGGGGGTCGGTCAGTTCAGTGTAGGATTTTCAGTGCGGGTTATTTTCAGTGTGGGGCATTTTGGGAGTGACGTTTTGTCGGGGCCATTTTGGGGAGTGACGTTTTGTCCGGGGCGAATTGGGGAGTGACGTTTTGTCCGGGGCATTTTGGGGAGTGACGTTTTGTCCTGGGCATTTTAGGGAGTGACATTTTGTCCGGGGACGAATTGGGGAGTGACGTTTTGTCCAGGGCATGTTGGGGAGTGACATTTGGGTCAGACTTGGGATAGTTGGAAGACAGGGGTCTTATAAAATGGGTATAGACAGTAGAGCACCATCTTGGACCCGGGGGTTCATTGGAGTACCGTGTCGGGGCCCAGGGGACACTAGAGTCGGTGCAGGAGAAGTTGTAGACGTCTGGCAGGAGCAGTTGAAGTTGTAGACGGCTGGTAGGTGCAGTTGAAGTTGTAGAAGTCCGGCAGGAGCAGTTGAAGTTGTAGACGGCTGGCAGGAGCAGTTGAAGTTGTAGACGAGCCGTTGAAGTGCAGGAAGGGGGGGGGGGGTTCTAATCAAATCTAAGGTCTAAGTGCCCTACTGTCTACACCTATTGAATAAGAACCCGTGCCTTTGGATATAACTGGCAGGTATGAAAGCCTGAACCTATGGAGAGGATTCTTTAAAAAAGGGGGGTCGGTCAGTTCAGTGCGGGATTTTCAGTGTCGGTCATTTTGGTGCCGGGTTTTCAGAGTTTGTTCCAGAAATGGAGCAAATTCTGGAACAAAACGTTTTTGGGGTTTGTTCCAGAAATGGAGCAAATTCTGGAACAAAAAAAAATGTGGGACGAATTGGGAAGTGACATTTTGTCAGGGACGAGTTGGGAAGTACGTTTGGGTCAGACTTGGATGTGGGGAAGAAAGGTGGGTCTTATAAGATAGGTGTTGACAGTAGAGTACCTTGTTGGACCCGGGGAGGGATTAGAGTACCATGTCGGGGCCCAGGGGACAGTAGAGTCCGCGCAGTTGAAGTTGAAGACGGCTGGCAGGAGCAGTTGAAGTTGTAGACGGCTGGCAGGAACAGTTGAAGTTGTAGACGGCTGGTAGGAGTCGTTGAAGTTGTAGACGGGCCGATGAAGTGCGGGAAGTTGGGGGGGGGGGGGGGGGGGGGTTCTAATCAAATCTAAGGTCTAAGTGCCCTACTGTCTACACCTATTGAATAAGAACCCGTGCCTTTGGATATAACTCGGAGGTATGAAAGCCTGAACCTATGGAGAGAATATTTTTTGAGAAGGGGGGTCGGTCAGTTCAGTGTAGGATTTTCAGTGCGGGTTATTTTCAGTGTGGGGCATTTTGGGAGTGACGTTTTGTCGGGGCCATTTTGGGGAGTGACGTTTTGTCCGGGGCGAATTGGGGAGTGACGTTTTGTCCGGGGCATTTTGGGGAGTGACGTTTTGTCCTGGGCATTTTAGGGAGTGACATTTTGTCCGGGGACGAATTGGGGAGTGACGTTTTGTCCAGGGCATGTTGGGGAGTGACATTTGGGTCAGACTTGGGATAGTTGGAAGACAGGGGTCTTATAAAATGGGTATAGACAGTAGAGCACCATCTTGGACCCGGGGGTTCATTGGAGTACCGTGTCGGGGCCCAGGGGACACTAGAGTCGGTGCAGGAGAAGTTGTAGACGTCTGGCAGGAGCAGTTGAAGTTGTAGACGGCTGGTAGGTGCAGTTGAAGTTGTAGAAGTCCGGCAGGAGCAGTTGAAGTTGTAGACGGCTGGCAGGAGCAGTTGAAGTTGTAGACGAGCCGTTGAAGTGCAGGAAGGGGGGGGGGGGTTCTAATCAAATCTAAGGTCTAAGTGCCCTACTGTCTACACCTATTGAATAAGAACCCGTGCCTTTGGATATAACTCGGAGGTATGAAAGCCTGAACCTATGGAGAGTTTTTGCAGTTCGATTTTGGCGGCATTAGATGTATATACCTTGTGGAATCTATCTGGGTGTTTCATTATAAGGTCGTCTAGTTGGATCGGTTTTGGTGGAGTTTAGGAGTGTCTGAAGCTCTAGGAGCTTGGAAGAGTTGGGTGATGGGTAAACCCGGGAGGGGGGGGGCAAACCCAAACCCATTTTAACCAACAAAAAAAATTATGTGATAAAAAATACCACTTGTAAAGAAAAAGCCTTTTTGCTTTCTTCTAAACGAATCCGCAAAAATCCTTTTTTTACAAGTGGCTTAATTGTGCTTTTCCGTTTTTGTATCTAAGAATTCTGCCGATTTTGATATCATTTTTTGCTGAAAAAATAAAACAAAAAAATCGACGCAAACGGAAAAGCACTAAAAATAATAAAAACATATTTCATTAAAATATCATTTAGACCTTAAAATGTGGCTGAAGCAACTTTGCCACATTTTTTAAGCTTCTCTCATCCTTGTAAATCATCATCAATTTTCCGTCCAATGCTCATCAAGAACACATCTTTCAATAAAATTTTATCTTGTGTAGCTGTTGAAGTGGGAAGACATCTGCCGCTGTATATGTAACTGCATGTTGTTTAACAGCATCACTAAAGAATTTGATGATAATATCAAAGGCAGAAACAAAATAACCTCAATGTTGAAAACGAAATTGAATTGGAGCGCTTGAAGAAACGACAAAGTCTACTCTTCTTTTACTTTTCATTCTTGTGTTGCCGTATTTCAGAATTTCCTCTTGTTGCTCGATTAATCTTGATATACCTTCTTGAGTAGATGGCAAATATGGAGACCCAGTCTAAAAGAAACAAAGATCCTTTAAAAAGTACAAATAATTTTAAAACAATAAATTTAAAAAACCTGCATTACTAAATTTATTCACAACAATCCAAAAATTCTAATTTATATTTGGCAAGCACATTAGTTGGTGCTGAACTTTCATCAAAGAATTTTGTAAAGCATTGCAAAATTTGTAGATTAATGTCTTGGCTGCCACAAAGAATTAATCTCATATCCTCCGCAGTTAAATTAATTAATGCATCAGCTGGTAATACGTCAAAGACACCGCGACGCATTGCTTAAAAATTTAACAGAATTTAAAATCTTCCAAACAAATACCATCAAGGCTAGCTTTATTTCGTACAATAAGGCGATTCTCAATAAAAAGATATATTCCAAAACATTTTCATTATTTACAGAAATATCAGCACCACCAAGCCTCAATTCAAGCGTACCACCACCCTGAAAATAAAAATATAAAAAATTAATATTTAATAGTATGATAGAATCGTTGGCCATCGGTTAACCGAAATCGAAAACACGTGTTTTGGCGAATTAGCCAAAACCGAAAACTGGGGTTAATCATAACAAAATTGTAAAGCTTTGCAAAATTTCGGTCATAACCAAAAACCGAAAGTACAAACCAGGGATCCTGCCGATAAAAAATCGAAATTACCGATTTCGGGAAATCAGGATTCCCGAGAAAAATTAATTTCCCAATTTCGGGAATCGGTAATTCCCGTCAAAAATAAATTTTCCGATTTCGGGAATCGGGAATTCCCGCCCCAAAAAACGTCAGGCATTCCCGATTTCGGGAAATCGGGAATCAGGTAGGCAGGATCCCTGGTACAAACAGAAAGACAATAATCGATCGCCAACAACTTTATTATAAAAATTATAAAATTTTATTGTTCTTAAACCTCTTCAGTAGGCAAAGCAACAGCAAATGTCATTTCAAGTTGATTGAAAAATTCTTGAGATTGGTAACTTTCATCATTCTCATTGTAAATTGAACGTAAAGAATCAAAAGAGATGAATCAAAAAAGGCCAAATCATACCAAGTAATATTACATCCCAAAATATATTTAAGAACATAACGAGAAAGACTTAAAAGAAAAAAATTAAATTAAAAAATAATATTAAATAATACGGCAAAGGGAAAATTTCCATATGTTGAAGACATATTCCCATCAATCTTAAAACAAACAATCTTTAAAAAATTTCAAAAAAATTATTCAAACCTTCCCACATTGCGAAAAGCATTTAGACGTTGTGAACTACAATTTAAACCAGTAATTGGTGTATAAAATCCTCCAGAGGTTTTTGCTTCTGCTTTGTGGAAGAGAGGTGTTAGTGTCTGAATCAGTTGGAAGAACGAATGAACTAGTGCTGAGTGCAGGAATTGAAAGAGCCGGCATCAATGCAGCTTCATTACCAACAGCTGGTGTACTAGTGGCACTGGTAGTGCTACTTCGAAGAGTTCGACCTAAAAATTTCAAGAAAACAAATTATCATGAAACAGCATTTTTTAATTATATACCGCTAGCAGCAACAGAATCGTCAGCTTTAGGCATATTTGGCGTTGCAGGACCAACAGAAGCTGACTTCCCTGGAGTTTTTGTCTCTGATTATCAAGTGTCAAGTGCAGACAAATGCTTGACAGTTGTTAGGGCCTTTATGATAAGATTAAAAAATTAAAAAAAATCAAAATCAACCTCTGCAACAGCGGCATAAAAATAACGCGCAACTCCAGTACCTTCACCAGGTTCATCACGGAAAGTTACTCCTACCTTAAGAATTAATGTTAAAAAAATAAAACCGATAAATTAACTTTATGTAAAGCAAGGGGTAGGGTCCTTCCAGGGCCAGTTGCATTTGAGTAGCGTAGCTGCGCTTCAGTTCTTTAAAAAAAAAAGAGAAATGTTTTAAAAAAGCAAAAGAAAACTAACTTATCCATAATCGAAAAGAACCAATTCCACGTTGGATCTAAACATTCGTCAAAGGCATCCTACAAATTAAAAAACATATAAGAATATTCAAACCATAAAAAGGCAAACCTTAAAAACGCCAAAAATCTTTGGATCCAAATCAAAATGTTGGTGACTCCTTTTGACTTATTGCCTTGTTGTTCCCAATTTTCATAAAAAATAATTGCAAGAGTAATTCGTCGATCAATTTGACAATTGTCTAAAAATAAAAAAAAGTAAGAAAATCAGTAAAAAATTTAAAAGAAAAACAAACCGAAAAACAAGCAGATAATTGAGTACTGTATTACTTGTAGAAAAGTTACTACAATATTATCACCCAAATTGCTACAACAGTGTTATCCGCAGTGACAACTGATTGAGCAGCTAAAGGTAAGGAGGTTGCACCAGAACCTCCCAAAGTCAAGAATCATTAGCAGAAATTGAAGGTGTTGTTGAATTGGCCGTGCGGAACAAATCGGCACGGAATTCTTCGAAACGAGCACGTGTAATGTTGGTGTAGAAATCGATTCAATCAAAGAGCGAATCAATTTCAATGCTAAAATGGATTCAAGTTAAGGTCGAAAAACTCCTAAACAACCTCGCTTGAGTAGAGCTAGACAAAGTCCTCTTAGCGCGTTCACAAACAGTACGAAGACGACGGAGAGCACGAGGATTGGTGGCAAGATCCTTCTTGTGCTTACGATTGAATTCAGCACGAAATGGTTGACCTTTAAAAGACATTTGCAGTTAAAACCCCCTCAAAAAACTCCAAACCATTCGATTGTCAAAATCTTCGCCTCCAAGGTGAGTGTCTCCAGCAGTCGACTTGACCTCAAAAATTCCATCTTCAATCTTCAAAATAGACACGTCGAACGTTCCACCGCCCAAGTCATAAATCAAGACGTTGCGCTCGCCTTGGCCCTTCTTATCCAAACCATAAGCAATAGCCGCATCAGTAGGCTCGTTGATGATACGCAAAACATTAAGTTCAGAAATCGTTCCAGCATCCTTTGTGGCTTGGCGTTGACTTTCGTTAAAGTAGGCCGGCATGGTGATGACAGCATCCTTAACGGTTTGGCGCAAAAATGCTTCAGCCGTTTCAATTATTTTAGTCAAAGACCATTGCCGAAACTTCCTTAAAATCAAAAGTTAAGCTCAAACAAAGTAAAATCCAAATCAAACCTCATGGAAGAACGCCTTCATTTCACCTTTAACCTCCACTTGGTTTTTTGGACGAGCACCTTCTCCTTGGATAACCTTGAACGGCCAATGCTTCATGTCCGATTGAACAGCCGGATCGTCAAACTTGCGTCCAATCAAGCGTTTCGCGTCTGAAAATGATTTTTGACTTGTTTAAACGAACGCAAAAGAAAATACCAAAAACAGTGTAAAAAGACTGATTAAGGTTAATAAAGGAATAAGGGAACTAATCAACTAAAGTAGCGGTCTTGAATCTTATGTCACAGAGAAACCCAAAGAAGACAAACAGGCCTCCCGCGGACCCTGAAGTACCCGGTCTTGAATCTCCTTCACAGAGTCCAGAGAAGACAAATGAGTCATCACGGACCCTGAAGTACCCTGTCTTGAATCTTATCCCACAAAAAGAACCAGAGAAGACAAATGGGCCAATTACGGACCTTGAAGTACCCAGTCTTGAACCTTATCTAATAGAGAAACAAGAGAAGGCAAACGAGCCAATTACGGACCCTGAAGTACCCGGCCTTGAATCTTATCTCAAGGAAACCAGAGAAGACAAACGGGCCGTCCCCGGAACCTGAAGTAACACTGTCTTGAATCTTGTCAAAAGGCTACCCAGAGACAAACAGGGCAATCCCGGAAGCAATTATGGACCTTGGACAATACCAAACTTAAATCACAAACCTCATTAACCTCGACAACTCTCTTAACAATCTTTTGAGAATTAGCAGAGCCAAACAAAATGTTGAGTTGACCTCCCTCTAGATAAGGTTCCAGCGATTTTGAAATTTTTGTTCCATCTTTAGGCGAAACCAAGGCAAAGAGTTGTCTATTCAAATTAGTAAATCGACCAGATTTCAGTAAATAAAGGGCAAAATTGGTAGCAAATTGATTAGTTGAATTTAAAGTTGGAGTAATTAGAAGAGTAGTCATTAGAATAATTAAAGGTCGTTAATATTAAAATCTGAAAAAGTATTTAATTAAAAATGCGTAACATTAAAAATCAATCAAAATCTGTTGAAAAAGAAGGAAATACGCGTAAAATTAAAGTTAAATGATCTCGATCGGAGTTAAAAAACTGGGTCAAGGTAAACGAAGAAAAAGTTGATGAAGATGGATGTGTGTGAGACTCAAATGTACCTAATTTAAATGGGATGAATTGACATTAAACAGAATGCCAAAAATAAAATCGATAAAAACACGGCAGAGAGATCGATAATGAAAATCGATAATCACCCCTCTACCCTCTCTAAATTTTCCCCGTAAAATCCCCCACTTTTCCCATTGAACTTAAAAACCTCTAAAAACGGATTCCATCCATTGGAGCACTTGCTGCTTTGTCCATCATACCAAAAGTTGAGCTAAAACTTTCAAAAATTTCTTGAAAGAAAATTGAAAAAAAAACAAAGACAAACAGGACAAGGACAAAAAAACAAAAAAAATGAAAGAAAGTGTGGGGTCATTCGCTCGCGCATTTTTAGCAAGCAATTTTTTATTTAAAAAATTTGAAGATTTACCGGGCCAAGGATTGATGAGGAAGACCATGTAGACGAGAATGAGCATGTAGACGAGCCACCACAAGTGCATGGAGTAGAACGGACCTGGCTGAAAATCACCCCCTCCCATTATAAATTTTTTTTTATTTTTTAATAAAAAAACCACACCCCAACCATATTCCACCAACCACCAAGAGCAGGCAACAAGAGCATGAAGAGAGCCACCAACCACCAAAAGCATTTGAGAGCCACCAACCACCAAGAGCATGAAGAGCCACACCAAGAGCATGAAGAGCCACCAAACCACCACAAGCATAACTTTTTTAAAAAAATAAAAAAAAAATTTTTTAATAAAAAAAACAGGCCCCAGACCACCACCACCATGAAGACCATCAGCATATTCTCCAAAGGCCACCACATGAAGAACATACATAAAAATAAAAAAAATTTCATTTTTAAATTTAAAAAATTCAAATAAACTAGGAAAAAACCCACCGTTTGGTTGATCCCATCCAGCCAAGGCCACCACATACCACCATGTAGAGCACGGTCGAAGCAGCGCCTAACAAATTAAAAAATTTCAAACTCAAATTTAAAAAAAGATCAAATTTAACCGGCCAGCCATCCAGAGGAAGCATGTCCAGAAGTCGTGACTGGCCTTCAATTAAAAAAATTTAGATTTTTGAAAATTAAAAAAAAAATATTTTTTAGCAATTTTAAGCGCGCGCAGCGTTGGGGTCAACGAATAAACGAATAAAAAATAAAAAAGACAGATGAAATAATTAAAAAAATGAAAAAAAACAACATAAAAGCGTAATCTCCGGAGATTAACAAAAATCTGTGAAAATCCAGATTTCAGAAAAAAAGTGACGCCAAATAAATTTGAACTGAAAATTAACGCATTTCATTATGTTAATTTTCAAATTGGAAAATGTCAAAGTGTAAACTAGTTGATATTTGTCGATAACTCGAAAAATGAAGAAAATTCGAAATTTCAAAGCCCTTGGAATTTTGGAAAATTTTTAGTTTGGGAAACATTAAATAAATTTATCCTGAAGATATACTAATCAGGAATGCTTGGGAAACTTGGAAAAATCCCCAAAAGTTCCCACTCAGACTTGGAAAGTTCCCACTCTTGGAAAGTTCCCACTCAACTTTAGATTTCTATCTGAAAATCTAAATTGCGGAGATCATGGATAATCCACATGATCCATTATTTTTAAGAGACTTTGTCATCCGTCCATCTGCTTTTTTTGGATTTTTTTCTTGTTAATCCTTTTCTTCTCTAATTTATTTAAATATTTTTTTAATTAATTCTTTTTATATTTATTTATTTTACGTGTTAATTTGTTGTATGAAACAAAACAATTTATCTTAATTTACCTAACTTTTATTTTGTACATTATTTTTTCTAGATGATTTCAACATTTTTCTGGTATTATTTCTATTTTATTTTGTCCCTCTTCACGTCTGGAATGTTGCTGGTAATTTTGGGCAAGGATTGGGCCGTATGTTCAAATCTTTATTTAAAAGTCGTTACATGGATACAGGACAGAGTTTTAGAGGTTAATTTTATTTTAAATTCATTTCACGGTTAAAGTCAGGTTTAGTTAAAATGTAAAAATACTGGTACTTTTCGACTATGGTACTTTTCGACCTTTTCATGCTTTTAATTTTTCTTAAGAAATATAAAGAAATAGAAATGAAATTAGAAATTTAGCTTTATGGAATTAATCAATTGAAATCAACAAAAAATAGTGATACTGAAGAATCTGACAATCTAGACGACGTTTTTGATAAAAATTTGTTTGACACTGCTGACAGTACGAGCAATGATAGTGATTTGGAAATAATTCAACCTTTGGAATTGGCCAAAAACATTAATAATAAAGAAAAACAACAAACATTTTTGCCTCTAAAATTGTCTTTAAATCTTTGTGGAAATGGAATGCAGTCAATTGCTAGTGTTTGTTTTTTTTAGATCGTCTCATAAAATGTCGCTTTAGCAAAAATGGTTATAGATTTTTTTATAATTGTCCAAAAGCTTTGAAATTTTGTGGGGAATTCACTTATCTTTTTTCGATACAAATTTTTAAAAGGATCATAACTCCCTGAATACTTAACCAAAAATTAGCAAATTTTGAAAACTATTGGAAAACACTCTGGAAAATATAAAGTTAAAGTTTCAAAGCTTTTGAAGATTTACAAAAAATTCATTAACTATTTTTGTAAAGCGACATTTTTTATGAAACGACCTAGTACTAAAAATATTTTCTTAATTTTTTAAGGAAGATATTGGTATCAATTTTACCCTTTCTCCGGACTATCGTCATTATGAATTGGTTCCTATACAGAAAAGTCTCAAGTTGAGGTTGAAGTTACGTCGTCGTAGACGTTCATCGCTTACTGGCAGGCTTTTACCTCATCCACAAAAGAACATGGGAAGATCAGCTTCTGCAGAGGGAATTTCAACTGAAAAGCGAAAGAAACCTAAACGACAACCTGAATTTAGGCCTCGTTTTTTGCTCTTTGCTTCTTTTGTCTTTCGTTTTGGTGCTCTTTTTCCGGTTATTTTTTATTTTATTTTAATAATTATTTGATAATTTTAGACAAGACTTGCCCTATTAATTTGTTCCTTTATTTTTTTATTTGTTTGTTGTATAGTCAATTTATTCTGGCCTTTTTCACCTCTCACAAGAACTTACCTTGCTGTTATTTACTGTCGAATGTATACTCTTGGTTGTGGATTTATTATTAGATTTCATGGAACAGATAATCGACCAACGAGGCCAGGTTTTTTATTTTAATTATTTAAAACAAATCTGATTTTTTTATTTAATCTAGTCCTTAAGTTTTATTTGTAAATTGAAAGAATTGAAATATTTATTAAAAAAAATTTCCTCTCAGGTACTCATTCTCACATTCTCAAATTTCAATATTTCAAAGCTTATTTTCTCAGCCCTATAAAATTTTGGTTTTTTTTGCTTATGAAATTTTTCATTTTAGGTGTAATTTGCGCCAATCATTTATCGCCAAACGACGTCCATGTAATGTTTGCAGATATTCCTTTAAATAGAGATTACTTGTATTTGGTGACCGGACAAAAACATAGCGGTGTCATTGGAGCTTTGGAAAAGCTTATTGATAAAATGGTTAGATTTAAATTTCATTATGTATTTAATATTTTATTTTTAGTGTCCTTCGCTTTGGCTTGAACGTTCTGATCCTGAATCGAGACGACAATTTAGTGTTGATGTACTTAAAGCAGCTAGGGTAACTAAAAAAATTCTAATTCTGACCTAAAAAATTATTTTTTTGTACATTAAATAAAATAGGAGTCGACTAGATCCGGGACCTTAACGGGATTTAGTCAAAAATCACGGCTATCTAATTTGAGATTTCTAGAGATATTGATCTCGGTTTTCGTACGACCTTCGCAGTTCGTCTATGGATTAGTCTATCTTTAATTTTAATAAAATTCTTTTTGTACAGAAATCTGGACCAGTAATCCTCTTTCCAGAGGGATACTGCACAAATAATTCACAAGTTCTTCAGTTTAGAAAAGCTGTTTTTCAAAAGGATATAATTGTTTATCCAGTTGCAATTAAGTATATTTTTTTGTTTTAATTAAAGTTACTTTTTTTTTAATTTTTAGACAAGAATCTCGTTATGGTGATTCCTATTGGAAGGAAAATTATTTTTTTATGTATTTATTGAGAGTTTTAACCTCTTGGGCGATTGTCTATAATGTTCATTATTTAGGTTTTATTTTTGTTTTTTAAATAAAATTAGAATTTTTTAAGCTCCTCAAAAATGTCGCCCACAAGAATCGCCTATAGAATTTGCTGCTCGGATTCAGAGAATTATTGCTTCGCGAGTTGGTGTTAGGGCAGCGCCTAGTGATGGAGGAATTTGGTAATTTATAGGGAACAGGGATGTCACGGGTTGAGAAAAAACTGTCGAAATTTTCTTATAGAAAAAAGTCACGATTTCGGGTTTTGGATAACCCGTTACATCTCTGTTAGATATAAATTTTATATTTTTCAAAATTTTTATAGGTATAAAGAACTTGAAAGGTGGAAAGCAAAAGCAGAATGGCAAAGACGTTGTGCAACAGAATTGGGAAAATGTACAGATCAAGTGTCGCAAAATATTTCAATATGTTTGCATTTTTTAATAATTATTTTTTAAAATTAATATATTTCAGAATTGTCTATATAACATTCAAAAAGATGATTAAGAAAGTATTTTACATATATTTTAATAAACACTTGAATTCAAACAAAATTTATCTTATTGAATTTTTTTATTTTTTTGCTCATAATTTTCTTGTATAATACCAAATTTGTTCGGATAATTGTATATACCCGGAATATCAAGGTTTTCCGAAACCCGTTCTTTTTTCAGCCCTAAACTTGACTTCCTTTTCTTTTAATCCCTCTAACTGACCCGGCCCGAAACTCGGCCTTTTTTCAATAGCACCCTATCAGAAGAAAATTTTGATGACCCGGCCCGGAACCCGATTTTCCTCAACCCGTGACATCCCTTGTATATACAACACTAACAAAACAAAATATCAGGATTTTATTTCAAAGTTCTGTTAATTTTTTTCAAATTAAATGTCGATAAATTTTGAGAGAATTATTTTTGCTTTACTCTTTTTATCGGTGAAAATGGGCCGATAAGTAGGAAATATTTGTTTTTATCTATATAGTAAATCATTTTTTTCATTCTTTCTATAAAGAAATACATAATATGTATAATTTCTTATTTAATTTCCTTGATTTTTTGGACAAAACAAAATATCAGGATTTTATTATATCTATATAGTAAATTTGATGACCTTATATTTATTAATTTTTTTAAAATTATTGTTAAAATAAAATCAATCTTTTAACCAATTAAGCTGATAAATGGTTGGCCAAAATACCTAATTAAACCTGTTTCTTTTATGTCATAGAAATATATACATATTACTGCTTTGCGCAGCATCAAAATATTTCTTCACATTTACCAATCAAATTTTTTCAATTTCAGAAAATATTATTCTTGAACTTTTAAATTTTGGGTAATGCCTTCAGTTTTGAGCAGATTAAGAGGAAATTTGCGTGATGCTGCTCCGGCATTGTTAGGTACTGGCCTTGTTTTTGCAATAATTCATTTGTACAGAAGACATTATCAACTTGGGTAATTTTATTTAGAAAGAAATTTATTGATTTTTCAAATCGATTCGAATTTAGAATTATAAATTTCTGTTCGAAATTCAAATGAATTCGAATTTCGAAAAAAATTTTGTCGAATTTATCAAAATCTTAAAATAATCCAAATTTATTTTTCAGTAGATTCACTGCAATCAAAAGTTTTTCCGCTAGATCTGATTCAAAGAGTGAACGTGCTCATGTGGATTTTAATTTTATACGTCGACTCTTTCGTATTGTGCGTGTACTTATACCAAGTCCTTTTTGTTTTGAGGTTTATTTTTTAAAATTAGAAATTAATGTTGAAGGCGAACGGTTAATTCTTCCCTGAGGTGGCTCTAAAGCTTTTATTTTCTATTTGACCCACAACAGTGAAAGACCGGTCATGTCAACCCATCTTTATGTTTAAAAATAAAAGCTGATTTTTCCTTGTGTCATTTCAAAAGCGCATTCTTCTCTATTTGATCCGCCACAAGGAAAAATTAATCGGTCGTATCCAACTCTTATAAACAATTTTAAAAAGGTATTGCTTATGGCTTTAATTGCGCTTTCTCTTTTATTGCGTACATATGCAGATGTTTGGATGATACAAACGTCTACGGGTATTGAGGCGTCAATTATTGCTCGTAAGAGAGGAAATTTTATCAAATCAACAATGCATTATTTGATGTGTATGCCGTTAGTCTCTGTTGTTAATTCATTCCTTAGGGTTTTCTTTGATTATTAAATTCTAAATTTATCTTTTTAGTTCGCTTTGAGTGAATTGAAGCTGAGGTTTAGAGAACGTTTAACTCACAATTTCTACAAGCAATATTTGAATGAATTTACTTTTTATAAAATGGCAAATCTGGATAATAGAGTCTGTTTAACATTTTTTATAAAGTGTATTTTTTAAATTTTAGATTTCAAATGCTGATCAATTACTTACGCAAGATGTTGACCGTTTCTGTGGAGGTGTTGTAGATTTATACTCAAATTTGTCAAAGGTATATTTTTTTAATAAAGTGTTTTTATGGGGACAAAATGAAAACTCTGGGCCTCCATCGTTTAATGAATTTTAGAAAAAAATTCGAATTTAAATCATATCTTTACTACTAATTTTAAAAATGTAACTTAAAAGCATTTTTCAGCCATTAGTCGATGTTCTGCTTTACGTGTCCAGGATTGGGGATTCACTTGGTTGGCAAGCTCCTATTCGTCTCTTTTTCTATTTAATTGCTTCTGGACTTGTATTAACTTATTTAAGGAGACCGATTGTAAAAAGTTTATTTTTGAATTAATTTAATTTTTAAATATTAGGGAAGAATGACCGTCATGGAACAACAATTTGAGGGTGATTATCGTTCAATAAATTCTCGATTAATTGTTAATAGTGAAGAAATTGCCTTTTATAGAGTAAATTTTTAAATTAAATTTTTAGGGATTTTTACTAAAATTGTTCCCTTAAAAATTTTTTAGGGAAATGAAAGAGAACGTCGATCAATCATGAATTCCTTTCAAAAAATGATATCACATTTACGGTCGCTTATTCTTTTTCGATTCTCCATTTCATTTTTGGACAATATCGTTGCTAAATATGTTGCTACAGTTGTATGTTTTTTAAGAAAATTTGTTTTAATTTTTTAAAATTTATAGGTTGGTTGGTATACAATGTCTCGTCCATTTTTTAATCAGAATAATTCAAATTTGAAGCAAAAGAATAAAACTGAATTGATGCAGGTTATAAATTTTTTGGTTTTCCATTTTTTTATATTAAATCATGACAGAGCAGTTCAGTCCAGCCTCAGCTCAGTCCCAAGCCTATAACTCATGAAGGGATGGTATTTTTTCATATATTTGGTACCATTGGATAGAAAATTAAACCCTCTACAAGATTTCAAAAGATCAAACTTTTCAACTAATTGATTAAAAAGTTATAATCTAAAAACTTTTTCAAAAATGTGATTTTTCGGTACTTTGTCGATCAAAACTTTTTGTCATTTAGTCTAGAATATTGATTTTTGGTAGTGTGTTGTATTTAATTCTCTATTCCAATAGTAAAAAATTTCCGCCCCTTTATAAATTATAGGTTCCGGGACTGAACTAACTTTTGACATAAGTTATTCTATTTATAGGATTATTACAGTTCTGGCCGTATGATGTTTAAATTAGCAGAAGCTCTCGGACGCTTAGCTCTTGCTGGAAGAGAAATGACTCGTTTAGCTGGTTTTACTTCTCGCGTTGATATGTTATTAAATGTTTTGAATGATTTAGAAAACGGTTTTTTAAATTTTTATTTTGAGAAATTAAATAATTTTTTAAGGAAAATATCAACGTACAATGATTTTGGATATAAACAATACACATCAAACTCGTCAAGAAAATTCAGGAGAAATTAATGGAAAAATTACTAATGGATTATTACTTTCTGCTTCTTCCTCACTTTCTTCTCCTTCAACAGATGAAGATGATCTAGTTACTTTTCAGCCAGGCGCGGGCAAAATAGAAATTAGAGACAACTTAATTCGTTTTAAAAGGGTTCCATTGGTTTGTTTTTTTGTTTTAATTTCTCTTTATAAACATTTAACTTATTTAGGTCACTCCAAATGGAGATATTTTAATTAAATGTCTGGATTTTGAAGTCCCATCAGGCACTAATGTACTTGTTTGTGGACCAAATGGTTGTGGAAAGTCATCGTTATTTCGAATATTAGGAGAATTATGGCCTCTTTGGGGAGGAAAACTAATAAAACCTGAAAAAGGAAAACTTTTTTATGTCCCGCAGGTTTTTTTAAAATTTAAATACAAATGAAAATATTAATTAAAGCGCCCATACATGACCATTGGAACATTGCGTGATCAAGTGATTTATCCAGATAGGCCAGCGGATGCTAGACGGAAATCTTTCACTGATAGTGATTTAGAGGAACTGCTTGAGAATGTTCAACTTAAGTAAGGAAAATTACTCATTAAATGAAAAGTTTAATGAAAAGTTCAATGAAAAGTTTATTTGTTCAATGAAAAGCCTTATGAAAAAAGCCTTATAACTCTGGGTGTTTATAGCTTTCTATTACTATGTATTTTATGTTATTTCAGGCAGAACCGGGTAATTATCGTTATTTATTGGACGCATAAACTCTTCATTGGACGCATAAAGTTGCGAATGAACGCGTAATCGGGACAAGTCATTAAAATTTTGTATTTTTTAGATATATTTTGGAACGTGAAGGTGGTTGGGAAAGTCAACAGGATTGGATGGATGTATTGAGTGGAGGCGAAAAACAAAGGATAGCGGTAGGATATACAAAACTAAAAATTGCCTTACAATTTTCTAAATTTTTTAGATGTCTCGTCTCTTTTATCATAGACCCCAATTTGCTATTTTGGATGAATGCACAAGTGCTGTTTCGGCTGATGTAGAGGATAATATTTATAGACGTTGTCATGAATTGGGAATTACTCTATTTACTGTTTCTCATAGGAAATCGCTTTGGAAGTAAGTTTTTGATAATTCTATTGGAAAATTTATAAAAAAAATATTTGAGTATTGTGGTTAAGTTGGTAGTGTGTTTGACTTTTGGGGGTCATAATTTATAGGTTCGAATTTTATAAGGACAATGATTATAAAGGCATTTGTCTGAGCATTAATGACTGATTGCTCATTTACAAATCCATTCGTTGTATGAGTCCTTTAACAAATTTAAAAAAATTTCTACTTTTTTAAAATAAATTTTTAAGACACCATGACTATTCATTACATATGGATGGTAGAGGATTTTATGAATTCAAAAAAATTAATCATGAAGACCCCAACACGCAATTCGGCTCTTAAATATTAATTAGCTTCATTTTTTTGTCTTACATTAGTTTTTAAAATATTTATATATTTATTTTCAAAATTTTGCATTCTTTTCACACTTGCCTTTATTCTTCTAAACTGGTGTCTTATATTCTTTTATAAAATTAAAACAAATTTTTAGTTAAATTAATCCATTTGTGTTTTGAACACTTCATTAGCTGTACATTTCATTACATAATTTTGTTGAACAGAATGTGTGCCTTGTGGATTCGTAGCCACAACTCTGTAAATTCCTTGGTCTTGTTGGCCAGGATTCTTTGGGGAAAATGTCTTTATTAAAAGATAAATTATTCTGTTACCTTTATAACCATTGTACACGCATATTTTCCAACTTGTTTCTTTGTCTTAATTAAATATCTTTCTCCAGGCACCAATTCTTGGTCTTTAAATAACCATTTAATTGTTGGTTCTGGATTAGCATTACAAATACATTCAAAAAGAACAGATCTATTGGGGGATAAATAATACTCATTTTTTAAATAAAAATTAAAAAATTTCACCCATCTGGTTTATTAATAATTGAGGGTGCACGTTCAATAAATGGAGGGCAGACCATGTTTAAAATATAAATAGAAAGTTATAACTTTTAAAAGAAATTAAAAAAATCTCGATAATTTTTTACTGAAGAAAAACATACTCTCAATGAGAAAACAAAAAAGTAGAACTTTAAAAAGCAGCTGCTTGTTCACTTCTTAAATTACATTTGTTTAGTAAACAATATTTCTTTTTATTAAATTTGTAGGTGGTGGGGATGGGCCAAGAACATTTAACTTGCTATATTCTCTCAAATACTTTACCGTGTTCTCCAGCAAATTAAAAATAAGTCTAATTGTCTTCTAGTCCAATAGTCTTTTACTTAAATGACGTTTGTCTTAATGTCGCACTGTCCAATTGTCATACTGTCCAATTGTCGCATTGTCCACTTGTCCAAGTACGGCTTAACTTTTTGTTTCTCTCTTCGTTTATCACACCCACTAGCTAATTTTCATTTAAAATTTTTAGATTTTAATTTCCGTATTTCTAAAAATGACAAGCGGATTTGGTATTAGACCAAACAGTTCCATATCTCAGCTTGAAAATATTTTTGCAAATCCTTTTAAACAACAAAAGGCAGATTCTGAATGCAGCAACGCTATAGAGGTATAATACGTTTGTAAAATTATTAATTTCCAATTTTCAGGATGAATTTGTTTATACTCCCTCAGATATTGTAAAAATGTTGAATCAATTGTTGAATGAAAAACAGTTAAGGCCGTGGAAAGGTCTATTTGAGGAGAGGATTAAAGCTTCGTCCTTGCCGGTTTATAATTTTTTAATCCTTCAATTGGTTAAGTACTAGAGATCGGAAGCTTGAGTTTGGTGGTGGGCCTTAACCAGATTCTTTGACCTTGAGTCAACGAAAAATCAAGGTCTAGATCCAGACCGATCTCTATTAATCGGTAGTATCCTCCGTGTTTTTCATGTCATTTAAATATTTAAAATATTATTAAGGCCTTTGCCCTTCCTCCAATGGGACCAGAAGAACGAGCAATGATGACTTTGATGGAAAATTGCGCCGTTAAAGCAGTAATTACGAGCGTTCTTGGCGCCGCTATGGGTTTTGCTTTTGGACTTTTCACAGCTTCAATTGATCCAAGTTTTGCAGTGAGTAAAGATCCAAGTAAACCGGTTATTTTTAATTTAATAATTTAAAGTATCTTTAAAATTTATAGTTAACATTGCGCGAGACTTGGACTGAAATGCGTTCAAGAATGCGTAATTATTCACGTCAATTTGCCTCTATCGGATTAATGTTTTCTGGAACAGAATGTTTATTAGAAACTGTTAGGGCTAAAAGTGATTGGAAAAACGGGACATTTTCTGGTGCTATTGTTGGCGGATTATTAGGTTTTAGAGCAGGATTAAAACCCGCAATTTTGGGAGCTGCTGGTTTTTTCCATAAAATATTTCATATTTTTAAAATTTATTTTTCTAGGGTTCTCTGCTTTCTCAACAGCGATTGAATTTTACATGAGAAGATGATTAGTCGTTTTTTGTCTTTAATTTTTTGATAAAGTTTAATTTCAAATTTAGGAATTTTTGAGTTATAGTTGACATTGTCCTTTTAAATATTTAAATAATTTTTATTTGATTATTAATTTTTTAACTTTCAATATCTTCCTTTAAGATTTAGATGCATATTAATAGCGAGGAAGGTAATATTCCAGAAACGGACCCGTCTGTGGGGAACAACATTCACAACAATAATGGGCTTGTCGCTAGCGGTGATGGACGTTCTTGTAAAATTTGCTATGAAACTGAAGATGACTATAGCGGAACTCCTATAGAGAAGAATGATGGTAGATGGATGCATCCTTGCAAATGTAAATTTTTTGTTATTAAATTATTTTGTTTTGAATTCGTATGGGGTTATGTGTTGTTCCAATTTAGTGTGTGTGTCAACATCCGAACTTGTAAAATATAAAATGCAAAATCATTCCATCTCCCCTGTTTACCCAAGCAACCATCACTTGGAACAAATCACCTTTTTATTGAATAAAGGGATAATACATGTTTTGACCGTTATGTGACCTTTATTATGTGTCCGCCTTAATATGAGTTTTTAGTTATGTATTTATTACACCTTATTACAATTTTAGGTTCTGGAACTATGAAATGGGTTCATAGAATGTGTATGGAGAAATGGCTAGATCATGCGCCTTATCAACAGAAATATCAATGTACTATGTGCAAGTAATTTTTCTGTTAAAATTTTATTTCAAAAACTTTCAAAAAAAGATATCGTTATCAAACATGTTGGCGTATCAGGCCTTTAAGTAGATGGCGCTTTCCCGATTTCAATTTGTCTCTTTGGGATGGTTTTGAGATGTCATTAGATTTTTTGTGCACTTATTATACATTTTATCGGGTCAAGAGTCTTGTTCAGGTTTAGTATCTTTAAACTAGGATTTTTATTTACATGATAATTTTTAGGGAAAAGCAAAGTCATTGTTACGTTCTTGTTTAATCATTGGCGTTTGGAAAATATTTGTGGCAAGTAATCGCCGTCTGGGCTTCTACCGACAGCTCTTTGAAATTGCTATTCGAACTTTTTTGGAATCTACGGTGAAAAACGCAATTTAAATTGAAATTTTTTTGGATGATGAGGTTTTTATTATTTATTGTTTTTTTCTGGAAATTATTGGCTTTTAATCTCAAAAATCTAACCGCTCGTCAATTTCGATGGATTTTGATCAATTTTGATTTTGGTTTTTATCCAAAGGCTAAAATAACTGAAGAATAAAATTCTATTTTTCAATTTTTGAGATTAAATTTAAAATTCTTTTTTTCTGATTGCCGTTTCTAAATATCGCAATTTTTAAATAAATATTCTCCTGTATTTTGATGTTCTTTTATATTTATTTATTTTTTAAATATGTATATTTTAAAGTTAGAACGCTAATTTTCTAATCTATCTTTTAGATAAGAACCTTTTTTTAATTTAATTGTTATCAAAGATGTGGTCAGGAAATGATCGAGGAGGACTAGGACCAACAACTGGTGAACCAGTATTTGATTTATACAAAAATAACAGCAAATTGACTCCTGAACAAATGATTTGGTTAAACAGGTTTATTTTTAAAAGGATTTGAGATTTTAAAGAGTAGTGGCTGTTTGTTACAAAAATTTTTGAGTTGTTGATTCTACCTTTCCGAAATAGAAAATGGACTCACTAGTATTAAGAGTTCACCCCTGAATATTTACTGACTCTGAGAACCTAGACTTTCAAAGGGAATATCGAGGGACCCAGTTATGTATTTTAGAACCTATGTTGCGGTATTCTGTAAGTGCCTTAACTCTGGTGAAGAAGAGTCCCCTTCAATCACACCAAATCCATCGATATTTTCTTTTTGATTTCCCTTTCAAAAGATGTAGGTCTCTAGCGTCAATAGGCATTGGGAGTGTAAATCTTCAGTGTTGGCCCAAGTTTTAAATGTTCCCTTACAATTTTTAAAAATTTCAGCCGTCTTACACCACGAGAAAGGACTGAAATACAAAGTTTGGCTTCGAGTAGTCTTTACGAGGTTATTTAATTTTTAAATTTATTTAAATATAATTTTCAAACAGGTTAATCTATCGAGAGGATTACCTTGTGCATTTGCGACTATTGCAGGCCTTTTCTTGCTCAAAAAAAGGAGAATTGTTAATTGGAGTCCAATAACTAGTGGATTAATTTTTGGAACTGTAAGGAATTAAATATTTATTTATTAAAATTTTTTGAATTTTTGGTCCCCGTTATGGCTGCTATTATTGCTGATGGAATATTTATACGAAGTCATCCGTCTTCTCAACGTGTACGTGATAGGATTAATGATCTTTATGTTGAGGTATGGATTTTTGATTGATCAGTGACAAGGAACCTCCCTATATTTAACAATATGGAAAAATTAGTCTCACAAGGGAATCTCATTAACTGTTTGATTTTTCTCTTTAATAGGAGAAAAACCTCCTCAAAAAACAGCCGCTCCAAAGATATTATAAAACCCTTCGATCATTTTCGATTTGGAGTTCAGGGCCTAAAACTGGTAATAGGTTATCGACTCTTCTTTTCACGATGATGCAATAAAAATTAAAAAATTTTTCCTAACAGTTCGTGAGGTTCCCTTGTCAGATGTATGGGATGATATATTAACAAAATTATTTTTTCAAGCACTCCAGAAACGAAGCTACAGGTGGTAGACCGAAAGATCGTGGGCGTTTGACTTATGCTCAAATACGGGAAGCACATCGAAGTGGTCGGCCAATCGAATTGTTACAAGAGCATCCTTCTGAAGATAAATTGCTTGGAGAAGAAAGAAACCAAGACTTATTATATGGTGACAAAAAAGAGCAAACTTATGTCAAACCAAATATGCCTTCTTATTTTGGTTCAGGTTAAATTTACAAATATTCTTTAAAAATTATTTTTAAATTTTAATTAAGATGCTCCATCAGACAGTTATATGTCTGGTACACCACGAGGGTTAAACGAAGAAAGTGGAGACTATGGGGCAAGTAATGAACGTTGGAAATAATTCTTTTGGTATTTTAAAAATAAAATTGTTTTTGGGTACTTCGTTAATATCCCCCCGTCTCATTAATTTTTCCTCTATTTTCAATCATTTATTTTCTTCAAGCATTTTAGTTAAAAGGAAAGTTAGTCAACAAAAATTAGGAGGGAAAAACTAGATGCCAACGGTAAAAATCAACTTTGCGGCAAAGGAAATTTGACATTTCGAGGCAGAAAAAAATAAAAGGAAAAATTAATTTGAGACTTAGATTTTTTGATGGGGGGGGCATTAATGAAGTACCGTTTTAATGTTAGAAAAATACAATTAAATTTTATTTAAATAAAAATAAAATTTGTATAAAATGTTAGAGAAATCACATTTTTTGGGGTTATGGTGCAAAATAAATTATGTCTTGGGGGTATTTTCTTTGGGATATTTTTAGTATCATTTTAAATTTATTCAATCTCTACTTATAAGCACCTCTATTTAAATAGGTAACAATGGTTGAGCATTTGATACATTTTCTTGTTCATTGTTAATTGTAGTCACACCGTTTGAGTTGGGCAATGGAATTTGGTCATAAATGCTCAAAAGACGCCTTTTGTAAATAAAATAAACTTAGAATTTTCGTTTTTTATTACCATCTTTCGTATAGTCTTCTAACTGTTCGACCCTTTCTAGTATTTTCCAAATCTCTAGAAAAAAGTTTTTTAGGGATAAAAATATTTTGGACCTTCTATAGGTATAAATATTCCAAAGAATCCAAAAAATAGCCAAAATCGAATAAATAATTAATGCAAGAATAAAATAAGGCAAAAATTGAGACCAAAGTAAATTATCATCCAAAGGATAATCCATTTTCCTTGTGTTCTCACTTTCTACATCAAAAATTAAAAATCTTGCCATTAAGAATTGTGTTAAAAATTGTTGAAATTTGACTACTAAAAACTAATTTTTCGATCATTTTTACGAAATTTTTACTTTGTTTCCTCCATTTTTGAATAGCATTTTATTAAATTAAAAAAAATATTTTTTGAAAATTAAAAAAATGTTTGAGTGAATACATACATACACAAGCAAAAAAGACATTCATAAGGAGGAAAATGACTAAATTTTGTGAGGACCGAAAAAAGGAGGATGGGGTTGGTAGAATCATCCTTTTGAAAAAATATGAGTGAATAACACAAATATTTGTTAGTAAATTTAAGTTATATAGAGCTTGGAATTAAAAAATGAAATTTCACTAAAGTGGATGACAGCCCGCAACGGCAAAAAAGCTTTTCCTGGATATACGAGGTTGGAGGTTAAATCTGAAGGTTGTGGGTCAACCCTGACTCTTTAAAGGGAATAGTAAAAAGAATATCGAAGGATCTGGATGGATTAAGGGGACACATTAATCCCTTTTAAAAGTTCTATGTCTTCAGGGACAATAGTAGATCTTCAGGGTGGACTCCGGGAATTACTCCAAAAAATTAAAAAAGAAGAAAGAATCTAGTAATTTTCTTTAGAGAATTTATAAATTGGCTCATAATAATAGGACAAAAATAATAGTATATCTAATTTTTCTCCATATATGTATTCCTTGCGCATTACATAAACAACAATTTGTTTGTGTGGTTTTATAATAAGAGAAAAGCTGACTGTTGATTGATTGATCCTTTAAAAACAAACAAGCGATTACCTCTACATAAATATTTTGTTTGTTTCTTTTTTGAGTTGAAAGAAGAGCGAAAATATTTTTTTTATTTTCTTTAAAAAAATTGAATGAAAAATTTTATAAAAGTACATCTTCAAGTTAATCTTTAATTCCATATCTATTTATTTATTATTGTATCATTTAAGTTCAAAAATCAAGAATTCACACAAAGGGATAATACACATTGTTAAAAGTTCTGGCATTTTTGTTTTTATTGTCAGTTACCTAGACAACCTTTATTTATTTAACAATAACTTTAATTTTTAAGAGAAAATCAGCATTGTAATTTTATTAAGTTAAAGAATAATTTCCAACTTTTTTTCTTTAAAAGACTAGCTTTTAGTACATATATTTAGTCACATCAACTAGTGTTGAAATTAATTAAAGGAGTGGATTTATTTTTCATATCATTCAAAATCCATGGAATTTTGAACAAAAACACCTTTAAAAAATAGATGTCTTCTACTTTCATTTTGTTTTAGTAGAGAAAGAGTTTAGCAAAAGTTCTGCCACCGGGCGAGACCTGCGACCTCCTCGTAGTTATTGCTAGGGGCTTTCGCTCACCACATACAGGAGCTCTACCACTGAGCTACTACACATCGGGTTGACTTAGTTGACGGACAGGCTCTACCACTGAACTAACTACCGGGGCATCGACTAATGCTTTCTCTTATCCTTTAGGTCGTTTAACACCCACCTAAGCGTTTTAATTGCTCTAGGTAAATCATCCTTTTAACACTTTTTGTAAATTGCATGTAAATCAAGAAAGAATTTTTTTGTTAAGAGTATATTGATTTGTTTGGTGAATTAGTGTTTGTGAAACGTTGACGTTGAATTTTTATAAACGATTTTTATCGATAAAAATAGGCAATGCAATTATGGATTTACTTGTAAACCCACGTATTATGTATAAATAAATTTAATTTTTTTCTGAAATTTTCTTTCCCATAAAATTTTTTTTCTGTGATAATTTTTTTGTTAAATTAATGAATTGAAAGAAAAATTAATTTAATTAAATATTTATTAGATCAAAACAATTTTTTAATTTTTCCCCTTTTCTTCCCTTTATTTTATTTAACAACAACTACAATTCTTCATCACAAGAAAATATTTTTTTCCTAATGGATTTTGTTCGTCAATTGCTTTGTACTGGTATTAAAGACCAAGAATGTAATATTACTGAAGAAGAAATTCCTCGAGTTGGAGAATTTTTTGAAAGTAATTTTTTTCAAAATAAATTTTTTTTTAATTTTGTAATTTAAAGGCATTGAATTAATTTATTTAATGGCAATTTGTGTTGCTTCGATTATCACTATAATTGTTTTTATTTTGGGAATTCTTCATTGGATATTTGTTTTGAAATTTATTAGCAACGAACAGATACGGACTGATTTGTATTGGCTTGTTTTTATGGGACCGGTTAGTTTTTTTGAATTAATTTTTAAAATATTCTCACTAATAAGGGACAAAAAATGAGTGACATTTTGTCCCAAAATGTCGGAGCAGCTCAGTCCCGCCCATATAACTCATGAAGGAATGGTCATCTCTTCATATTTTTGGTATCGTTGGATAGCGGATTAAATGGGCTATTATATACCAAAAAATCAAAATTTTAGACTGGATGATAAAGAAGTTATAATCGATAAAGTTACGAAAAATCGCATGTTTTTTTAAAAACTAGTTTTTAGATCATAACTTTATTATCAATTAGTCGAGAGTTTTGATTTTTTGGTATATTTTAGCGCATTGAATTCTCTATCCAATGATACCAAGAACACTAGAAATTGATCATACTTTCATTAGTTATAGGTCCAGGACCTAGCTGAACTGTTACCATAGTGACATTTCATCCCAAATTTTAATTTTTTATTTTTTACTTTTTAAAAGGTTATTTCAACTTGTGGTACTATTGGTCTAGTTATTCCACGTGCTGCCATTTTTCTATATGCCATTGCCCTGGTTTACTTCATGATTTGTATTTTTGTGCTTGTTTGTCTAATGTTAACTGTAAGGATAAATTCAAATTTTTTTAATGAATTTTTTAGTTAAACGGTTCAAGACAAATTTTATGTGAGAAATTGATGGCAAAAGGTGTAAGAATATCGTTGAGAGTTTGCCCGCTTGGATGTTGCCTTTTTTGTCTTTCAAAAGTTGAACCAAATCAGTATTATTTTTAAATTAAAAGAATATAAATTTATTAAAAAATTTTAGGTTAAATTTTCGAAGAATGGAATGGCTTGTTTTTCAATCACCAATTGTGAGAATATTTCTTGAAGTTGTAAATATAATTGTTTTTATGGTAAGAGAAATATTTTAAATAAGAATAGTATAACAAATACAATATCCCCGTTGACCTCAGTTTAGTTTCGGCACATATAACTTATGAAGGGTCTGATAATCTTAATGTTCTTGATAATTGGATAGAGAATTAAATACGCTACAGTCTAACAAAAAATCAAAGTTCTCAACAGATTAATGAAAAAGTTATGATTTTAAAAACTAGCTGTTTCAAAAAATGTGTTTTTTCGGCACTTTATCGATCATAACTTTTTTATGAATCAGTTAAGAGTTTTGATTTTATGGTATCGAGTAGTATATTTAATTTGCTATACAATGGTATCAAGAACATGATGAAGTCACCATTTCTTCATGAGTTATAGTGTCGGGACTGAACTGAGGTGTGTCGTTAAAATTGGTCCTTAGAGTTTTTGCCATGTTTTGGCTTTGAGACTTAACTATTTAAGATTATTTTTAAAAAAAATATTTATTTTCATTTTTTTAAAAGGAAATCAATTCACGTGCAAATTTATTTACTCAAATTTCAAATGTTATTGGAATGATTTCGCTTTTTGTTGGTTCCTATGGTTCTTATATGATTATACCTGCTGGTTCTTCTTTACTTGGAGAATATCGGTTTATATTTTTTTGTTAAGAGGGACAAAATATTTTTTTAATTTTTAGTTTTCTTTTACTCTTTCGTTTGGTCGATCTTTCACAACTTGCTTGGTCTGTACAAAAAGTTTTATTTGAATTTTTGGCTTTTCCACGGCTACACATATTTTCAACAAAAAGTGTATTACCAGCATCTGCAAAAGCACAATGTAAATTAATTTTAAGAGATTAAATAATTTTTATACAAAGTCTTAAAAGTTGTCCAATTTTCCGTCATATCACCCAAACTCCGTTTCGAACAAAAAATATGTTATTTGAAAGAGCTTATCATGTTGAGTCAAATTGACATTAAGATTAAACTCAGGACTCAACTAGGGGTCGAGATACGGGCCCCGAAAATCGAAAACCCAGATCGGATTGGGAGATGGAGAGGAGGATTTTCAGGAGCAAGCGGATTTTAGGAGTGAAGACTTTGAATATGCATAATTGCTCGTCTGACTCCGCTTGGCGAGCTCTTTAAAATGATTATTTGTTTGAATTGGAGTTTGAGTGATATTACGGAATCTTTCCAAAAATTTTTTATGAATCCCTATTTATTTTTTCGTCATTTCTCAATTTTTTCCCCAGACAGTAAAATAATACTTTTTAAAATATAATTTTTTTAAAGTTTGTATTTCTTTTCTACTTTGCGTGGAAATGCTTATTGTTAGTTTATTGGCAACTTTTATGTTTCGTCCTTCACGCACCTGGTAATTTAATTATATATTTTTTTGTTTACGTTTTTCTTTCTTTTTTTCTCATTGAAATTATGCCTATGTGTGTGAAATTAATTATTTAATAGTTCCAAATAATTATTAAAAATAATTGTTACTTTGGGTGTTAAAATGAAAATTTTTATGATTATTTACGTCATAATTTTCAATGGGAACATGCCAAAGTACAACGATGCCAAAGTACCACCGGGCTATCCACGACGTCTGGGAGGGCGATTCAACTCATTAAGATGCATCGAACCATACCAGGGCGTCCCGGATTCTATAATTATGAACGAAGTTATAGCAGGCAGTCTCGAGTTAGGGTAATAACCCTTCTCCATGATTAAATTGATGAAAGAAAGAAAAAAGGAAACGAAATATTTAAATAACAAATTTTTAATTTTTTAAAAATTAATGCTTTTCAAAGGTTTTTTGACAAATTCCAACATCACAGTATAGGCAGAGGATGTCGTATAGGAGATAATAATGGAGCAACTATTAATGGTGATTTAAGATTTTTGGAAAATGGAATAGAAAGAAGAGAAAATACTTTACCAAGAATAAATTTTAATGAGAGTTTACGTCTTGAACAGGTTCTTTTTTAATTACTAGAAAAAGGGGAAGAGTAAAAGTTTACCACCGGGCAGCCAACCCCCTGGCAGTCATTGCCATGTACGTTCGCTCACCACAAGAGGGAAGCAAAATTTTAGCTACGAGCAGCCATTGCTCCTCAATCTCTTGGCATTTGTTGGCAGGCGCTTTTCGCTCACCACGTACAGGGGGTGCTCTACTGCTTGAGGGGGTTGCTTCCACGTTCTCTTTTTAACTCTTAAACCCCTGCCTAGTAAACGTTTTAACTTGCCAGATGGATCTTCTACTCTACCTTATAATTATAAAATAATTTTATTCTTTTAAAAGGTTCGATTAAATGGAAGTGGAAATACAATATCTACAGAAACTGAGGAAGAAAATAATGGAATTATACATAAAGAAGAAAGAAACAAAACAATTAGAAGGGTAGAAAGTTGTAATTAAAACATGTTTGGCGAAGTAAGTTTTTTTAATTAAAAGGTTTCAGTTAAACAATGAAAATTTAAAGATATTTTTTACGATCTCATTTAAAAGAAATATATTTTAAAAATATTATTCCATATTGTGAATTGTAACTGCCGTATTTTCTTTTCCCGTGGGTGATTATCCGGTCCGAATCCAGGTAAATTCTGCCGAACTCAAGAAATTACTACTTTTTGCCGGATTAAAACCCCAATCTCTGTCATGGGAAATTAATTTAAATTGGGGAATTATTCGGGGGGGGGGGGGTTAATCGAGAAAATACGGTTGAAAAAATAATTTTTTCGGCAAGTCTGCGGGTATTTTAACGTCTCATTTTACTTTTTTTTCATTTTATAAAAGTATTTCAATTTTTTTTAAAGTTTTCTTCTAATCTTTATTCCTAAATTTCAAATTTTCTTTTCCATTACATAAACCGCATGCCCATCTACATTCTCTATGCATATAAGTCTATTGGGTAATGGAATTTTAAATTATATTTAAAAATATTTCTAAAAAATTTACCGGATTTAAATTACATTCTCCTTTATTTACCCAAAATTTACAAGATTCTGGTTCTCTATCAAATATTTGACAATTTATTTCTAAAAAAAATTAAGAATTTAGGTTCCTAAAAAATATTATAACCTTTTAATGATGACAATAATTCATTATCTTTATTTCCCATTTCAGATTTTTTTGCCTGTAAACGAACAGGCTTTTCCTCCATTTTATTAAACGTTTCGCTATCAACCTTTTTAAAAAAAATAAAAAATACATATCTATTTATTTTTAAGAGTGTCAGAGCAAAACACCGTCCGACCAAAACACTGTCCAAATATCCAGAAATACCGTTGTCCACCTCACATTGAGTAAACAAATTTTAAAATAAAATTTTTAGGCAAGGGACTAATAGCCATTTTTTAGGCAATTTACTAATAGCCAAAGAGGGTCTAAATATATTAAGATAACATTATACCGACAAATCGAATTTTTTGTCTTTATAATTGGCGGTGTTTTTTACTAAAACATTCGGATGGTGTTTTAATCGGATGGTGTTTTGCCCCTCACCCATCTTTAGGAAAACGTTTTTTTAAAAACAAACCAACAATTGCCCAAATGGAAATATTTTTTCATTTGAATTAGTTTTTGGAATTTCTCCAATTTTTCGATTATTTTGTTGGTTAACAGCAGCAATTAAATGCTCAATACGAAAAAGGCCTAAGGCTATTTTTAATGCCATATTTTCTTGTACAAAATTTAACATGCATAAAGGGGGTACTAAAATAATTTTAAAATAATATTTTTAGGTAAGAATTACCAGAAAAACATTTGGGCCATTCTTTCTCAGATTGGGATGGCCTCTTTCCACAAGCCAAATGAGGAATGTCTAACGGATTTCCACATATTGTGGCACAATCAGACTTTATAGAATCAACTTCTTTTAAAAAGAAAGGTGTATCTTCTTCAAAATTCTGAATGGCACCTTTCAAAAAAATTTTTTCTGAAGTTTAATCAATAAGAAATTAACAAGGGGTCAACCCTGAAGCATATTGATTGGGATTAAGGTCGATAAGTACCCAGCTCTATCCCTTTCAATTACACCAGATCCATCGACACACCCTCTTAATTCCTCCAAATCCCTTGATATTCCCTTTCAAAGGTTGTAGGTCTTCAGCATTTAGGTTGTAAGTCTTCAGGAGTGGACTCATTAACATAATTTATTAAGAAAAATCAATCTCATTAATACTACTTTGAAAATTAATACAAATTCACTCTTACAAATATGCGAATTCTGTTCCATCCATTTATAAAAATTAGAAAATTGATGATTATCTAAGTTAATTATGTTAGAAACTGTTTGATCATCATCAGAAATAATTAGTCTAATTAAATCGTAGAAAAGGACAATTTGGGAGAGAAGGATCGCTGAACAAGGCATTGCCGAAAATAATTAATTTTCTAATAAAAATTCTAAAAAATGAAAAACAAAGCTAATAAATTAAACATTTCAACACCTATCAACACAATGATTAATTGTTCACAATAAAAAAAGTAAATAGGCCCGATTATCAAAGTCAAATAGAAAAAAATTAGTAATTAACTGACGATGGGTCCTTAGTCAAACTTTTTTTGTCCTTTGTTTTTTCTTAATGGTTAAAGCATAATATGTATTGTTTCACACAATTTCCCAGCTAGTATGGCGTAGAAAATTGTTTTAAATGTTCATGTGAAAAAAAGATGCGACAAATAAATTTTAAAAATGGGGCCATAAAGCCAAAAAATATTCTCATATAAATTTTTAAATTATTCCCTCAACTCCCCAATATTCCCAAAAGTTGAAATTTTCCCCAAAAAATTTTCTAAATAATTAATGAACCTTCAAAATGTCTTTACAATTTTTATTTAAACAAAATTTCAAAAAGACATTTTTAAATTGAAATCCATAAAATAAAAATTATCATATGCCTGGGTCATCCGCATTTTCTCAAGTCGTCATTTCTTATGCGGATACTAAAAAATAAAAGAATATATCTTTACAAAAAAAATTTAAAAAAATATACTTACGTCTCATGACTAAGTAGTAGAATGTTGTTGCGGTTGCACATTTTTGTTGTAAAAAATGCTATGCTTTGTATGCGCCTTCCGACCTCCCCCTCCTACATCACCAACACTCTGTCGTCCAACGCTTCCAGAAGCACTTCCAGCAGAATAACCACTAGTACGGACTGGAGGTGCATATCCACTTGCACTCATACCAGACTTATTGCCTTAAAAATAAAATTATTATGTTTAAAAGTAAGGGGAAGCGGGGAGTAAGAAAGCTTGTTTTTTCGCGGGAAGTAAGAAATAAAATATTAATTTTGTCACACCTCCCCGATTAAATAAATCATAAGTTAAAAATTGGAGCTAAAGATCTAATAATTACCTCCTACACCAACAAAATTTCCTTCATTTCCTCCGCCACTAGAATGGCGTTGATGACGTGCCATGTCGCCTCTTTGTCCAAAATTTTTATTATTATATCCGCCGCTACGAAAGTTCTGTTGTTGATGATAGTCACTTTTGCGATAATTGTTTTGAGGGACAAAAGGATTGCCATCACTACCATTTTTCAATGCAGGATGGAGCGATTGCTTCTCAAAAAGATTTGCAAATTCCGTCGACTCGTCGCGCTCGCGTTTAACTAAATTTTAAATATTAAAAATGTACAGAAAAATGAAAACAAACTTCTACTACAATAATTCCAAATATGTCCAACAATCCCGCACTCTTGACATGGAACTTGATTGTTTGGATTTTGAGTTGGTTGCATATAAGTCCGAACATCTTGAGACTGCTGATGTTGAAAAGGTCGATTGAACTTATTGTTGTTGTTGTTATAGAATGAACCACGAGAAGCATTCTGACCAACACCATTTTTGTTCGAAAAAGAGGGAGGACGATCTAAAGTAAATTTGAAAGTAAAAGCTGATGTCTTACACCTTTTTTATTTTCCAAAAATTATTCACACGAAAAAAGTCAATTCACAAGGATGGACTTTTTTCAGTCACTTTCCTCAATCCCACATTTTATATTCCCAATGACATTCTCAAATGAAAGGCATCGATAAAAGTGATTAAATCTTATTCAACAAGTTCACAGGGGTAGAAAAGTAAAAGTCTTACAAGACATTTTTTAAAAGTCTTTCATTGATGCCTCTTTCAAGAAAAATAAAAAAGGCGTAATAATCTTGATTTTTACCAATTTGAAAATATAAATTCAATAAAAACATACTCTGTGGTCTCTTCCGAGGATCATTTCCAACATTAATTTCCTCTGTCTTACTGAGAGGTGCAATATCAGATTCCTTTACTTGTTCACCTCTCGCATTGTTTGCAGGTGTTGGCGGAGTCAGACGCTGATTTTGAGGTGACGGGTTAGAAGAAAAAGCAGCGGATTGTCTCCCACTTTGACTTCCGTCGCGCTGCTGTTCACCACCAGTACCTTCAGAACCCGGAGCTTGAATGCTTAGTGGACGCTTTTCTAAAAATAAAACAAATTGAAAATATTTTTTGATTAAAAAAACCTTTCACACAAGTCTGCTGTTGAAATTGTGGAGATTGATGGTGCGGAGGAGCAGACTGCGGCGGGGGCTGCTGATGCAGATGCGGAGGTGGCATCTGCGGAATCGTTTGCTGCATTAATTGTTGGTGCAACAAAGACGGGGCTGTCGAAGTTTGATGAGATGGCATTGGCATCTGTTGAAATTGGCGATCAATAAGCGGTGGCAGCGTCTCAAAATTTGGTGGCGGAGCAGCAGAATTAGGCATCGCCGACGCAACCATAAACACAGGCTGCTGCTAAAAAATATTCAGAGAATATAGAACATATACAAAAAAATTTGAAAACAAACTCCAAAAGGTTGTTGTGGAATTCCGGCATTTACTGCATTAGGAGCTGGTTGTTGTTGCTGAGGCGGAAGATTACGCAACTGCTGATGGGTTGCAGGATTGTATCCATTAATATGAGCTCCATTAGCATTGGTGCTTGGACCGCCACCCCCTCCTCCACCATTAGAAAAAGTTCGAATATACTGCGTGGTAGAGCCAGTCGGAATTGCACCAGTTTGTGGTTGAAATGGCTGACCCTGCATTTTATTAGAATTAAGATAAAATTGATAAAGTAAACTAACATGGATAGAAAACGACTGTGGCGGCGGCTGGTAAGGATTGGTGCAAATAGAAGTTGGCGGAAGCATCGGTGGTGGAGTCTGTGGAACCAACATAAAACCCGGCATACCCTGAAAATAGAAATAAACTTGAATTGATGAATCAAAAATAAATTACTCCAACAAAAGGCTGCTGGCCTGCAGTTGACTGTTGTGGATGACGCATATGAGACATCTGCTGAGGCTGTTGCTGGTTTGTAAAAAATGGAGCAGTGTTCGTACGCAACATCCAAGCCTGCCCAGTAGGATGTATATTTGGATCAGTAGTATTTGCCAAAGTGAAATGAGTTTGCGGATGCTAAAATAACAATAATATAGAGCAAAACAGCAGATGGGATGTCTAATGGTTTTATTCCGAAATCGATCACAGAAAACAAACCGAGGTTAATACAAAAATCAATACCTGAAAAGGAATTCCTTCTTGTGGTTGATACACAAAAGGTTGAGGTTGCTGATGGGCCGCCTGAATTCCAGTTTGATTTTGATTTGTGTACATCAATGACTGTTGATGCATTGATGCTGTCGTAGGTGGCGTGCTTACTGCAGAAAAATGCGGTATCATTTCAAGTTTCTTTATTTACTTAAAAAGTCTACAAAATTTATTGAATGAATTATAAAATTGTCAAACCCAAATGAAAATTACAAGTGCAAAAGTAAAGGACAAAACTCAAAATTTATTCGATACGAAGGGCCACTAGAGGCCACGACTATAGAGCAGCCACTAGAGTACTAAAGAGTGATGCCATTAGAGAACGAGGTACTTAAGAGCGAGATCGCTAGAATGCCGTCTATATAATTAGGCGAAAAGGCAGAAGCAAAAGATCTGATCCAGTCTAATAAGCATGAAAAAATATTGTTGAACTTCTTGCGACCTCAAATTGAAATTCTCGCGACTATACTGAAACGTCCATTACACAGCAGTATCAGCCCGTTGACGCACGCACGAAAACTAGCTAACTCTTTTCCCTAAACACAACGCCAAAATTTAAATAAATGTCTATTTACTCTCCTTTTTTTATTGCATCTCTCGTGCGTCTGACTTAATTGGAAACAAGAGAAATGGTCAGAAGTAGAGCCCGGACGGAGGGCTCGGTCGATATTTTTTCGATAAATATCGAAAAATACCGAATATCGAAAAATATCGAAAAAACCAAAATTTTCTCGGTCGATATTTTTTCGATAAATATCGAAAAATATCGAAATCGAAAAATATCGAAAAAAAAGTCTCGATATTTTTCGATTTTTCAAAAATTTTTCTATAACCACTGAATAACAGGATAGAACTAATAGTTTAATAAGATTAAGATTGATTAAATGGGATATTGGTGGATTTGGACGGATTAAATGTAATATCAATGGACTTGTATTTGATATCGAAGGATCAAGTGGGATATAAGTGGATTTTAACTAGGGATAATGGATTTTAAGGAATTAAGGGGGATATTGAAGGACGAGTGTGTATCGATGGATTTAGAGGTATTAAGACTGTATTGTGGATTTATGAGATCATGAGGGATATCAAGTGATTTGTGGATTAAGAGAGATATCGGCGGATAAAGAGATATCAGAGGATAAAAAATCTTGGCATTTGATATCCGTTTTGATATCCATCTCTCCCAAAGTCCGTCTTGATCCTTGAGATCCATTTTATCCACTTAATCCTCTATTAGTTATACAAATAGTCGAATATCCCGGATATCCACAATATCCTCATGATCCTGGATATCTCAAATATCCCACCAAATCTTCTCATAACCCACTGAAATCTCCCTTAATCTACCGAAATTTTTTAAATTCATATCAGTGTTTTGTAGGGGTATCGAGGGAATATGATGACTTAATGGGACAAGATAGGATATTCTAACAATCTTATGAGAATCTCGGAAGGTCAAGTTGCAAAATTTTTTGCGCCGCGGCGAAAATTTTTTGAATTTCCGATGGGCAAGAAGCAAAAATGCATCCTTTTTGTGCCAAAAATTCATATTTTTGTCAAAAATGACGTTCGATATTTTTTTCGATTTTTTGTAATTTGGTCGGTCGATTGTTTCGATTTTTAAATTTTGTCGGTCGATATTTTTCGATAAATATCGAAAAAATATCGAATATCGAAAAATATCGAAAAAGTCAAAATTTTCTCGGTCGATATTTTTTCGATAAATATCGAAAAAAAATATCGAAAAATATCGATAAATATCGATAAAAAATCGAATCGGTCCGGGCTCTAGTCAGAAGGACATTTTCTCTCATTTACTAGAGGGATTAATTAAAATTTATATCTTTTGATCCTCAATGCCGAATTTTTTCAAATTTTGCATTTTTATAGGCCTATAATAGTTAAACAATCCTACAAAGTTTGAAAAGCCAATATGCATTTTTAACGAAGTTATGAGCTCTTCAAAATACGATTTTTTCGATTTTTAGGAGTCTGTATCTCGGCTCATGATTTTGATTGAGCCGTGATTTTGGTGTCATTCGACATATCTCGACGAGCTCTTTCGAATGACATATAATTTGAAAAATCGAATTTTTCGAGCTTGGTCCCCCCTTTTGTTTCTCGATTTTCAAAAGTCTGTATCTCAGCCCATAATAATGATCGGTACTTGATTTTGGTATCATCGAATCAGCTCACCGAGGTCTTTCGAATGATACATAATTTATCCAGATACGGGGATGGCTGCGCTAGTTTTGCATCAACTCTGTGAATTTTGCATTAAAATTTCTGAAATTTTTTTCAGAGAATCTTGACACAATTATCTATAAAATATATAGACAAATTTTAAATCATATAAGCGGTTTTCGAGATATGGGATTTTAAAGTTTTATTAAAATTTGTTTTCGCAGTCGCAAAAAAAGAGTGCATAAAAGAAAGAGAGACAGTTAGAGAACGAAAGAAAAGAGAAATAGAAAACTAAGTAGTTTTCGTGCGTGCGTCAACGGGCTGATACTGCTGTGCCGGGTACAGCCCATTACGGCGCGGGCCAAAACGGCGCGACCGAAACGGCGCGACCGAAACGACGCAGGCCGAAACGGCGCAAGGCCAAAACGGCGCACGGCCCAAAACGGCGCACGGCCCAAAACGGCGCAAACCCTAAACTGCACAGTGATAGTGATTAATCGTGTTATCATCATGTGTCAACTGTGAGAGTGATCAATTGATCTCTAGTGATCAACCTATTCGTGATCGATCTGACCTTGCTGATCGATCAAAAATCGATAACCACCCTTGCGTACTCTGATCCTTCAAATTATTAAAATTCTGCAATTCTGCAATTGTTCCAACAATGTGGAAGATCGTTCAAACGATGAGAAAAGTTGTTACAACAACGGTGAAGGCTGTTCCGACATCAACGACCAGAATAAAAATAACTAAAGTCTAGATGGTTACAGTTGTAATATGGGGATAACTATATAGTTCTAGGGGGAACTAACTAGTAATATATGTAGTTATAGGGGAAACTAACGAGTAAATATAGTTATATTGGAACTATCTGAATCCCGCAGTTATTTCTCGCAGTTATACTTACTAGTAAGTATACGATCTAAATAGTTTTGTTATCACTCTTAATTTTTGTTATCACTCTGTTATCACAAGATGTTGTCCAAATGCGACCTTTACATCTGCTATTTTTTGTTCACATCTCCAAAAGATACGATCACCATTCGAGCTAAACCTCACGTAACAATAGCTTATGGGAAATTTTTGCGCCGTTTTGGGCCGTGCGCCGTTTTGGCCTTGCGCCGTTTCGGCCTGCGTCGTTTCGGTCGCGCCGTTTCGGTCGCGCCGTTTTGGCCCGCGCCGTTTTGGGCGTGTCCCTGCTGTGCCATTACCATTAAAATTTTAAACAGAATGCTAATTTAAATTGACAGTAGTTTAAAAAGACAGTTCAGTCTGAATCGGATATTTGTTAAAATTTTCCGATTTATTTTGTTCATTTTGCTCTTATAAATAATTTTATATTTAGTGCTTATTGTTTGTTTAACAAAAATAAAAAAATGTCTGAACGTGCTGGATTTCAAGCTGGGTTTGGTGGCGCTCCACCGGTAGGTGCTGCAGCCGGAGGACGTGGTGTTCGTGGTGGAGCTCGTGGAAGAGGAGGGCCTCGTGGTCGAGGTGGACGTGGAGGGCGAGGGAAAGATGCCGAGAGAGAATGGCAACCAGTTACCAAGCTTGGACGTTTAGTTAAGGAGAAAAAAATAACGACGATTGAGGAAATTTATCTTCATTCTCTTCCAATCAAGGTATTGATTTTAATCGATTGTCAAGTCAGACATATTTAACAGGGATGTCACGGGTTTAAGGGAAAGTCGGGTTTCGGGTGGAGTCTTCAAAATGTTCTTCAGATCGGGTATCGGGCCGAAAAATGTCAGGGTTTTGGAAAATTTTCACATTGGGTATCGAATCGAAAAAAGTCCGGATAGCAGGTTTCGGGCAGCCCGTTTCATCCCTGATATTTAATCATGCGTATCTGATTTATAGGAATATGAGATAATCGATCTGTTGCTTGCTGATAAGAAACTTAAAGATGAGGTGCTTAAGATTATGCCAGTACAGAAGCAGACTCGAGCAGGTTTAATTTAAAATACCTTTAAAACTAACTGTAAAATTCAAGGTCAGCGTACTCGTTTCAAAGCTTTTGTTGCAATTGGAGATGGACAAGGACATGTTGGTTTGGGTGTTAAGTGTTCAAAGGTTTCCTGACTAAACGAATTATTAATAACATCATGTTTAGGAAGTAGCCACTGCTATTCGAGGTGCAATCATTGCTGCTAAACTGGCAATAATCCCTGTTCGTAGAGGCTATTGGGGAAACAAAATTGGCGATCCTCATACTGTTCCTTGCAAGGTTTGTCAGAGGATTTTTTATTAGAAAGGATTTTAAAAGCATTTTAGGTCACTGGAAAGTGTGCTTCTGTACTCGTTCGTCTTATTCCTGCTCCAAGAGGAACTGGCATAGTCGGGGCACCTGTTCCGAAAAAATTGTTGCAAATGGCGGGAATCGATGATTGCTACACCTCAGGTTTTATTTCAAGACTAAAAATCATTTTTTATAATTTTCTAGCTGTTGGCCAAACCGCAACCCTTGGAAACTTCGCTAAAGCTACCTACTATGCAATTCAACGCACATACTCTTATTTGACACCAGATCTGTGGAAAGAGAATACTTTGCCTAAAAATCCTCTTGATTGTAGTACTGGAACAACGGCTCCGTGAAACAAAATAAAATATTGAAAGGAAGATGAATTGAGTTTTAATTAAAAAATGTTTTGGGATTATTATGACTGTTATATTTGAGTATAAATTATGTTGTTATTAAAATGTTTGACTTTTTTTTAATTCCCTAAGTACGTACAGTTTCTTTTACGATTTATTAGGAAAGGACATAGGTTAGTGCTATTCATCTTTGAGATTTGTAATTCCATTAGAAACTAGAAAACCTCACACCAGTCAGTAATGCTTCGGTTTACTCCCCCTATTTCCTATTTCGCTGATCATTTCGAGCTCTTTTGCTTATCAAATCTCATTTGAACAAACTCATTGAGGATGGCTCGAATGATACCAAGATCGGTTAGATTTGATGATTCTGAACAAAACTAAGAAGCTTAATCCTCGATACACTGAAGGCTTCAAAAAATTAAAAAAATTCACTCAAGGCAATGAAAAATTAAATTTAAAATTAAACAAAAAATTTAACAAAAAAATCCAAAAGTATTTGAGTCACAATAATCCGACTAGTGACCGGCAAAATCGCGTTTGCGGGATCCCACGGGATTAATTTTTTTAAGTCTGCGGGACGGGACCCCGCGGGATAAATCCCGCACTCCCGCAAATCGAAAAAAGTGCAGGATTACGGGACGGGATCCCGTCCCGCGCCGGTCACTAAATCCGACTTCAAAATTTTAATTTTTACAGCTGTTCTAGCTCGATAATGGTTCGGGCCTTCAACAATTACGTAGAGAGCAATCATTTTTGTGGTTGTGTCCATCTTTAATTTTAATTTTTTAATCAAAATTTTAAGTAAAATTTACTAAGAAGAATTTGATAACAAAATAATTAATAATCCAATTTTTATTTGTCTATGATTTTCTGGACCCATACCGAACATTGAGGAAGTTGTTCCGAACATTGGGGAGTTTGCCGAACATTGGGCAACTTTCCCTAATGGCCGGCGCCAAAACGGCCGGACAGCTTTTGGGGATTCGTATTTCAAGATTTTGTATTTCAAGCTTTTGGAATCATAACATCACGCCCTTGTGGTGTGAAACAAATGTCCCCCCATTCCATCTCTCATAGTATTTTAAATTGACCTCTCGCTCCATCGATGGCATAGTGTAACTTCATGTTTATTAGTATGTAGTCCACCAGATTTGACATTATAACTTTTCGATTAATTTTAGCAATTTCATGACGTGAAAAGTTCGTTCCTTCAACTTCAACATGAAATTCAATTTTGTTTGTGCAAGATTCCATAATTAAAAATATTTAAGAACCAAGGAAAATTCAATATAAAATATCCAATTAGTAAAATAACAAATTAATATACTAACAATAAATATCCAGATAATATAGGTAATTCCAAAATAAATTCTAAAAAACAAAATTACAGGAAATATCACCGAAAATATCGTCATTTTTTCTTTGGCGAACCAAAGCAATTTGCTATTGTTTTTTGGCGAACCATAGCAAAATATAGATGCCACAATCTTTCGAGTTTGGTTGTTGAGGCACTTCTATATTCTCTTGCACTTTTGTAATGTTGAATAGCATAAGTTCCTATATTTTTTGCCATCATACTAGAGTGTTTTTGACAAAGAAATTCTAAATAGCAGTCGAGCACTTCACCACTGAGCCAGGATTTTGGTTCCAAAGTTGTCAGGCCACGAACGTCAACTTGCTCTCTTTTCCCTTCAATAAATAATTTTCTATTTTTCCAAAAAAAAGAATCTAGGGCGTAGCCGGAGGGGGCTAAAGCCCCCTCTCCTTAAATGGGAAAATAAAACCTCTAAAATTTTAAAATTTCTAAAATTCTAAAAATCTTCGGGGGAAGAAATCTGGCTTCTGAGCCCCAAAATTCAAAAAATTTTCGTATAATGTTACGCCCTTAAGAATTTAGATCTTATGTGCTTATGTCCACAACCCATAAATTTAATGGTTCTACTTGACTTTATGAGTCCAATCGAACTTTATGAGTCCAATCGAAGTTTATGAGTCCAATTGAACTTTATGAGTCCAAATAAAACTTTATGAGTCCAATCAAGATTTATGAGTCCAAACAAAACTTTATGAGTCCAATCAAAATTTATGAGTAAAGTTCGATTGGACTCATAAACATCGATTGGACTCATAAAGTTTGATTGGACTCATAAAGTCAAGTAGAACCCATTTAATTACCCTCTAATTATTTGAAACTCACTTTCACCCATCGGTCTAATTCTCCACTTTTCAATTCTTGATTCTCTTCAATTCTATTCCAGAAATTCAATTTTTTGCTCAATTCTTCTTTACTCATATATTCTTTACTTTCAAGTAACAATTCTCTGAAAAGTTGTTTAATTTTGGGGTTTAAAAATTTCCTTCTTTTGTTCTAATTTTGTAAACTTTTCAAAGTAGCGCAACTTAAATTTAAATTTTTTCATTTTTATTTAAAATTATTTAATTGGACCTCATTAGCTATTAATGTTCAAATAATTTTAGCACAAAAATTGATAAAATTTTTTTTGAAAAATCATGAAAAAAATCCGGTGTTTTACTCATCGGTCAGAAATTTCGTACTTGCAAAATTTAAGTTAGCAAATTTAGGGGACGATTCTGAAAATGTATGTTCTAATGAGGTCCGACTTAAAAATTTTAATTTTTACCGCCGTTTTTTTCAATTTTTTCCTCTGTTTTTAATTTTCTCTTCATCTACTTTTACTTTTTCTAATTTTACTTCTTTTACATTTTTTTCTTCTTTCAATTTTTCTTCCTTAAAATTTTCTTCCACTTTTTGGTTTAATTTCATAATTTGTTTTCTATTCAAATTTTTCAACATTTTTTAACGTTTCAAAATATTGCATCTTTAATTTAAATTATTATTTCACCTCTCATTCTTAAAAATATTAAAAATTTAAAAACTTTTTGCACTATTGAACGAATCCTGAAGCTTCATTTTCTTAAAAATAATTTGAATGGAGGATTAAGTTTAAAATTATACCGCTAATTCTTCGGAATTCCATTTCTTTTGCATCCACATCACCTAATGCTTCCATTTTCCATTCTTCTTTCTCTCTAAAAATATTTCTCATATTCAATTGTGCATAGATTTCGAAGATCATGTCTAATTGGGGGAGGGGAGACTTGACTTTTATTCAAAAACTTACAATACTCCTTCCATATATTTAATTTCTCAATACTAGTTCTTTTGTTCAGTGAATCAGTCAATATTAATTCTTTCTCGCCAATTTTTGCTGTTGCCAGCACCCAGTGGTTCCGTTTAGGTAGTGTTGGGACCATTCCGAGTAAATATTTTTGCTTCCTATTGCGAATGTTGGAATACGCTTCGCAAGATAAGTAGTTTTGGTGCATAAATATTGCAAGTAACTGTCCATGACATCTTCTGGTAACCATTGTCCGGTTTTTAGGGTAAGGAGGCCATCAATTGTGAGTGATTCTTCCCTTCTACCCATATCTTTATTCTAAAATCTTCGTTCTTTTCTTCTTTAAAATTAATTTTATTATATTCTAATATCATTTTGGCGAACCAAAGCGTGAAGACGCCGCAGTCATAACCGTTTGTCTGCTGCTGGACGTCGAAGTTCATCTTCATTTTCAAAAATCGGTTGTCAATAATTTTCAGCATTTCCTTTTTATTTTTTACCAAAATTTCTTCAATTGTCGTTCGTTGCCGTCGTCTTCTACATTTTTTTCTTCTGTAAATTTTTCCTCTTTTAAAATTTTCTTCCACGTTTGGTACACTTTCATAATTAATTTTCTCAATTTTTTAAACATCTCTCTCTTCTTTATTTTCAAATGGTTCATTCTTCATCACTTTTTTACAAAAACCCATTAAGGCTTTTTGTAAAAAATCGAAGTGTGACCAAACGTTTTTTTCTAGGTGTAAATCCACCATATGTAATTTTATCAGTTTCCTGCCATGTTCAGGTTAATTTCATCCTTATTTTCTTCTTTTTTATTTTGATCCAATTTGATTTTTTTCAGTGAAAATCATCATCGTCGTTTAATTGCAATATCTGAAAAATTGTGTTTTTATTTATTTATTTTTCCCCATTTTCCTTTTTTTGGAGCCAGATTTCTTGTATTTTCAGCGCCGCAGGCGAAAATTTTTTAAATTTCGAAGGCCGTAGACCAAAAAATTTACTTTTTTGCCCAAACCCTTCCTCAAATTTTTTCCTTTTCACCATTTCGGGAGGGGGGGGGGGCGTAAATCCACCATGTAATTTTATTAAATTAAACACCGTCTCAAATAAATTTAGCATTTCAAGTCCAGCCTTGTTCAGGTTCATTTAATCTTTATTTTTTTTATTTTGATCCAATTTAATTTTCTTCTTGCAAATCATCATCATCACTTAATTGTATTATCTGAAAATTTGATTTTATTTATTTTCTGTTTTTTCACATTTTCCTTTTTTGGATGTTTTTTAATTTTTCAGTTTCCTTATTATTTATTGTTTCAGTTTTTTAATGTTTTTTGCGTTTTTCAAAATTTTTTACATTTTTGTTCAATGTTTAAATATTAATTTTTTACCCTTTTTTCTATTTTCTTCATATATAAATTCGGTAGTGGCTCATTAGCTAATTTTTCCATCTTTTTTCAATTTTCTTGATTGGCATTGGCTCTGACTTTTCCATTATTTCTTAGCTTCTAAAATTGGCTTTGCTGTTTCCATTTTTTCTCTATTTTCACAATTGGCATCGGTGCGAAATCATCAAAATCTTGAACAACTATTTTAAAAATTTTAATTTCATTTTTTAAATTTTACATCGCGAGAAATGCGTTCAAGCCTTATTTTCTTCCACCCATCTATTTTTACATATGCTAGTTTAAAAAAATTTAATTTAAAAGTTAAATATATATGTTTTTTGGTCTTTTGTAGAATTTATTTTCACTCAGGAATTTATTTCCGATCAGATAGAAATTTGAAATAGCTTTCAATATTTTTTTGCTTCCTTTAATTTACCGGACATAACTCAAATATTTTCTACCTTGACCCACTCATTTTCAGTCCATGAATTTTTATTTTCAAGTAAAAGCTCCCAAAAATCGGCTTTAAAATAGCTTGAAGGCAATTTTTCTTCTCCGGGTGGCAGAATCGGCAAATTTTTATTTAACATTATTCGCTTGCGGTGTTTTTTCCGCATCGCTTTGATTCCTTAAAAATTAAATTTTGGTGATTTTTCTTCACTAACTTGAGATGACTGAGTCGATAATTTTGAAATAGTTTCCATGTTTTTATTAATTATGCCAATATTTTCATTTTCAATTTCGCCATTTTTTTCATTTTCAATCAATTTTTTCACTTTTAATTTAATTTTTTCATTTTCCATTTGAGGAATGGAAACGTTGCCCAATTTCTCCAGAATGAAACGTGACGTAACAAGGTTAATTTTTGCGGCCTATAAAAATTTTATAAGTGTTAAGTAAAGCTTATTGAAATTATTTGCTAAAAATTTTGTGGGTCTTAAAAAATTCCAAGTTGAAAAGGCTCGCCTGCAATATTTCAGCAACTTCAATAGATTTTATTTCTTGCATTTTATTTATTTGATTTTTTTCTTTTTCGATTAATTTTACTTCTGGATTTTCATTTTTTTCAATTAATTTTTCTTCTGGATTTTTATTTTTTTCAATCAATTTTACTTCTGTATTTTTATTTTTTTCAATTAATTTTCTTCTGGATTTTTATTTTTTTTTGTCTTTTGCTTTATCCGTCTCGTTTTCAATTTCTTTTATTTCTTCTTTTGTTTTAACAATTTCTATTATTTCAACTGAACTTGATGATTTTTCCTTAATTTTACGGTCTTCATTATTTGTATTTTTATCAGTTTTGCTTGTCTTTGTTGGGGTTTTAAAAATTTCAGTTGCATCTGAATCCATCAGTTCTTTATTTTTAAAATTTTTCCTCTTATTATTTTCCAAGAATTTTAGAATTTTATTTTCCGTTTTGTCAAAATAGCCCTTAATTTTTGAGTAGTTAAGGCATAAGATTTAAAGAATATATCTTTCTCTATAATCCAAATCTTTCTCTATAATCCAATAAACTATATATTTATTCTGTTTTTATTAAGTCCTGATAAACCTTTTTTCTATAATATTTTACCATTTCATGTTCAAATTTTGTTTTCTTTCCTTCTAATAAAAATTTAGCGAACAACAAAACATAGACGCCACAATCGTCCGAGTTTGGTTGTTGAGGCACAACTATTTTATCTTGCACCTTCCACTCTCCCTTAAATCCAACATTTTGCATTTACTTGTTCAAAAATGGCAAAGATCATGTCCCTTTATAAACGTATAATTTAAAATCTTTATTTTCTGTTTATACGTTATTCTTTTCATATTTTTTATTTAATTATTCTTTTGAATTATTGGTAATTCCAAGGCTGGCCCCCCTTTTTTCTGTTCGTCTGACCATTTTGACCTTTTTTGCTTGACATATAATTTACAATATATCATTCGAAAGAGCTATTCGAGCTGAGTAGAATGAGGTTCGATTTGGAGATTCTGAGCAGAATTATGAAGCTAAATCCTCGATGGACATGCTTTTTGTGATGTTGATAGGTATTAAAACAAATGGTCATAACTATGTTTATTTAAGTCGGATTTCGATGAATTTAGTACCGTTCAACTCAGCTTGAAGAGCTCATTCGAACGATATATAATTTGGCATAAAGAGTTTAAAAAATCGAAAAAAATAGAAAGAAAAAAAGGGGGCCAGCCTTTGAATTACCGAATTATTTATTCTTAACTTTCAAAACTTTTGTTTACTTATTATACATACAATTATTACAAGTTTTTCACACAGAAGTTTTTCTCGTTTTCCCTATCGTGAACTTAAGAACGTAAAAGCATAAAATAATCGGTAATACTTCGGTTTATGTCTCCTTTGTTTTCTTGCTTCTTTCAGCATTTAGATCTTTTTAATGATATACTATAATTTATTATATATTCGAAAGAGCTCTTCGAGCTCGGTAAACCTTTTATACTGTAGATTTTTTAGATTTCATTGATTTTAGTGCTGTTCGACTCAGTTCTAAGAGCTCTATCGAATGGTATTTAAGTAATTTGACATAGATAGAAAGCAAAAAAGGAGGAGAAAACCAAGTATTGCCAAGTATGCTAATATTGTATATTATTCATAACTTACAAAAATTCATTCATCAAATTTATTTTTTCAATACTTATACTTCCTCTGTTTAAGGAGTCGTATAATACAATTTCTTTTTTTCTATTGATGCTGCAATTAAAATCCAATGATCGTTGTGGATATTTAGTGCAGATAAGATCATTTTCACATTTGCTACCTTCCAATAGTATTTTTCCCATTCAGAACAGATTTCTTTCATTACTTTATATCTTTCTGTCGCATATGTCGGTTTTTTTCCGCTACGCTTTGTTTCCTTAAAAATTAAATTTTGGATTCGAAAATAATTTTTTTACTCAAATATTGGTCCGCAACTTTTTGTGCTTTCAAAATTCATGTGTGGTGATCCTCAGACTCAAATGACTTTAACTTAAATAAATAAATGACATTTTATCCCAATTTATGTTTTGTGCCCTTCCTTATTTAAGAAAATATTTTCTCCCCAAAATTGTTCATTCTATTAATTTTGTTCTTTGAGTGTCCGCCCCCCCCCCCTTTTTTTATTCGTTTAATTTATTGTTGGAATTGTATTGCCCCTTTTATTAAATAAATATTGAATTGGAATTTGTGTACTTGGACTTGAATTTAAAGAAGAGTAATTTAAATAGAAGGTTAAAGAGAAATCCTTATTATTTCTCACGCATGCCACAAATTTATTTTCTATGTTTAATATTTTTTATATTTAAACTCACTTCACACGAATCTTAACTGTAACATGTCGAAATTTCTCCAAAAAGTTTCTGGACAGTATCTTTTTTGTTTTCTGTAATATTTTTAATTCCTATTTGCTTCCATCTGTTGACACCAATATAACCTAGATTTAAAAGTTAAGGGTAATTTAAAATTAAAATTTAGAAAACTCACTTCACACGAATTTAGATAACTCACTTAACACTTTTTCTGTTTTTACTTCTTTCAATTCTTTTGCATCTTTCTTTAAATTTTTCTTCTTCCACTTGGTATAATTTCATAATAAATTTTTCAATTAATTCTTTCAATATTTTTTAACGTTTCTTTCTCTTCTTTAATTTCCAACTTTTTATTCGTCTTAATAACATTTTAAGTTAAATTTGTTTTCAAGAAAAATTTGGTTCAATTTTTTTGAAAGTAAAACAAGAAGTAGTGACGTCCGTTTTTCTGCAAAAATGATGGCCAGAATTATTACTTTATATGAATATGCCACAAAAATTTATAAATTAAGTAAAAATAAAAAATTGAAGTTTCTACTTTCATGGAAAATAAAGCAAAAATTAATGAATTATATAAATAAAAAATAAGAAATTGAAGTTATTAAACTGAATGAAAATAATGCAAAAATAAATGAAATATGTGAAAACTTACATCTTCACAAAATTTTTAATTTTAATTCATTGCATATGTAGGTATATTGTTTAGTTAGTCTGGCATGTTATTTTAAATAGTTGTTTGAGCTTATTTTTGACTGTTTAACAAATATTATACTTAGGACTTTGTTTTGGGTGGAAAATTAAATTTTCAATGAATTATACACAATGTAACAAAAAATCATAAATATTTGAATTGCAATAATATAATCTAATAATTATCACTTTATTTAATTTGTCCCATTTTCATTGTGAACTTTTTTTACTTCGTTCATCACTAATTTAAGCCTTAAAAATTTCAAATTAAAATTTTATTTTAACACAATTCTTACTTTTCTTGTATAGAATCAACGGCTTTCAGACGAGCATCAAATTCGTCGGCACTTTGAGGCCTCGATAATGAATTATAAAATTGATAATTGATTGCCTCTCGTGTTGGTAGTTCCATATTTAAAATATTAGCCAGACTGTGAGCAAATCCCCAAAACTTTAAAAATTAAGGAAATTTAAAAAATAAAAAAGGAAACTGAGAATAACACATGTTTCAAAATAAATAACAAGGGACCATAGCAAAATATAGTCAAAGAATTCGTGACGTAACACCACACAACATTGCGTAGAGCTAGATTGGTTTACTTTTGTCAACTATTTGATTTTTTAGCCCTGACCCCGAAATAAAAAAGTTATAGGACTTCAAATTCTTCGACTTTTGGAGGAAAGAAATTGCAATAGTAACCCAAGCTTGCTCTACGGCAATGGTAGTGCTACATCGAAAATTTCGGTACTATGCGTTTATATCCCCACAATTCCGCAAATGTTTGTCCGCACTTTTTTTTATTCTTTCTCCTCAAAAAGGATGAGAAACGGTCAAGTTAACCTCCATATTTTCTTCTCCTTCTTTCTCTCACACAGATTAAAATGTTCAAGTAAGAATAGAAAAAGACAAATATTCGCTTATAGAAAAATATAAAGGTAAAAATAAGAGAATGTTTAGAAATTATTTAGGTAATAGTTTGTTTGGTACCCAACCCCCCCCCCCCATTTTTCTGACCATTTTTTCATTTTTCCTTCCATTTCTCCATCAAGGCCCATTTCCGTTCTGCCTCACCCCCATAAATTAATGCTCAAAATGTCATAAGGTAATAAAAGGTGCTGAGTCTAACGGTACCACTCTTTTTTCCCGTAAATGCCTGTGGACCGAGATATATAGCTCAAAATGTTCAAAAATCATTGGTGGCGCAAGTATCGTAACTTGTATCGTAACTTTGTCCAATCTTGTTCAATCACGATGATTTTGGTGTCATTTGACTCATCTCGTCGAACTGCTTCAAATGAGTATTTGTTTGTACAAACTTCTGAATGTTCATAGGCCAGTATTTCGGTCAAATCAGAAAAATGGGAAGGGGGGGGTACCAAACAAACTATTACCTAAATAATTTCTAAACATTCTCTTATTTTTACCATTATATTTTTCTATAAGCGAATATTTGTTTTCCTCTATTCTTACTTGAACATTTTAAACGTTGTGAGAAAAGAAAGAAGGAGAAGAAAAAATGGTGGTTAACTTGACCGTTTCTCATCCTTTTTGAGGAGAAAGAATAAAAAAAAGTGCGGACAAACATTTGCGGAATTGTGGGGATATAAACGCATAGTACCAAAATTTCTTGGTTATAGTTCGTGATGGTCTCTTCTAAATATTATTAAAATTAACCTCAAAAGTTTTATAACGAGTAGCTTTTGATGGAATTAAAACTGAAGATTCCTTTTTATTATCTTGCTTTGTTTTATTTAAAATATTGTTTTCATCTTTTGTTTGGAATAGTATTTCTTTTTCAATTTTTTCAAATTCTTCTTGATCATTATGTTCGTCACTTTTATTTTCCAAGTCATCATTTTCTGACAATATTTTAGTAGAATCTCTCAAAAAAGTTGACTAAATTTAAAAAAATAAAAAAAACAATTATCATCATTTAATTTAGTAAAAACCTTATCAGATTCCAAAAGGGTTCCATTTTCATTTTCAAACATTTCGTTATGGTCATCACCATTTTCTAAATTGGATTTTTAATAAATAAAAAGAAGATTTGAAACTAGTAGAGTGTACGTGGGGAAGGAGGTCTATAAGTTAAAGTATATTGTTTCCTCTAAAGTAACTCCCACTAGAGCTCTTAAGCTTTTCCACTAAAAACAGACGACCCTTACCTGTATTTTTATTTGGGCTTTCTCTGGGTATTTCCATCATTTCATTCTCACCATTGGGAGTTTCTTCGACTGGTACTGACAAGTCTATTTGCGTAACTTCTTGATTTTCTATATCATCCTCATCAACTGTTTCTTCCATATTCCTCTCAGATTTTTTCTCTTCTTCCTCTAATGGTTCGGGTATTTTATCACCCCAAGGAAGTTCATCTTCGTTATCCTGATTCTCTTTTGCAACTTTAGCAGCTTCCACTAAGGCTCTTAATTCAAGAGCTGGCAAAGGTCTAGCGCCCAAAACTGATCGAACACGATAGGAAGGCGGCGGTGTATGTGGTGAATCTACATGTGCTTCTTGATGGGGGGAATGTTGCTGTGATGATTCATATTCTAAAAAATTGAACATTAATTTGATATTTTATATTTAAAGTAACCTTCTGAAGCACCAGATGCCAATTTAAATGATCCACGCGAACTTCGAGCACTTCTAGGGGTTCGAGGACTGATGAGAGGCTTTCGGGGGCTCCTTGGCGATTGTTGTTTTTTTTCTCCTCGAGGACTTCGTTGTCCTAGAGGTAAGTCGAACTCGTCGCTATTTCTTGTAGGAGATGATGAATCATTCGAAACAGGTAATAGAATAAGTGGAATAGAATTAGCACGCTCTTTTGAATCTTTTTGAATTATTCTATTTATTTTTTGTAGAGGATCTTATTTTTATTTAAATTAGAATTAAATAGATTTAAATAATAACCTGCTAAATTTTGTGGACCATTTAAACTTCTTTTCTCCAATTCTGCCTCTAATCTTTTAATTTTTTCGTTAGCTTCTTTTAATGATTCAGTCAATTCATGCTCTTTTTTCTGCCCTTCATCAGCCCAATTTTTTCTTTCAAATATAAGAACTTCGAGTAAAGGCATTAACGAAGGAGGTAACCAATGCCTTGGAAGACCCTGCTCTCTAAATCTAAATTTTTTAACAAATTTGTCAGAACCTAACAAATCTTTTACCTATTCTGTAAATCTCTAATTTTATAAATCATTAAATTCCAATCTGGATGCAATTGAAGTTGATCTCCAAATTCTCTACTCCATTGTGAAAACACAGTGCAAGCACTAGAATTATAAAATATTTATTAAAATTTATTTTCAATTTTTAACCGTGCAGATTCTTTAGCAATAAGAGCACTTTCCCTCAATGTTCCCAAAAAGGAGTCAACAGCTTTTGAAATTGGATAAATCTTTTCCTTGAGAAAACGATCAAGTTGAATATACAATTCTTCTTTTTCTGTAGATTCTAATTTTAATGATTCAAACAAAACGGAACATTTACTATTAATCTTTTAAAAAATAAATTAATAAAAACTTTAAAAATTAAAAAAACCTCCATTAATCGAAAACTAAAAGGTTCGTGCAATATTTTATTTATTTCTGCAAATATATCAGAATAGTCTCGTACAGACATATTTACAAGTCTAAAAATATTTAAAAAATTTTTAAATTTATAAATAACTATTTCCAACCTTCTATTTAAAATTTCCATTTCTTCATTACAAACTTTAAAAAAAGTTTCAAACACAATTTCATTTACGGAAGAAAAAACTTTTTTCTTTCCTTTCTTTTTGTTATTAGCAAAATCGTTTTTGAGTAATTCTTCTCTAAGCCTTTCATTTTCTTCATGTGCTCTAGCTAATGCCTCCTTTAAAAAATAAATTTAAACTAATTAAAAAGCCACTCATGTCAGTCAATTTTTTGTCAGAATCGGGATATATGAAAAGGTACGGGACAGAGAACTGGCAATGAACCGATTCTGATGCCATTCGACGCATGTCAGTCTTATGTATCTTTTACTAACTGACCATTTTGTAGATCTAAAACAAATTGACTGATGTGAGAGGAAATGATTTCTTGAGAGGGAATCAAACTGATGGAGGGGGTACCTAGTAAATTACTTAAATAAATACTTGAAATGAATTTTCTGAATCCTCAAATCGATTATTTTTAATTGTATTATTTTCTGAATTTATTTCTTCCTCTTCTTCATCATCAATTGTATTTTTGATATTTTCTTGATTTAATGCTTCTTTTATTAAATTCTTCTGTAGTATTTCATTTTCTTGTTTTTCAGATTGATTCTGAGTCTTAAATTTTTAATTCGAATCAAAAATAAAATAAAAACCTCTCGTAAATTCTGTTCTACTTTTCGTTTATTTTCTCTTTCTGGTGTTGCTTCAATGACTTTCCTGTCAGTATCTATCAAAAAAATTTTTTTGTTAATTAACTTATAAATTCCTTTTTACCATTTTCACCTTCTGTACTGTTACTATTTCTGCTATTAATTGAAATTATTCTTGAAGTAGATGCACTACGGCGTAATGTTGTTGTCTATAATTATTCCAGTATTAAAAATTCAGTCCGGCATAGTCCCGAGCCCTATTACTTACTTTTTTATAAACAAGTAGAGAATTTTGATTTTTTGGTAGCTTGTAGTTTATTTAATTCTCTATCCAATGGTACCAAGAACATGAAAAAGTGACCATCCCTTCATGAGTTATAGGGTCGGGACCGAACTGCTCCGTGAATATTTTTCAAAAAAAATTCTATAATTTATTACCCCATTTTGTATTTGTTTGTTTTTATTTAACTTTTGTTGTTGTTGTAGCTGGCATAGCCTAACGTTGCTTTGAACAGGACGAGCAAATCTATCAACATACGGTTTTGGTTGAATATGTTTCTGAGAAATTAATTTTCAATGAATTAAAATTAAAAAATAACCCCAACAATTGGCAACGAAAAATGGTTTTGGTCTGCCAAAGTTTTTTTCTTTTCAGAAGAATACCCAATGCTGCTACTAGAACGCTATAAAATAAATTTTTTCAAATCAAAAAATTCTTTTAGAAATTTAAAATTTCAAACTTTGCATTTTTGCCTTTTCTCTCCTCCCTTATCGCTTATTTTTGGCATTGTAAAAGTATATTCAACAGATTCAGGCCCATTTCCAAAGCGAAGTTTGTCTAGAGGCCTTAATTCAATTAAAGAACCTTAAAAGATTTTTTTTAAATAATTTTATCAAAAATCCTTAACCATCATAAAGGATTTTTTCACCATTTACAGCCTCTTCTATTTTATTTTCATTTTCCGGTGAGTTTCTTTTATGTTCTCCTTGTTCTTCGTTAAAGGACGGAATTAATTGACGAAGCCAGAAGGAAGACGTCTTTTGTGAATATTCTATTACTGCATGTTTTGGCCTGACTCCTGAACACTAAAAAATAAACTATTTTTAAAAATAAAAATTAATTTTTTTGGAGATGAGAATATGCAGGTCCAGAAATTTTCGGTTCGGATTCCCAGAATCCGCCAACCGTAGGCAATTGAGTAATGGGACAATTGAGCAGTCAGACAATTGGACAGTGAGACAATTAGGATCATTATAGTTGAAAAATATATTTGTTTATTTTATTTTAGTTTAAAAAATATTTTTAACAACACCTTTATCACAATATCACAATCAGGATCAGATCCTATCAAAGTATTTTGTAATAAAAGAATATTTTCATCAACTTTTTTATTATTAGAGTTTCCTCGTCGTAACATTTGCTTTAATTAATTTTTAAAAATTTCAAAATCTATCAATTAAGGAGAGAATTATACTATTCAAGAATAAAAATAAATATCCTCATTTTCACACTTTTATAGCGGCATGGAAAAAAGGAATTTATAAAAAATAAAAAAAAATACTAAATTAGTGGAGATGTTTTGTGGGAGTCAAGGAAACCATATATCTTAATAAACAGGTGTAATCTATCCAAATCTAATGACCATTTATTATATAAGGATATAAAAAAGATAATACCAATAAAAGTCTGATTTTACTTTTGGTCAGTTAAAATTTGAAAAAAAGTAATAAAAGTACAAATGGAGAAAATAATTTTTGAAAAACTATACATAGTTGTTGACCAAAGTTTACTGGAAGAAAGATGAATAGCTTTATAGTAAAATGATCGAATATTGAGGTCCGGTAAGGTGAGGAAACTGTAAAACATAATTGCTATTTAATTCATAATGCTGTGCAGGAGGCTGTGTGATGGATAAACATCAGTCCGGTCAATTGAAGATGCTTGTTCGCTCCCAGAACGATTAACCTTATGCACTAGCTGTAGGGGAAATTAATGCTTGCTTTGCTTTACTAAACTTTCTAAAAATAAAATAATAAAATATTTCTGAATTAGAAATTATTTAAAATCCCTCCAAATATGAAGGATTTTTACCAAAATTATTGAAAGAATATACCTAATTTATTTATTTTGGATTTGTTTTAGCAGAGGATATTTAATTAAATTTATTTTAGGCAAAAAAGTAAAAGAAAAAGAAAAGTCCAAAACTATCGGATTTTTTGTTATTTTAAAGTAATTAATTTTATAAAAAAATTTGTTAAAAAATGCAACATTTCCTTTCAAAATAATGCATATAAACTTAAATAATTTAAATAATTTTTTAAAAATTTTTAAATAAATTTGAAATTTAATTTAAATAAATGTCTGTTTAAAATCTTCGGTACTACTGATTGCAATGCGAATAAATACCGAAAAAGGTACTCTTGTGTTATATGCCCCCATTTTTATAGCTCCATTTCCTATTTTACAAATTGTGATTACATTTCCGGAATTTGATAAAAACTTTTCCGGAATTTAATAAAATATATTACAAATTGTAAATACATTTCCGGAATTTGATAAAAACTTTTCCGGAATTTAATAAAATATTTTACAAATTATAAAAACTTTTCCGGAATTTAATAAAATATTTTACAAATTGTAAAAACTTTTCCGGAATTTAATAAAATATTTTACAAATTATAAAAACTTTTCCGGAATTTAATAAAATATTTTACAAATTATAAAACTTTTCCGGAATTTAATAAAATATTTTACAAATTGTAAAAACTTTTCCGGAATTTAATAAAATATTTTACAAATTATAAAAACTTTTCCGGAATTTAATAAAATATTTTACAAATTATAAAAACTTTTCCGGAATTTAATAAAATATTTTACAAATTATAAAAACTTTTCCGGAATTTAATAAAATATTTTACAAATTATAAAAACTTTTCGGAATTTAATAAAATATTTTCAAATTATAAAAACTTTTCCGGAATTTAATAAAATATATTACAAATTGTAAAAACCTTTCCGGAATTAAATACAAATTGTAAAAACTTTTCCGGAATTTAATAGTATATTTTACAAATTGTAAAAGCTTTTCCAGAATTTAATAAAATATTTTACAAATTGTAAAAGCTTTTCCGGAATCTAATAGTATATTTTATAAATTGTAAAAGCTTTTCCAGAATTTAATAAAATATTTTACAAATTGTAAAAGCTTTTCCGGAATCTAATAGTATATTTTATAAATTGTAAAAACTTTTCCGGACCATTTACGGTACGACACGTAATGCCGAGTTTTTCTAGTTTTTCTGTACCGCATTCCATTATATTCTTCAGATTATTCCAGAAAATTCGCTGCACACGTACATACAAAAATACAGCTTTATCCCCAGCTTTATCCACTTTCCTAAAAAACCATTCATCCACTTGACAATAAAAATGAGAAGAATCCGAGAGCGCAAGCGAAAGGATATGCGCTGATTTATTGATTAAAAAAGGCTGGTTGGCCTAGTCAGTCAATAATTGTAAAGCTTTAAATTATATTTCTTTTTTAATTTTAAATAAATTTATTAAAAATTTATTAAATTAACCGTATTTACTCGATTAATTCCCCATGCCAGGGATGGGTTGAAGCAATAATCCCCTAACCTCAAATGCTCTACTGAGCCCCGCTTCTCAAAAACCCTGCTGCACGTTCAAATTTAGACCTGAATCATTCTCCTCCCTTGAATATTAATTAATTCTTTAGAGGAATTAATTAAGTTTCTTCCTTCCTTTTTAATATACGGCAAATAAAAATTAATTTAAATATTTTTAATTAAATAATTACAGACATATGTAAGTTTATTCTATTTTTTACCCTATCATTTCTTTTTAAATATTTTTATTTGCTTCTAAACCAAAAGCAATGCCAATTTCCTTCTTCTTTATTTCCAGCTGCCTTTGGTCATTTAGTTCTTCCTTCCTTTTTAAATTAAAATCTTTAAAAGAAAAGTAATCAAAAAAGGCAAAAAGTTTTTATTGTTTTTCAAGTATTTTTAAAAGATTGAGAACACTATATAAAACATTATGCTATTAGATAAATTTAAAAAAGCACGAAAAATAAATCTTTATTTTATATTAAGCTCTGAAAGTAGTAGTAGCATCTAATTAAATGCCCGGGCATTCTTTTTTCAATTGCCTTCCAAATGGGAGTCCTATTAGAGGGAGCATTTTATTCGAGGGGGAATTCAATCGGGGGGCATTCTTTGGAGGGGGCATTCTATTTTCAATCTTCCTCTAATTTGTAAGGTAATATTATATTAGAGGGGCGAGGAGGCATTCCTATGCCGCATTAGACGGAAAATTACAGAACCAGTAAAAACATCATTTTGGGCTTCTCACTTCAAGGCATAGCTTAATAATTCAAATTATTCTCACTCATTAATTAAACAATCCAAAAATTATTTTCTTAAACTAAGACATTTTAAAAAATGTCTTAGTTTAAGAAAAATAATCTTCCTTTTAAGTATTTACAGATGTTTTATATTTTAAATTATTAATTAATCAATATTTATAAGCATTTTTCTAAATTTATTAGTAAAATTCATGCGCAAAATATAGACAAAAATAATTAAAATTTTTATTAAAATATTTTTTAATTAAAAGAAAAAATTGGAAAAAAACAAAACAAATTTTCATTATGCTTAAGGAGAGGGAGACTTTTTTTTATCCATTTTTTACCCAAAGCTTTCTTCATCCAAAGAATTTTTTTTCCTATTTTCTTCTTTTCTTTTAGCATCTTTTTGGCAATATTTTTATATATTTTCTAGTTTAGTTCCTTAATTTATTTTTAATTTAATAAGGATTGACAGAATATAAAGCAACATAAGTATAGTTTTTTGTGTTGCTTTTTGATTTTTTCAGTTATTCATTTTTCTTTAATAAATTAATTTTCATTACCCATTTAATTTAATTTAGTAGTTAATTTAGTATTTCTTTTCATTATCCAATTTTACTTTTTAAAAGCTTAAGATTATAATTATTTCAATGTTTGTTAAGCATTTCCCCAAGGAGAAGTTTAGTTCAGTTCCGACCCTATAATTCATGAAGGGATACCAAGAACATTAAAAATTATCAGCCTCTTCATACATTATAAGTGCCGGACTGAACTGATGTCTATCATTTTCCCCGTAATATTGGGTAAGCTTTAAAAAAGTAAAAATAAATTTCTGTCCAATTTAAATACATATTTTATTTATTATAAGCATTAGAGCTTCAAATGAATATTTTATGATGGAAAACCCCCAAAAAATGAATGAGTATCTAGAAAATGAAAACAAACAATTTAATATACCCAAACAAATTTATTGGAATATTTACCAGTTTTTAATGTTTGCACCTCTTTTTTCATCATTTTTAAAAATCCTCTGCCCATATTTTATTTAAACAAACACTTTTTTAGTTTCCTCATTTTGCGCGTCAAACGCGGTGTCGAGTTTCCTCTTCAAAAATTTTATGTTACCCAGACGTTTGGAGTTTTAGGTGAATTTTTGCTAAGTGTTTGACCTTAGTGTTTAACCTTAGGGTATAAGATATTTATAAAAATATTTTAAAAATTGAAAACGAGTTTAAAACAAATAAAATTCAATTTTAAGAGCATTAGCACAAATTTTGGTTAGTTAAAATTGACTTAATGCATAACACCGCCCCCACGTGTCAAGCGATTTGTTGAACGTTTTTTGAGTGTCAAGCGAACCCTCCTACAATGCTCCATGTTCTGTCGAGTTATCCGCATCCGTGCATCCGTGCGTGCATTTCAATGCCACGGATGTCATTGTAGGAGTAGCCTAAGGAAACGAATAATTCAGGGTCAACGAAGTTATGGAAATTTTAAAATTGAGATCCAATTCCACTTTTTTAAACAAAACAATTGAGATAAATTTAAATATTTTAGGCTATTAAATACTTGAATATTAATTTTAAAATGCCAAAAAATTGAATTATCAGCTTAAGACAGTTTTTGAAAAATTTAAGTTTAAGTTCTTTCCCCGATAAAGTATATAAATTTATAGAAAAATGCCATTTTATTCCCTCATTTCCCTAAAACCCTCCACAAAAAATTCAAAAATAAATGGCCAGTTCAGTTGCCCGTATATCTCGACAAAAAGCGAGAAAACGCGAGGCAACCAAACCTGCCCCTACAAGCAAAAGAAATTTGCGAAACTCAACACCTGCCCGTTTAAATAAAAAAGAGGAAATTAAAGTTAATTTTTCTAATAATAATTCCACACAGTTAATTAATTTAATAAATTTAAAAAATAATAAAAAAGAAGAAAATTCAAATAATTATTTAATTGGACAAAGTAGTGGAGGAATTGGAAGGAATTTTGACAAGGAAAAAAGAGGCACTCATTTGATTGGAGAAGAAGATAAATTAACGAATGATAATAATAATTTATTTATTTTAAATAATAACACTCCACATTTTATTTTTAAACCAAATTATTCTGCTATTAGACAACGTAGAATATCTCAAATGGAAAATAGAAACAGGATTAGGGTAGAAAAATTATTTTAATTTTTAATTAATTTAATAGAGGAAAGGAGAGAAGATTATCTCCTCTCCGAACCAAACAGAAGATCCTCGTGTAAAAAGCATTTTAATATCATTCATTCTCCCCATTCCAATTCTTAGTACCTAGTTATTGTCTTAATATCTAAGGTGGTATAAGTTGGAACGCGGAAGCGGCAGAGGGCAAAATGCGGAAACAAAAATGCGGAACTTCCTTAGTCTGTTGTCCCAGTCCAACTGTCCTTAGTCTAATTGTCTTAGTTCAATTGTCTTTTGTCAAATTGTCTCCTTGTCCAATTGCCATAATTTAGCACTTTTTAAAAATTTAAATATTTTAATTTAAGCCTGTTCAATTATTTTCTGTTAATTCTTCAAATCCAAATGTTTTAAAATTAAACAAAAGTGCATTAAATACTGCCTTGGGTCATTCTTCAATTGCCAATAGAAAAGTTTGTGTTTCCACAATTTTTTGAAAATATTTCTTTAGATTGTTGTATTGTCAATTACTGGCACTCACAGAAAAGGAAAAAGTTTTTTATTAAATTTTTTTCTTGATTATTTGTATAAACTGCAATATACACAGAAAAATGTAGATAAATATTTCTTTTACTTAAAAGTTTTAAAAATATTTTTTTGAAGCAAGATTTGGAATTGGAAGAATGGATAAATGATGAAGATATAGTTGAGGGTTTTACGTATAAATCTGGGCCAAAAAGGTGTACGGCTGGAATTTGGATATGGGCTGAGCCGATACTTATTGATATACCAAGTGGAGAACGATATGCTGTTCTTTTAGTAAATTTAAATTTTTTAAAAATAATTTTTGGTATCATATATTACTAATAGTTAACTTTCAGTTGATTACTTCATGAGTTATAGGGTCGGGATGAGCTGAACTGCTCCGAATTAGTCTAATTATAAAAAAAATATTCTTCGATTAAATTTAAAAAATTTAATTTTTAATTTTAAGATGGATGTCCAAGGTTGTATTGACCAATCCGTTATTAATGGAACTAGTTGTACAAATACTACAAATAATCTATTTACTTCGTCAATATTAAATAATACTAATAATTTACAACATCCAGCAATTTTGGCACTTTCTACAATGCTAAGGTTTTTTGAATATTAAATTGAAAATTAATATTTTAATAGTTCGATTCAATGCCTTAATTCATCAGAAACAATCTCTGAAGAATTAATACAAATGCTTACGTTCTTTACTGATTACGGACGTCTGGCATTGACAGAAGCTAAAGAATTGGGAAAACCTTTTCAAGTATGAATAATTTATTCTTGTATGTTATTGCAGTTGGGGCTGACCGGGTACTTTTGAAGCCCTGTAACTTTTTAGTTTCTGGATCAGGGCCAAAATAACCAAAAATTGGCTATAGAAACAGTTCAAGATGTTCCATTGGTAGATAGGGAATCTCAGAGAAAATCCCGACCAAACTTTAAATCCGAGTCTTAAATTGAAGTCTCTAGTATTGGGTGTATCTTATATTGAGCTCCGACTTTGTATAAGAAACATTAAAAAATTTTTTAGTCATTAGCATTTATTGTTCGAGATTTTAAATTGGAAGATGAATTAATTTATGGAATTGAAGGAGGTGCTCGTTTTTTGGCTAAAGTATTGCCTGAAGCAATTAGTGAAAAAAGAGAAAATTTAAATCCAAAAATAACAGAAGTTAGGAAAAATATTAGACAATGTTTTGGACAAGGAGTTAATTGTTGTAAGTTTTTTTGAATTTTTAAAATTAAATAATTCAATAAAAAAAGATTTAATGCCTCATCCTGGTCCAAAAGTAGCCGATCAAAATTCAGGATTTAAAGGACAAGTTAAAGAAATTAAGCAATTATTTCGTGATGAAGTTAAACGTTTAGTGGAATCTTTGGTCAGTCCAAGTGTGATACGCCCTAAATTATTGAATGGAAAACCTGTTACTGTTAGAAAGTTTATTGAGTGTGTTAAGGTGAATATAAATTATTTTGATTTTAAATTTAGGAACACACCGTAAAAAGATTTTTAGGATTTCTAAAAACTAGAAATTTCTAAAAAAATTATAGGAAAAAGATGTTCTAGTGTAAGGAAAACTCCAGCTAGCTAGAATTTAAAACGCATACTAGACGGGGGTTTAAGATGGGACGTTGATTTTCCCGGTAGCTCGGTCGGTAGACCACCTCTACGTGATTGGCGAAAGTGTATAGCAAAAACTGCCAGGAGGTGCAGGATCGCCTGCCGGGACTTTTACCTTGCTCTTACTCTAGTTGAAATTTTTAAATTTCATTTTTCAATAATTTTTTACAGGAATATTCCCGTCTGTTTGATTCATCAGAATTACCAGAACCCCGTTCTATTTTAAATTCTAATCTTCAATTAATTTGTGTAGAATATGCATTAGATGCCAAATTAGCCTATTGTAAAGCTATGGATAGAACAACACGTTCAGCTAGAATGATGGCAGAGAAAAAATTATTGGAGGCGCACATTAAAAATGGAATTAAGGCCTTAAATATTTATGATAGATGTCCAAAAATATATAGTGGTGATATTAGAATACAAAATCTGGGAAGATTGCAAGAATCTATTAATGTTTATTTAACAAAATAATTAAAAATAAATTAATTTTTTGATTTTTTTAGCATGAATTGGAACGTTATCAACGTCTTAATGAAGAAAAGAGGGTAATAAATTGCAAGGGCGTAGCAATAGGGACGATTTCAGGAGGGGCTGAAGGTGTTACCTCTCAAAATTTTTTCATTTTCCCCCATTTCAGGGGGGGGGGGTTCAGCCCACCTCAGCCTCATGGCTTCACCCTTGATAAATTATTGCCTAACTTAAAAGATAGTAAAACAATTTCCTATTCAAAGGTAACAACGTGTACTTCAGCAATGCTGGCTTGTGGTGATTCCCCTCTTTTTGGTCTTGGGTTGGGAGGGGCAGCTTCTGGGGCTGTTGCCGCTACTGTTATTACATTACAAATGGGTGTGGTTAGGTAGATGGATTTTTAAAAAATTCCAAATAAATTTTTAAATTTTCTAAGTGCTGGCATTGTTGGTAAGCTCTCTTTCTTAATTTGTATAATTCTTGCAATTTTAATTATTTTCGTAATATTTAGCAATTCCTGTGTCCTTAACTGCTCTTTTTGGGATTTGGGTTAGTTTAAAAATATTTTATAAATTTCAAAATTATTTTTAAAGGTTTATGTAACATTAAAACCATCAGTAAAGTCGTGCCTTGGATTAGAAAAAGATAATTAGGTAGATCAAAAATTTTTTTTTGAATATTTCAATTCACTTATGTATTAATTATAATTTTTAATGTTGTTAAGTATAAAAAATAAACTAAAATAAAATTTTCTTTTTTTATTTATTAAAAAATTATTTTACTTTTTCCCGTCATTTTATATTTAAGAAGAGGAAAAATAAATAAACATATGGAAAATGATGACCAGTTTTGATACCAATAACCAAATAAATAAATTTGAAACTTTCTCTATTTTTACTATATTTCTGCTAATTTAGCAAAAGAATTTATTAAAAATAATTTACTGAAAATCCTTTAAAAATTAACAAATGCCCTCTAAAATAGAACTAAAAACATCCAAAAATATCAACATTCGTTACTCAATATTTTGGCATTTATTTTTACTTTTAATTAGTTTAATTTCTTCTCTTCATGTACACTTACGGTTGAATAGATTAAATGTCGAATGTGATTTAATTGAAAAATTGATAAATTTGGATAATTCAAAATATAATTTTGTAATAATTTATTTCTAGAAATTCCCGATTGAAGAAGTCGTGTACGAAGTGGGGTGGGAGACAGTTGACCAATGGCCATTTGTCCATTACCTAAATGTCTATTGTCCATTTGTCCTATTCCCAATTGTCCAATATTCAATTGTCCAATACCCAATTGTCCGGTCAGTGTCAAATTGTCTCTTTCAAATTGCCACTGTCAAATTGCCTGAGAAAATAAAAAAGATTTATTCCAAATTTTCAAGAAACAAAGAGAAAGAAGATCACCTACAGGACCAAATAGTGAAAATAAAATAGGAAATGGATCTCAAATTTGGCTTCATTCACTTTCACGCGTTCAGGTAATTGAGTAAAAATACTTTTATTTTGTTTAAATAGATGGATGAACTACTTGAAAAATGTTTGGAAATTCATAAATATTGTTCTGATGAAGCAGGTGAAAGTAGAGGGGCACCTGGACCGATTGGTCCGCCAGGTGATGTTGGAGCACCTGGACCTGAAGGAATTGCTGGACGAATGGGAGAGGTTTGGTTTTTAGAATGTGTTTTGAAATATAATTTAAGATTGGTAAAATTGGTCCAAAAGGACCGCCAGGTCCAGTTGGCCTACCTGGAAATGATGCAATCTGTCCATCATGTCCAGTCGCCACAGAATTAGAGCTGCGTCCATCTCCAACAGAATGCCCGAGGATTGAGCAAATGCAGGTGAAAATTTAAATTATTTTTTGTATTTCAGTCTAAAAATAATGTGATTTATTTAATAGTGTCCACAACTTCCTGGACGAGGGTCAATTGGAGGATATGGAGATATGACTGGTGGAGGTGTATTTAATGATGGACTACCAAAAGTTGTTGAAAGATTGTTGCCTTTAGTTGTTGAATTGGTAAGTGAAAAGGGAAAATTTTAAAATAATTTTTTGTTGAGATGCTTGAAAATGAAACGGAAACTGATGCTTGTTTACGTATATGTACAGCAACAAATTTGACTGAAAGCCGAATTCTAGAAGAGCGTCAACGTATGCCGATAAGTACAGAAGCAGCTTATATTCAAGGGGCAACAGCTCGTTAGTTTTTAAATTAATAAGGTTTGATTGATTCTTTTATTAGATTGTTTTTTGGATGGAGTTGGAAGGTCTATATTCCATGCCCATGCAAACACATTTTTCGGTTCTTGGATGAGAGGTTTACATTTAATTTTATATTTTTAATTTAATATCTCTCTAAAGACGCGTATCCACGGACAGGTGCAGATTTGGAAAAGCGTTGGCTGGCGGCACACTTTGAGGGTGATTCACTTGCTGAATTTCGCACAGGCAAATTTCTTTGGAATTAAAAGTGGAAAAAATAAATTATATTTTTAAAGAAGCTGATCTTCGTCGTGGATTTCTCTCGCAAACTCATGAACTGCCTCATTCATTTCGAGGAACAAATTCTTTAATATTCAATAGTTCCTTTTATTTTCATCGTGCTGGAACTCCTTTATTAGCTAAATATGAACTAACAACAAAACATTATGAAGAAAAATTGATTGCTGAGGGAATGGCATTTAAAGGGGAAGATGTAAATTAATTTAATAAAATTTAGAAAAATTTAATTTTTTAGTATTTGTTCAATGAATCTAAAAGTTTTATGGATATTGCAGTTGATGAAAATGCTCTATGGGTTATTTTTTAATTTTTTATTTGAATTTTAACTTTTTTTTCTAGGTCCTTTTCCATTATAAAGGAAATAATAATTTAAGTGTTGCAAAATTAGATATTAATAATTTGACTGTTTACGAAATTTGGAATATTTCTACGGTTATTTTAATTAAAACAATTTAATTTAATATTTTATAATTTTTAGATTGACCACAGGAAAGTGTCTAATGGTAAATAAATCTCTTATTTTTTTCCTAAATCTCCTATTTTAACATGCCACAGACAATTAATGTGCATTTTGAAGGGAGGAAAATTAAGGGAAAAAGAGGTGGGGCAGGAAACTCTATTACCCTAAAAAGTAGTGAGTATCTAGTACTTTTCAGGGCCTGGGGAGGAATTCAGCAGTTAATTCAAAAGTTGGGGAGGAGTAGTACCGGCTAATCTCTCACCTATAAAACTACTTAATTTTTTATATTAAAGGTTTTGTACTTTGTGGAGTTCTTTATTTAATTAAAAGTTCGTCAATACCGGCAACTGAAATATCTGCAGCATTTGATTTTTACAGAAACAAATATTTTCAACCAAAAATAAATTGGAAAAATCTTTATGGAAATTCTAATTATATTAATTATAATCCGTTTGACAGGTTTTTAATTTTTAATTAAAATTTTTTAATTAAAACTTTTTAGACGTATTTATATTTATGATCGTGGATATCTATTAAGTTTACCTGCAAGAATAAATTGGAGAACTCGATGATTTTTTTGGATTAACAAGAAAGTTGAAGGTTTGTGAGATTTTTAAAATCGTGTCAGGACAGTTCACCATTACTCTCTTCGGGTGATCATTTGATCACTTGACTGATCACTGGATTTTTTGGTGAATTGTCCTAGTACTCTTTAAGTAAAAATAATTATTTTTAATGATCTATTTTAAAATATTTAAAAATTAAAAAGTCTAGAAAACCCCCATTAAAATATTTTAATTCATTTTAGGAACTGTTTGTCTCTTCAGTGCTTATACTGCTTCCACATTCAAAAACAACTTTAAAGAAAATGTATTTTTAAATTAAAAAAATATTTTTTAACAACCATTTGTATGTCTTCTTTGTTGTTGTTGTTTTATATTCTTTCCATTTGTCTGATGATTTCTTCCATTTTCATCAACAACAACTACCCGTTTTAACTAAAAATTAATTGTATAATTTTTTTAAATAATTTTTTTAATAATTTTTACTTGGCTTTGTTGATCAAGAGATGTTTGTTTACGTAAAGCACCTCTTTGGGGATATTGTTGGGTTAATATATCAACGGTACTACCCCCGGTAGATTCAGTACCTTTTAAAAATGAAAATTGTATTTGATATCCTTGCTAGAGATCGGCCTGGACCTTGATTTTTCCTGGATCCAGTGTCAAGGTCTAGGCATTTTTCAGAGTTCCCCTTGATTTTTACTTGACTTAAGGCCAAAAATCGGGTCAAGGTCCTCATCCAGGTCCATATTCAGTGGGCGCCGAAAATGATTCCCCTTTCTGCCCCCACCTCCTCGAAAATTTTTCCTGGCTACGGACCTGTCCTTAACCAAGTCTTTTAAAATTCCCGATCTATAATCCACTTTTTACCTTCACTCCATTCATTTTTTAATCTTCTCCTATAAATTCTTCTTTTATGCCAAAGATAACCATGTGTAATACAAAAACAACAAAAGAAACTGGAAAGAAATTTACATATCCAGAATAATTCTTAAAATTAACCTAAGTGCCCCACCCGCCAAAAACATAATTGTAGCAACAATTACAGATTCAAATTCTGGACCCAGCTGGGTCATTTGCATTTTGCATTTGTGTTAAAAAAATTTTTTTAATTAAAATTTTGAATATTTAATGTTTTTATTTAATAAAAGCAAAAATAAAATGTATGTGTGTGTTTAATCTTTAAGTTAAAAATTAACTTTTTTTCAAGTATAAAATAATTTATCTTTTTATTTTTTTAAATTTTTCTCGTGTTCGTATGTAGTAGCATTCACTACTTCAATTACCTTTATTATTTAACTTTTTAACAAAATCCCTTTCATGACGTAAGTTGTAGAGGGGATATTATTTACTCTGTATTTATTTTTTATTTTATTTAAAAAGGCGGCTGCTTCGTCTGAACGCTAAATTTCTTTTTTCCACCCTTTGTTTTTTACATCTCTAGAAAGTTTTGTGAATTGATCCACAGGGCATGGATCGGAGGGTGGCCAATAAGGTGGTGATATTTTGGGGTGATGCCATTATCATTCTTTAAGCAGCTAGGCAATATTTTCGCTCTACACTTGTCTAGTACCCATTTTTCTTGCTGTCCAATTGTCGCATTACTTTTTATTGCTGTCTAATTGTCGCAGTACCCTTTGTTGCTGTTCAATTGTCTTATTACCCAATTGCTTGATGCTCAATTGTCCTATTTTTAGATTCATGTATTTTGTCGCTTATTTTCCAAAATTTCATGGGATTTTCAAAATTTTGGTTCGCACTCTGAAACCAATCAACGCCAAACCTGAACTACACTCTTCGGTATTATATTTTTAATTTTGTTTTATTTTTTATTTTAGATTTTTTACTATCTTCCTGTTCTTACTAATATACAAATGAATAACAAAAATGATTCCTTTGATGAATTTTGGCAAGGAATTGATATTCTTAAACAAAAACAATCTCCAATTAATTCAATTAAACGTCCAAAAATTGGTGTACAACAACAACTTTTTAAATGGCTAAAACCTAATAAGAATAATATTAATGGTAATGAATGTTCTATTATTCCAGCATGTGAAAAACCCATAGCCAGGTTTTTTTTTAATTTTTGAAGAATGTGGAGTTTACCTAGTTTCCTTGAAAAAATGAAGGCAAGTGCTTTTTTGCCTTTTTATGGTTGCCAGTAGGTACTCTTGTCTGAGCCCGTATCTGACAATGAGCTAGTTTATTTATTTCAAACTCCGGATCTGAATTCTACATGTCGAATTTGGAGTAAAAATTTGAATTTATGTTATGGCTATTCTGTCTCGAACATGTAATTTTTTCCAGGGACCAGTAAACAACCCATTTACCTAATTTTCTATTAATTGAAATTAATTTTTTCAAGTGTTTCCTCCCCATCTTCAATTCATTCTTGTTCTTCTTTCTCATCATCATCTAATTTATCACCACCAACTAAGAAGTCACGTATATTCAAACGTCGTCAACATCAAAAACTAATTGAATTTGAATCTGGTGTGAAAGGATTTCCTTCTCTACAAAACAACAACAATCATTTACTTGTTTATGTTCTTGGTGTAAATAAAGGTTTCTTTAATTTTTTCTTAAATTTTTGAAAAATTTTTAGGAGCTGACGATCTTGGAAAACCTTTCATTAATTTAAAATGTGAATTGGCAACTGGGTCTGTTTCTTCTAAAATGCGCAAAATCAATGTTTATCTTCGTGATTCCTGGGCTGTTGAAACTCCAGAACTTTGTACCCGTCAACTTCTACGATTAATTGAGCCAAACAAAATTAATGAAAATGTTTGTTTTTGTTTAATTTTTATTTTTTTATTTACTTCATTTAATTAGACATTCGAAATTTGTGATTCTTCCGAAGATTCTTGTGGTGGATTGCTTATAGTAGAACCGGAGACACTCATTTCCAGCACGCAATTATCGCAAGCACATTACTGTCCAAGAAAAGCAATGTTCCAAGATCGATTTAGAAGTACAGATACAACAATTGCGATGACTGTTGGAACGATTGCTCACGAACTTTTTCAGGTTCTTTTTCGATTGTTATTTTGTAAGTTTTTAAATTTTATTTTTAGATAGCACTAGATTTACTTCCTTCAGAACTTTCAGCTGAATGGCTTTTTAACTTCTATAGAAAACATTTCTTGACGAAAATTTGTCCTGATCTTGTTGGAATGGATTGTTCCCTTGAAAAATTTGAAGAAGAACTTCGGCGTTATTTGGAAAATATTTCTGATTGGATTAAGGTTTTTTAATTTTTATTTTTTAAATTTTATTTTATTTTTTAGTCACATCATCCACACTATAAAAACGAAAAGAATAGTCAACCAATCGCTCAAATACGACAACAGAATATTGAAAATGATGAAAATAATGATCCTAATTTACCTAATGAGCCCTTTTTCTATTCAGAAACGGTTGATATTGAAGAAAATATTTGGACACCAACTATTGGATTTAAAGGCAGAATTGATGTTTCTTTTATGGTATGGAATTTTTTTATCTGATATTTTATTAGTAGAGATAGGACTGGGAGGACCGGTCTGCCTCAGAACATCCCGAGATTTAATAACCGAGATTTCTTCAGAGATTTGTTTCGGTCAGATTTTTCTTGGTTCTGGTCCGATTAATATTTTATTTTCTTCCCATTACTTATTACTTTTTCTCTTCATTTTTCCCTCTTCATTAATCTAATTTGATGTTCTAGGGTGGTGGGAATACTTCACCTTGTTCAAACTCAAATCAATCACCTCTATCAATTAATAAACAATCCAAACTTGTTGTGCCGCTTGAATTGAAAACAGGCAGATCTTATGGATCATGTAATTTATTTTTTAGATTTAATTTTAATTAATTTTATATTTTAGCTGGCTGTGTAGAACATCAAACACAAGTAATGCTTTATTCACTTATGCTATCTGAACGGGTGAATAATGGACAGCTCAGTTTAGGCTTTTTACTATATCTGTAAGTTTTTTTGTATGTTTATTAAAGTCTTTACGCTTTTTTAGACGGGACAATAAAATAGCTTTAATTCACCCCAAAGCTGTTCAATTACGTGGAATTATTCAAATGAGAAATAGACTAGCTACTCATTTTTCAAAATTTACAATTGATTCATTTCCAGGTTTTTCTTTTTTTTAATTTTTTAAGTTTAAAAATTTTTAGATCCTCTTCGAAATCCACGAAGTTGTATTAATTGTCCTTATTCTACTCTATGTGGTACAATTGCTTTAGGAAATGAAATTTATGCGAAAGAAGAAGAATCTTCCAAAAATAAGGTTTAAGTATTTTTATTAATTAGTTAAAACGCTTAAATATTTTTTAGACTCAAAAATCTCGATTAAAGAAATTTTTATCTCCTAAAATTAATAATGAGGAATTAATGGTTGTTGACGAAAAAATTAAACAAAATGGAGTTGTTAAAATTGCAAATGGTATTTATTTGTTTTAAATTTAGTTTTACGCTCGGACCTTTATCATTTTTCAATTTAGATAAACCTCAACGAACTTTAAAAAATAAAATTTCTGAAGAAATGTATAATTTTATTTTACAACAAACTGCTCATTTAAACCAACAAGAAATTCTTCAAATAAATTCTTGGATAAAAAGTGGACTTGAAGAATGGGGAAAAGCTTGGGAAAATGGTTCAACATTACGATTATTTAGAAAAACACCAAAAGAAAGGTTTTCTTATTTTTAAAGTTTTGGTGTAGGTGAACCTTGTTTCCCCTTTTTACTTAAAATAACAAAGTCAGACATAAAATGTGGTACAAACATTACTCTATTGATATTACTTAGTACCGGTTCTGTTTTTTAGAGCCAATAGTCCAGCACATTGTGCGTGTCGTACTTACCCATAACTCTGGGTGGGTAGGGCTTTCTATTTCCATAAAAGACTTTAGTATATGGGGAATCATGAATCTTGGAAATGGTAATGGTACAAACGACCCAGCGTGTTTTTAAAAATCAGAACGGATAATCAAAGCCATAGAGTAATGTTTCTACCACTTTTTAAGTCTGTCCATTTTATTATTTTTCTGGAAAAAGGAGGGAACGACGTTAAAATACATCAAAAATTTTTTTTTATTTTTTAGAGAATTATTTGGAACTTGTCTATCAAATATGCGTTTAATTTCTTCTAATTGTAATAAAAATGATGTTGACAGTTTTAAAAATTCTTTTTTATTACATTTTACTCGAGAAAGGTTTTTTAAGATTTTACTTTTAAAAATATTTTTAAAAACATTTTAGCAATGAAAAAATAACTGAATTGGAAAATTTTCAATTAAAAGTTGGTACAACAATTACTATTTCAACAAATAATGCTTATGCCTTATTAATTGCAAAAATTCATTCAATTGATAGTAAATTTTGGTTTTTTAATTAAAAAATTTTTTTCTCCTATAATCAACAAAAATTGCCTTAGATACTTTTAAATTCTTTTTTCAACAATTAAAAAAAATTTACTGCGAGCGGGTTCGAACCATCGACCTCACTCTCACTTTTTTCAAAATATCCCACTTAACCAAAGAATCAATAATGCTTTTTCGACTTAATAATCAACGGAGGGGTCCTTGAGATTACAAATTTAAATTAAAAAATTTTTTTTAATAGGAAAAAATTTGAAATAAAAAAATCTTTTTCTAGTTTCAACAAATTCAATATTAATTATTTCTGACAAAGATTTGTCTAAAAATATTGTTGGCAAAGAAGAAGATGCTCAAATTTATTATCATTTGGATAAACATGATGGTTTTACATCTTATGCTTTAGCTCTTGGAAATATATCTGGATTATTAGAAAATTCTCAAAAAGCGTAATTTTAAGCAAAGAATTCTTTAAATTAAAAATTATTTTTTAAGTAAATTACTTCGTTCTATTTTAATGTCAACAAATAATAATACATCAACTTCCAAAAAGAAATAAATATATATACTATAATTTAACTAATTGGAGGGTATTACTAGAATTTTTATTATTATTTATTTATTTTTGTGTAACTTATTTTTGATTGATAAACTAACAATCATATTTATTTACGTCTAAATGTAAAGGTTTGTTAAATAAATTTAAAAATTAACGGGTTTAAGTCTGAGAATTTTTCTAGCTGATTTTTATTGAGTCGGCCACCTTTGTGGCATAGTCTCGATTCGCTCTTTACCCGGGTCAGGCCATATATTCACTTGTAAACCGCAATTTATCTTTGGAAACTTTAAAATTAAACAAAAAATCAGGATTCTTTCATTTTAATCCAAAAAAATCAAATCAAAGCAATGAACAAGATTTCTTTTCTTGAAAAGGATTGGGTCCTATTGGTCCAGTAATTAAGCGATCTTCATTTTTCTTGGTTTCACAAAAGTCAATTAGACTAAATAAATAAAAATATTTAAATATAATAATAATAAACTTACTCTCTTGCAACATCTGACCTATAAAAAATAAATCTCCCTCAAAAATTAAATTAAAAATCTTACACTTTTTTGCGATTAATATTTGCCTCTTGTCGAAGTTGATGAACAGTCATTCGAGCTTGCTCCATTTTTTGAAGTTTAAATATCTGTTATTATCTAAAAAATATTTTTAAAAGAAAATTTTTACCTATTTTTTCGTTGAAACAAATGCCAATAAATAAATATAATTTCTTTGCTTTTTGTTAGTAATTAAGATTTTTTTCATAGCAATTCGCAGGGGGAAGGAAAAAATTGTATCGAAGTGCCATGGAAACGGCAGGGGAACCCAACCTTTTTTAAACGATATTTAAAAAATTAGAGCTATTTATAAAAGGATTGGTTTATTAAGGGTTTGGGGCTATATCGAGAGATTTGGGAGAATAATAATGAATTGAGAGGATTTGGGATCAAAATGATTTTCGAAATAATCGTAACGTTGGCTGAAGTAATATTATTAGTTAATATCTAAATTTATTTTTAAAATAATTAAATTTAAAATCTTCCTAAAATCAGCAGATATTAATCCACCAGATAAAACAGCAAATCCAAATATTTGAACAAGTCCTTGCCAAAGAGAGTCTTGATACGAAAATATGCTTAATACGAGACATTGGGCTAACTTCTTTAATAAATGTATAAATTTGTAGGCAAAAAATTAAGCTACATATTAAGCTCAATGTAAAGTAAATGACTTAAAATCAGTCAGTTTTTGAAAAGGTTACGGCCAATAATATGTTTCAAGCTAAATTCCTTAGTTTCAGGCCTTGTTGATATGATTTAATTTTGTTTACAAATTGCATCACTATGGGATAATATTAACTTGTTTTAATATTAGCTTGTTTTATCCTCTATATCTTTTTTATCATTTTAAAATATTTTTTTTGTTTACATTTATTTCTTTTTGTTTACATTTAGAGTTGTTTATCCAATTCCTCATTTTGCACCAAAGACCATAAAAATAAAATTTTATTTTTTTAAATAGTGTTTAGTATTTTTTTCGTTATATTCTTTGCGTCAATCAATGGATAGACAATTCTCGGTTTTTCTTCAGTTTTCTCCAAAATTTTACACATTTTACTTCAATATTTCACTTAAAATGCCCATTTTAAACTTAAAAACTTCCTTTAATGTCTGAAGGTTAACTGTCAATTTTTTGTGAAGATAAACCAAAGAACGAACATTTTCAGAACTTAATATTCTACCCATAAATCTTCTTATATTTTTATCTTTCGAGTTGACAAATTTCTTGACACTTTGAATGAAAAATTCTCGCTTTTTGGTTGTTTTGGTTGTTGCTCTTCCCCTTGCACTTTTTGTCCTTGTCCTTTAACTTTAAACTTTTAGTCAGCAAAAATTTTATCTTACTAGTTTAATTAATCGTCCTATCAACAACAAAATTTTCATCGATACACCAGCTAATTTATATTTTCAAGACTTACAGAATATTTTTGTTTTGCTGCCCTGTCCATTATTTTCCACAGCTAATCTCTTTTTTTTGCTTCGTTTTTCTTTCTATTTTTGCTATGCTATGCATTTTTACTTACCAAACACATATGTGTATGAACTTTGCTCGAAATTGTCAATATATAAAGGAAGGCCCAAGGCCTCTCAACAAACAAACATTTTTATTCAAAACGTTTAAATGTAAATAAAAATAAAATTCTCTCACTTATTCTCTCACTTGTACGTAGAAAAACAAATATTTTAGTTGTTTTAAGCCTTTGAATCGTGAGGCACTTTTTAATTCAGAAAAAGTTGTTGAGTAATTAAACGATAAAATCCAATACTTTTAAGTTTCCCCCTCATCCTGTTTAAGATAATAAAGGTAAAACTAAAATCTACACATTACATACCAATAATCCAATAATTATTTGATATTTGTTTTTAGCGTATTTTATTTCCTTTACTCTTCAAACATTCGAAAATGTTCTCTCCAGCTATTTACAACGCTTACAGCAATACTCCGGCTAACCGCTCTATGGTCCCATGGTGGGGATACCGACGCAACTGGACTGACCCATTTGACCAAATGGAGCGTTGGATGCAATCTATGGATCGTTATTATGATGAGCATATGGGTTTCCAGGTGCTGATTTAGGCTTTTACTTACTTTTATCAAGAGGGATATCAATATTACATGGAATTTCAGATGCGTGACCATGCTGCCCAAATGAAGATTGAGCCCAATGGTGATTTTACCTACAAGGTCGATGTTTCAGGATTTCGCCCTGAGGAAATGACTGTTGAGGTTCAAGGCAACGAAGTTGTAATCACCGGAGAACACCGAGAGCAAAATCAAGGTCTGAGTGGACTGATTAAATTAATAATCTAAAATTAGGCGAATCTGTCCATCGCCAGTTTGTTCGCCGTGTCTATATTCCTGATGGGATTAAGAAGGAAACTGTCAAGTGAGTTTTGGAGTACTGTGAAATACTCTTCTCATCCTTAAGATGTGACATGGACACCACTGGACGTATGTGTGTGACCGCTAAACAAAATGCTGAAGGAAAGCGTACCATTCCAATAGACTTTAAGCCGGTCAACACTACTACAACTACTACTGGAGGGCAAACTACCCAGACAAAATAAATTTGCTTTTGAAGCAAAAAATTTGAAAAGGATGCGAAAATTTGAGATAATTTAACAAAAATTTTAAAAATAATGTTTATTCGCTTTCCTTCATAGATTAAATAAAATTTTGGACATACTGAAATTTTGTTTTGTTTAATAGAAAGGTGAAAAATACAATTAATAAAAGTGTACGATTAGATCTCCCCTTACTCGTTCGATTAGCTAAATTCAAACTTTAGCATCAGCAAATCCCAAAGTGCCCTCCTTCCAGTTTGTACAAATGCATCGATCATCAAAGAATTTGGCACCCATGAGATAGCCATCTTCATAACCCATTGCTACACTATTAGCAATAAGTAACCGGCAATCACCTAAGGCTGTCTAAAAAGATGGTTTTAAAATATTTTCAAGATACATTTCGGACTTCAGTATGAGTCATTAACCCCTTGCTGGAAAATATGACTATCTTATACTGAGGTTCGCCCGTTTATAAACCCTACATATTGTAGATATTGTTTTGGAGTTATATTAATCGTTGCTTGTTTTTCACAATCATCTGGATCTCCAACAGTTATTGTTATCGTTGGCAGCTTAGCAATATTTTTAGCATCACAAGATCCTTTAGAAAATACATAGATTCCATTATCCTCTCCCCCAAAAGGTTTTAATTTCATAATTTTAGCAACTTCTTCCACAACTTGTTGCGGGGCAAGCATGAAAAGTTCATCATCTGATATTGTCATTGTTTTATTTTTAGCTCCAGTACATTCAGTATCTCCAACTTTTACACACTGTATATTAACACTCCAGTCAGATTTCCCTGCTAGGGGGGCATAACTATAGTCACCACAGTTTTTATTATCTTCTCCACCAAATGTTATTAACCCGACATTTTTTTCGTATTGTGAAGGTCTTAAAATTAAGAAAAAAAATTTTTTTCTTAATTTAAAAATCAAACATTTCCAGTTTTCCATTAGATTTTGTATAAAATGTCAAAATTGGTTTTGCTAAATTTTGTGTTAAATATTGTAATGGAGATTTGGTATTGGCATTATCTGATGAGCTAGAAAGACCCAACAATCCACCAATATTTGCCAAACTACTTGAATAAGTAGCAGGTAAAGAATCAAAAACAACTAAAGGCACATTTGGTATTTTGACACCGCAGATCTAGAAGTTGAATATAAAAATTTATAACCAAGCTTTCCTGCATAAGTTATGTCCTTAAATGCCAAATCCTCAAATGCCGGGTCCTTAATGAATATCCTGATTTTGCTCTCGAGTTTGGAAATAACCTAGTCTGTTCCTCGAGTTCCCTTGGTGGACAGGTGGATGGAGAACTTGGACATTTACCGGAAGAGAAATGATATCTTAATAAGAATTTTTAAGAAACTAACCGATACTTGACTGTTCACCAAAGGCCCTTTAACACCGGCATCTTTAATTTCAACTAATTTATTGAGTGGTTTCAATAAAGAAGACACAGTTTGTTTTTCCTTTACAATCCAAAAATCAGACAACCCCGTAGCAAAAGTTAAAGTAACGTTTTGTCCCCCAACATTAAGTACTCCACATTTTTTATAATTATTTCGGTCCATTGGTATAGAAACAACACCATTTGAAGAAGTCTGAGGTAATATTCCAGTTAAAGAAGATTGGAAAAGGAAAGGAAGAAGCAAAAGGAAATTGAAAATTGAGGGCGTTTTGGGCATTTTCTGGATTTTTTTTTGGGATTTTTCAATTTCTTTTTAATAAAAAAGAATGAAAAAGTATATTAAAAATTGATAAAGTTGGGGGCAGTTATAACTTATTAAATATTAAAGTCAGAATACAAAAAGGAAAGAATAAAGTTGGCAAAAGATAAAAAGGGATTTGCGTCAATCGAGAAGAGAAAATCAGCTAAATAAACTTTTTTTTTAATTTTTATTTTATAAATTTTTTTTCTCATTTTTGGGTAATAAAATATAAAATACTCACAAGGGCGCGTATAATCTCAAAAAATTGGAAGAAAGCCAGACATAAAATTTATAGCTTGAAACTTTTTAAATATTTAATTAAATATTCTGTCTTTTTTAGTTAGAATTTTTAATTGAAATTTAAACAAGATTTAAGAAAAATTTTAAGTCTAATGAGGAAACTAATAAATGAGGGAACTAACTTTATTAAAAAATTAATAAAATGATATAGAGGAAACAGATTTTTAATATTCTAAGGATAGAGAATATTATACTTAAAAAACGGAGGTATGTAAATTGAGTGTATTGGTTGACCATCGCCTATTGATCAACCTAATTAAAAAAAGTCTCCTAAATTGAGATGTTGGTAGGTGTTGATCTTACTGAGGGCTCAACAATAATTTGAATACTTTTTTTTTTGGTTTTTGATTAAATATTTTTAATATGTTTATTGTGTTTTACTCAAAAATATGTAAATAAGTAGTTTGCTTCCAATTCCAACCCGACCTCTCTCCAACCTACCCAACCTCTCCCTTCCCTCGATAACTAAAAAAGGGCAATCTAATCCAATTTAATTTTAAAATATTTATTTTATAAAAAATTTTAATTTAAATAATTTATACATTTAAAGAAAATACCTATGTATTTGTATCAAAAATTAAGAAAAATTAGCTCATCGCCTTGATAAAAGGCACGTCAAAATATAAAACAAAAAATAGGAAAATTAAAAATATTTTTATTTTTAGCGTTGTCGCGTATTTTCACAAGAATTCGATGTTATTGTATTATTTGGAGTAGAAGCAGCAGAATCTGTAATATCATGAAAATCATTTTCTAAATCTTCTTTTGACGTCAAATCAGCAGTAGAAAGTTGTTGGTTGCCAAAAGTATTTGAAATATTTGAGGAAGATATTTTACTAAAATTTAATAAAAATAAGTCAGACGTTAATAAATCCTTAGAGCTGAGAGAATCGGAGCTTAAAGTGGGAGTAAGTACCGAACAGGTATATAATAGAAGTACCAATCAGGTATTCCCTCACTCAATAGCCAACTAAAGTAAAAAGCGTATAGGGGACTAAGTTAGGGGGTACAGACTTTGAAAGAATCGTCGCTTATAATAGGGGGAGAATATTATTCACTCCCTCTATAATAAAGGGGAAGAATAGGGAATATCTAGTAGCGGTCCCCCATTAATTGGGCAACCAAACTAAAAATAAATATTTGTAGAGGCTATATTCTTATATCCAGAACTGAGCCGAAGGGCTAAACCGGAAATTCTTGATTCATTCCCATTCATAAAAATCCAAAACTATACCTTGTCCTTTTAACACACTTTCCATAAAAATAACCAGCAACAGTAAAAATCACAGACAAAAGAAAAATCAAAGCAATGACAAAATGCATAAAACCATAAATTAAATACTTAAAAAATTAAATTTAAAAATTAAATTTTAATTTTCCAAAACTTGTTGGCGAACTTTCAAACCAAGCCCTCTTTCATCTGTAACTACAACAGTAAGCAAAGATTGAAGACAGAGGGCAATAAATGAATTTACACCAAAAACAAGTCCATAGCTTTCACATAACATCTTTTTTGCTATATTCCATCTATTTTATAAAAATATAAAGGATTGTATATATGCTTTAGAGTGGGAGGCATGCCCGGTGGCTAAAATTCTCCTGACTATTATCGGGCGAGTCAAAACGCGATCCTGTTTTTTCGACCGAAACCCACGATCTTAAAAAATTCTGAAAACCCGACCCGAAACCACGATCAGACTTTGTTTTTATCAATACACATGGTTATTTTAGTAGAACTTACTGGGCAATAGTAATCATAACTTGATATAAAGATCTATAACCAATATAACACAAATACATTGTCCAAATAGACTCAGTATTCGCATAAATAATAAGCATGATGGCATCAATTGAAGAGATTAATACGAGAGCGATTTCTCCCCATTTATCCCAATCCAATGGAAATGCATTCAATGCCAAAATTGCCAAAGTTGCTAGAAAAATATTTAGATTTTAATTTGAAAAGTATTATTAGCAGGCATCTTAAGGATATCTTAAATGGGAGGATCCCTAACCTCATGACCAGCAGCTAAAATCCTAAACTGAGGTATCTAAAATTGGGTGTATCCTACAGTGAGGTATGCCCGTATTATACCTGTAGCAGTATAGCTCGCCTCAGCAAATCCATTAAACGGACTTTGACCATTTTCACCTTTTTGAACTTCACCCCACAATGTCTGTGAAAAGAGGGCAACCTGTCAAAAAAAGTTTTAGAAAATATATTTAAAAATTTTTTACCTGTAAACTCATACATGTAGTCATTGCCCACCAAACAGACCATTTTCTGATGTGACCAACACTGTAGATTTTAATAAATTCTGAATGTAATCTTCGAGTTCGAAATTGTAAATATTGTCCGTAATTTAATGGAATGTCCTTCTTCTCGGAAGAATCAATATTGGCAATTTTATTGGCTAAAACGAGAAAAATTTGAAAAATAAATTAAAAATTAATTAACATTTAGCCTCAAGCATTCGCGTAACCATAACCTTCCAATGCACTCTTGGAAGTATAAAACAAATAATTAGCACAAAACAAGGCATTATAAGAGCAATTATATTTAAAGTCCGAAGATCACTTAGATGGGATAATACCAAAAATTGGGCAAATAAATAGCCTGTTGTACGTCCTGCCATTGTACCCGCTCTTGTCCAACTTGTTAAACTAAATAATTATTAAAGGGGGATTAAATAAAATTTAAATTTCACCTTCTAAATTGTTCTTTCTCTAAACGAGCATAAATATAGGAAAAGAAGGCAATTTCTGAAGCAGAAGCTATCCCGTATGAAATTTGTCCAATAATTTGTGAGATAACGGAACCACCAAAAACAAGAGTAGATCGAAAAACAATTTGTCCAATAATTTCAACAAACATGGTTGGTTTGTATAAAAACTTAAATAATTAGAGTGTAAAATGTAGTAAAATTGTAAAAACATTTTCAAAAACATCTAAAAACATTCCTAACATGTGTTAAAAACAAATGTTTAAAAAACATAAACAAAAACATCTAATAATACAAACATATTTAAGCAAAAACATAAACAAAACATCTAAAGTTTAAACCAACAAAACATCTAATATAAACATCTAATACAAACATGTTTAAACAAAATCATAGACAAAACATCTAAAAAACATATTTAAACAAAACATGTTTAAACCAACAAAAACATATACAAAAACATTTAAATACAGACATTTCTAAACAAAAATATTCAAAACATCTAAAAAATATAGGTTTTAAATAAAACATGTTTAAATCAACAAAACATACACAGAAACATATAATTCAAACATGTTTAAACAAAAACATCTAAAAAATATATCTAAACATGTTTAAACTAATAAAAACATGTCAAAACATTTAAAAACAAAACATGTTTAAACAAAAACATGCACAAAAACGTTTAATTACAAACATGCTTAAAGAAACACATACAAACATTAAAAAATATTTTAAACAAAACATATTCAAACCAATAGAAACATGCACAAAAACATTTGAATACAAAATTTAAACTAATAAAAACATGCCAAAACATTTAAAAACAAAAATTTTATGTTTGTATCAATAAAAACATACCAAATCAGTAAAAAGGAAAATAGGTACAAGAGCAGTCATATATGCATAAGGTGTATATGGATAAATTACTCCAGTGATTTGATCAGCAGTCAAATTCAAATATTCAGTTTGATATTTAAAAAGCTGAAAAAAATATAAAATTTGTTTTTAATCTCCAAATAAGCTCACATAAGGTTCTCCAACTTTAATTTCCTTCACAAGAGAATAAAAACATAAAAGGGCAGGAAGCATTGTTATTCGCCAATTTTTGGTGTTTTTATTTATTTGTTTTAGTCTAGTCGAAGCTGATTGTGAAAAGTTAATTGAAAGTGTTGAGATTGAAAGGCGTTGGGCTACAAATTTAATTTAATTTAAAAATAATTTTTAAATTACTCGATTGAGAATTCGAAAGGTTTTGATGAGCATCGTCATTGTTTTCAGCATTTTTGAGATTAGAAGTACTTTCGCTATTGTTCATAGTGTGTTAAATAGGAACAAATATCTACTAATAATCTAAATATTAAAAAGAAATTAAAAGCATGAAAAAAGAATAAATCGGTCGAAGTTGAGACTATATATAGGGACGATGAATGGCGGTAAGATGATAAAATGTTGTTGAATGGCAACAGTTTAAATAAAATGCATGGGAAAATATTTGAATGTTGGAATGAGGGAATTATTTAAAAATATCAAGAGATGGGGACATTAGATAAAGGGTTAAATTAATAAAAATATTAAAGATATTCAAATCATGGACATAACAAATCCCTTATCTATTAAAATTTTCTAATCCACAATAAGATATTATCCTCCTTATTTCTTATAATTTGATTATTGTTTAAGTCATCGAACCAGGGCCGGACGCAATTGCAGACTGCGGATCGCGTAGAATTGCGTGGTTTTTTGACTTACGGACTTCGGATTGCGTAGAATTGCCTAGTTTTTTGCCCTACGGACTGCGGATTGCGGCTACTGAAATTTTTTTTAATTGCGTCCACCCTGCATCGACCCCTTTAAAAAATAAACGACAATGAGTCTATTAAGCTGAAAAATCTGTGTTATACAATCATTATTTATTTTCTCATTTTATATTCAGGATGACGAGATAAAAAATAAATAATTATAAACAGAGAATGATGTGATGGTGCCGGCAAGTCGTAATTGATAAAGGAAAATGAAAAATTAAAAATGTCAGCGATAGGCGACAAATGGTGGCTCGTGACCGCAATGATAGGTGACGGGTCATTCTGGATGATAATTATTTTTTTTCTTTTTCTTATTTGAAAAAAGTGAAAAAATAAAGCTGTGTTACACAAAAAGTCTGTGTTATACACTAATTATTTTATCATTTTATAATCAGGGGATTGAGTGAAATTAAGTAAAAAATAGCAAAAAAAAATAAATTAAGATAAAAAATGACATCAAATTTGACGTTAAATTTGGTTCAAAATGACGTTAAAATTTGGTTTAATAAGAGATCAAATTTTTTGTTTAAATATTATGTGCATAATTTAATATTAAAGCTTCCTTACCTTTCAGTTTATGGCCAAAATTAACCTTAAGAATCAATGATTGATCGCTTATAAAATTATTAAAAAAATAAAAACTGGGAGGTATTTTATCTCAAGTTTTAATTCTATAGTCTTAGAAGTTTTATAATTATGTTTCAGTTAAAAACTATAAGACTAGAATTGTTAAAAATGAAAATTTTTGTAACTGTAGAATTTCAGTACCTTCCGAAAAATTTATTTTTTGTTATCTACTAAATCTGTAAAAAAGGTTTATAAATTATTCAGTATTTAAATTATATGTGGCCGAGCTCTGGGTGGAGTCAATTAAGTTCTTCACGTCATTTTAATTCCGTTAGTCACTCGGTAACGGCTGTCACAAAATTATGACAACTCTCAATCTCATAAATTAAAGTTATTTTTTTGCATAGGTTAAATATTTGAATATTAATCCCCTCATTTTATTTTTGCAAAAAAGATTATGTATGATAAATCAAAACAGAATAACCAAACAAAAATATTTTATAAAAAAAATTATCACGAAATTGTTTTTAACATATAGTAAATAAACTAATAAAATGGGAAATTCCCAGAAATTGAATTTATTATCTTGAATAAAAAATAAATTATTTTATTGGGGTTTTACATAAAATCTGTGCTTAAGAATTTTGTTTAATCAAAAATATGCACAAAAATTATTAATTAAAAAATTAGGTAAATTTTAAAATTTATTAGTCTAAAAAGTATTAATAATTATTAGAAAACTGTGTGGTCGTTGCGCGACCTTGCAATATATTTTTTTAAATGACGTGCTGGCGCAATAATTTTTTATAAACTTTTTTCCACGCAGTTGTTGAATGATTGCTTCCCAAACATTTTTTTCTAATTAAGCTGTAATATTTATTTTTTAACAAAGGGTCACACAATTTTAATTTGTTCACGAGGTATACTAATAAATGTTAAATTATGTAGTAAATTTATTATGATGTAAGGCATAAAAGTCACGTTTTTAATTTAAAGGACCTAATCAGAAATGTTATGAATTATAAGGATTTAATTATAGGTCATCTCCTTAGCAGAGCTCTTCGGAACTGAAAAATCTTTTAAAACCGGAAATGAAAATCGAAAGAAAATTAACCTCTAAGATAGAAGGTTGAAATTCCTAAACAGCTCTGCTCCTTGGGGCTATAAAATCATAATTGGATTAGATGTCATGAAGAGACCGGAGGTGGGGTGGGATGATGGATGGAATGTCATGCTAGGATGCCTTGGGAAGGATGGGACGATGAAACGAAAGGATAGGAAAAGATGGGATGAAAGGATGCCACCTAATGGCCAAGCAACTCAGAAACCTTCAATTTTTTGGAAGGAAGGGGGGCTCTTATAAAGAGGTCGGACTTTATTCAAAATATTATTTAACTATTAAAGTTGAACTAATTTAAATTTACATTTAAATAAGCACACTTTAGTGATTACTAATTTATCTCAACAACTTTAAACAAAAACATATTTTGAAGATAAAGAAGGTTTAAAAATATTTGTTGAGAAGAAATGTTTATTTGTTTTGGTTTAAAGATGTTTAAAGCAAAAAGAGCAAAACATAAAATCCTACTAAAATAATTAAAACAAACAAAAAAGCATTTGAAAAGCTTAGAACTTGTAAGCTAATTATATAACGTAAGAGTTAATATTTAAAGTAAATAAACAAATAAAAAAAACAACTTAAATTTAAAACGGTAATAGGCTATTTCTAAAGTAACTTTTTGAAAAATATTTGTAAAAGAGACTAAAGTTTAAAATAAATTTTGGTTTAGAAAGGTCTGAAAATAATATTTAAAAAAATTAAAAATAGGATTATTTTTTTCCTTAAAATAAATTTTAAATAAATAAATAAAAAATTTTTTGTAAAAAATATTTGATTAAATTGCAATATTAAATGAGACAATATGTTGGAAATTATTTGAATATATGAAAGGAAAATGCTGTTAAAACAATAAAAAAGTCTCAATGAAAAAGTCTCAACTTTTAATCTATTCAATTTGCTCTAGGTTGATTCTTGCTACAAGGCATGAAACAAACCCAATCATTCAAAAAATTAATTCTTCTTCTTAATTCTTAATGCTGTTAGTTGAATCATCTTCCTTACACTCTATATTTTAGAGTTAGCCCTATTTTAACTCAAAAGATAAGCAAATAAAAAAGGTAATTATCCAATTAAAATATAAAAATTATTTTTAATAAAATCCAAAAATATTCCATTCATTCTTGAATCATTTTGTAATAAACTTCCAAAAATATTAATTCATTAAATATTTCAAAACCCTTAAATTTTAAATCAGAATTGCTAACAAAAAATTAAAAATTATTAATCATTTCAATATTATTTAAAACAATAAATGTTTGTTTGATTTTTACAAAAAATAATTTTATTAAATTTTAAAATGATTAATATATTTTTTGAATGAAATACTTTGTGACATTTAAAATATTTTAAAGAAATTGGTTATAAAGAAAAAATAAAATATCGTTGTTTAATCATATTCATTATACCAACATTTATTTAATATTTTTTGAAATTTATTCTCTTTATTTTTAATAAATTTTATTAGATATTAGGCATTCAAAAGTAAGAAATTTAATAATTTTGGAGGAAATATTTAAAATTTTTTGATTTAAAATCATCAGTTCAACTTGAATTTTCTTTAATATATAATAAGAATCTACAAGAATTTTAATAGTCAAAAAAGAGATATCTTGCTCAAAAATCTAGGTTATCGAGATTGAGATTTTTCGAGCCCTAATACAAACAAATATTTCGATTAAGGATATACTCCTTAGAATCCTCTATAGGGATATCCAAGGGATATCCAAGGATAAAATTATTTACTCCAAGGGATATCCAAAGGAATAATTTTTCCCAAAGGGAAATTATATTATATTAAAATTAACTAAAAATTATTTCATTATCATTTCCATTTATTTCTCTACTATTTCTACTTTTTGCCCTTTTTCAAAACTTGAAATCGCTTATTTCAAAAAAGAATCATCATCAATCCCTCACAATTCCTTACCATTTTCCTTCGCCTACTTAATCTCTATTAGTAAATACTTCTTTGCCCTTTATACACAAACTTCAATTAATTTTTCAATCAGCAAAAAAAGAACATTTATTTTATTTTTTTTATTTTTACGAGGTTGCAATCAACTAAATAAAAATAAAAAATAAATATAAATTACTTTTCCAATTTTCTTTTTATTTTTATTTATTTTCCAACTTTAAGAAAATTTCATTTTTAATCCTCTTAAATGTACAAAACAATTATCTAAACACAAAATTATTTAAGTTCAAAAAATAGTTGCGCATACTAAAAAGTTGTTTTGATATTTTTAAGGTATAATATTGAAACTTTTGAGTTAAAAATTAAATAATTTAAATAATTTAAAAATTAGTATAAATAATAGAGATACGCAAAATTACAGTTCTGGGATCCCCTAGCAGAATTGAGTTTTAAAAAACCGAACGGGAGGGAGAGGAGAGGATCCCACCGGATTAATACCTGAATTCAATAAATCCTGTAAATCCGGATTAATCCGTAAAACCCTCCGGGACGAGTAAAATCCCGGAGGTCTTTTGGGAGGGTCTTTTGAATCCTGTAAATCCCATAAATCCCGTGCCTATCTCTAGTAAATACATTATTTGCTCATTAATGCTTTTTTAATTAACCGGCTGGCAGTACCGACGATTTTAAAAAGAAAACCGGGGTGGGCTAATTTTAAATTCCTTTTTTCTCTCAAAGTTGTTAACAAATATTATTAGTTTACACTAAAAATTACTATTTTGATCGCATTTTTAAAAATTTATTTACAAAAATTATGCAAAATTTGTTTTTAGTCAGTTAAAAATATGGAGGAATAAATTATTTGTTTTCACTATAATTTAATTTTAGTCATTTTTTATTCAAAAAAATTTTTTAAAAAATTTCTATTCCTTTAAATTAATTTTTACGTTTCTTTTTTTATTTAAAAAATTTTATGTATTTTTTAATATTTATCAATTTCCAATCGAATATTTTCAAAGAAAAATTAAATGCGCAACAAACTGAGACATTAACAAAATTATTTTAAATGAAATTATTTCCACATTTTTATTATTTTTCTAAGCATTTTAAACTTTAAAAAGATTAATTAAAATTAACCTTTTATTATTTTACTATTTGTAAGGGCAAAACAAGGAACTAACTGACAATAAGCACGGTTTTACCAAAATACAGAGCAACCGAACACGGAATATTTTAAATATCAGAATTTTTATAAATCAGAATTAAAAAAATTAGAATTCCTTAAAAATCGGAATTCTTTAAAAATCAGAATTTTTCACGAACCAGAATATTTTTTAAATCAGAATATTTTAAATCTGATTTTTAAAAATCAGAATTTCTTAAAAAATCAGAATATTTTTACAATTCAGAATTAATTATTTGTCTGGTCGGTGTTTTGGTAGGCCGTGTTATGGAGGTCTTCTTTGTCATACCAAAATTAAGTTGTTTTTTCTACGTTTGAAAACCTTCACTATTTTCTAAATGAAAATATATTTTTTTCATAAAATTTCAATTTAAAATTTAAAAATTTTAAAAAGAATTAAAGGTGAAAAGGATATAAAAATTGAAATTAAAAGAATAAAAGAGAGAAGAGGCAAGTTTTGATTGATTTTGTTTTGTTGAGTTTGGACTTGTTTTTCCCTACGGGGCGCCGTCGTTACGTGCGCATTATGCGTTCAAATAAAGTTTGTCTTGAATAAACAAAAATTACTACGAGTCTTTTTTAATTTAGTTAAATTTATTAAAATATTATTTCAATATTTTATATATTTTGATCAATTTATTAAAGTCAGAATTTATTATAAAATAATTCCTTGGGGCTAAAAAGGGTTCGTTTTAGAGTGTATTGTTTAGGCACCAGAGATAGGATTTGCCGTATTTTAAAATACGAAGGACGGAAGTGGAAGATATGCCATCGCTGTAGGCACACACCTCTTAACACTCTATCAATTCTCAATGACAGGGGTTGAAAAATAGATGGGTTGAAAAATAATTCCATTACCCTAAGTCTCTACTACATACACGTTCAAATTTTAAAACGGATAATTCGTCCTAGAATACTTCCGCATCCCATGAATAGTTAACATATTAATTCTCCAGAATTTTTTTAATTTTAAGAAAAATGAAAATATTTATTATATTATTTTTATTCTTTTTAACAATTCCTTCACAAATATTTGCCTGTTTTTCTTCTGGAAATCCTGCTAAGGGCAACCCGGAAACTGAGAAGCTTACAGAAAAACCAACAAAAACAACTAAAGCAACCACAAATCAGAATAAATTCAATGATAAAAGTGAGAATGAGGTAATTTTGGGTGTAAAATAAATTAAATATAGAATTCGCGGAACAGAAATTAATAAATATATTTTTCCCCTTTTTTAGTAAATTTAAATTCTTTAAATTTAAAATTCAAGGTCATTCCTACAGAAAAAGTTGATCAAAGTTTTGAGGTTGATAAAGACTTTGTTTTGGTAAGAAATTTAAAAAATTGTATTAAAATTGGGGATATTCAATTAAATTTCTAAAGGATTATTTAAAAGAATTTGGACATTTACCAAAAGAAACGGGGGCAAAAGAAGAAAATATAACTGAGGAGCTTGAATATGGAATTAAGTAAAAAATATTTTTAATTTAAAAATATTAAATCCTGAAATACACTTAGGGCACTCATTATTAGCGGTGCTTTCCTGTGTTCCAGGGACAGATTCCTGGAACAGTATTTTCGGAACTACCAAGAATTTAGGGATACTTATAGGGCACTCCTTGGGGCACTCATTAGCCTACTTTTCCTTGTTCAAGAGACCGCTTACTCCTGGAACAGCAATTAAACAACCCCCAAGATCTTCTACCGTGGAATTGTTTTATTATCGGATACTCTCCTCCTTATCGGTCACGGAGAGTAATCCTAAACTTAACGAGAGTTTTTAAAATTTTAATATTAAAGACACTTCCAAGAATTTATGAATATTCCACCTAAAGGCATAATTGATTTGCCTACATTAGCAAGAATGAGTTGGAAACGTTGTGGAAATTTAGATAAACCAATTAATGGTATAAATTATAATTTTTAAATTTAATTAAAAAAATTTTAAGATCCTCATATTTGGGAAAAAACTTCTCTCAATTGGGCAATTAATAATTATCCAAACACAGGATTCCCAATTTCATTGCAACAATTAAGGTAATTATAAAAATTAAAATAGAGTCGGACTTCACTAAAAGATACCCAAAATATTTAAATTTGGTTAAGGGTAGTGGGAGTTAACCCCCTATTTAAGCTACTCTGATTATAAGGTACGTAGTTTACCCCTATTTAAGGTACTCTCATTATAAGGTACGTAGTTTACCCTTTATTTAAGACACCCTATTATAAAATACGTTTTTATCACCCCCAAGAAAGTATCTATCTTAAGGCGGGGTTCGATTTATTTTGAAATTTTTTATTTAAAAAATTTTTTATTTCAAAGAGGCTTGATTAAACAAGCATTCAGTGCCTGGGAAATTGTTATAGCCATAGACTTTATGGAAATTGAACATATTAATGATGCAAATATTCTATTTTCATTTGATGAAGCTAATGAAAATCAATCAAAAACTGGTTTAAAAATTTTTAAATAATTTTTTAAAGATAAATTAAAAGGGCTTGGAATAGCAACTGGAACAGCTGGACCATTAAGCAATATTTGGTTAAGTAAAAATCAAAATTGGTCTATTTTTCAAACACAAGAAGAGGTAAATATTAAATAGCAGATAGTCGTAACTAGATTTTAAATACACTTTTGGGGCTGAAAAAAGTATACGCAATATAGAGGTGCATCTATTATTCGGTGTATCATTCATTCCCTTTAATTTGAGGTACATATAGCTAGCAGGGTGTGCGTTTTTGCCTTAATCTTTCGCCGAATTTTTGCCTGTTTGATGTTTCTTCCTTTCGCCTTTTTAAAATCCGTTTCGGAATATCCCTAATGCCGTGTATGGGGTGTATTTAAAATTGAGGACCGCCTGTGATATGTAAAATAAATTTAACCCTTTTAAGGGAAATGTTGACATTTTTCTGGTAAATTTTCTAGTAAAATATCCCTAATTTATTATAAATTTATTTTAGACTTTAATACACGAAATTGGACATTCTTTGGGTCTTGAACATATTGGGTAATTACTCCAACAAAATTTAATTTTTAATTTGATAAATTTAAAGAGATCCAAATTCTGTAATGTTTCCAATGCTCGAAAGAAGTCCAGGGGAGCAATTACCAGTTATTTCAAGTGATGACGTCACTAGATTAAGGGCCCTTTATGGTAACTAGTTGAAGAGTTTGAATTAAATCCAAATTAAAATTAGAAACTTTTCTCCCTGCAGAATTGGATAAAACATCCCAAAAATATAATTCAATGGCAACACCCAGAAGTGTATGTTTAAATTTAAATATTTTGTGTGTAAATTTATATTTCTGTTCCGCGAGTGTTTTTTAAAATTTAAATAAATTTTGAAAATTTATTTAAAGTTGCCTTCTCGTCCAGCTGGTAAGGATATGGCAGAAGTATGTCCACACACAATTACTGCTGCTACTAATGGTGACAAAATAGATAATATTAAATAGATAATGACGTCAAACCTCCTTTTTGGATACACCCTTCAATAGATACACCTTAATTTAAGCGATACAATCTATTTAAGATACAACTCATCAGACCTTCTATTCAACAAACACCCCATTATAAGAGAAAAATTTTACCTCCTAGGGATGTCTAAAAACAAGCCTTGACTGTATTCATATTTTTAAGTTTTACCTGGAATGGTTGTTGCTTTCAATGGACAATATACTTGGACAATCAAGAAGGGTAATATCACGAGTGGACCAACCTTGATAAAAGACGTAATTAAAGATTATTTAATTAAAGAAATTTTTGTTTAAAGAGATTCCCAGATGCCCCAGAGTTTATTAATGCTAGTTTCAGCACAAGTACAATAACAATATTAATTCAAGGCCATACATTGTTTGGCTATAATTATGATGAAATACATGACAAATTTACGTAATTAAAATTTTTTTTTCTAAATTTAAATTTTAAAGACGTGCCAAAACCTATCCAAAAATGTTACATAATCGAATCCTTTTTTATCCGACTGGTGCTTTTCCTCTTTTAAATGAAAGCATTATTTTAATTAATGGTAAAGTATATGCTACCTATAATGTTATTAAGAATGAACCACATATGGTTAGTTTAATTCAAAAATTATTTAAATTATAATTTTATATACCTTTGGACCTAGCTATGAAATATACACTATAGTTGATTAAAATTTGGATGTTTACTGGGTTATTTACTGAGTTGTGTACCCTCTATTTAAGAGGGGTACCCCTTGCCTTTATTGAGGGGTATCCCTCTGAATCCTTAATCCTTATATTAAAACGGGTAACTATCAAGCTCTATCGAGGGTTACTCCTCAATCTTTATATTAACTTATATTCACGATACACCTCGTTATAAGATACAAAGTTTCAGTTTCAATGGTGTAACGTATAAGTGATATCTGACACTAATACATAAAACCATTATTTTTAAGCTTGGAAATTTGGAAGAACTTTATCCAAATTTACCCGATGGACTTTTATCTGGTATCCCAGCAACACCAGATTTCTCTCTATATTATATGCTAACTGCAAATTTATGTAAATCTTATATTTTAAATTTAAATTTAAAATTTAAAGCCTTTGTTTACAACACACAAACATTCCGATTAGTAAGTACCCAAACAATTGGTCAATTTATTGAATGTGAAAAAACGGGTGTTAATTTGCTTTTACAACAATTTAATTCGTTTAATGCTCCAATACCAACTCAATTTGTAAAATTTTAATTTTTATATTAAAATTTATTTTTCATAATTTGAAGAGAAATGAATTTCCTCAGCATCATAATAGTCCACGGTTGACGTAAAAATTTTTTTAATTTTTTATCCTAAAGCAGTTGAACCTCACTTTTAGTTAGTCCAATACTCTTCGAATTAAAATAAATTTTTAAAAATTTGGTTGGCCTAAGGGGCTCCTAGCATTTTCCCCTATTTAAGACATGTTTTTAAATTAAGGTTAGCCGCTGTGTAAGCTTTAAGGTCGAGCTGTTTAAAAGATATCCTCTATTAAGGTACAGGCTAGCCGATGGGCAAACGGAGCTGTCTACTCCCGCTTATCTCTCTCCGCTTATCTCTCTCACAGAAATATTTCACTCTCTATTTAAGATAATCCTCATTATAAGAGACCATTTTTCGGCAAAGGGTTCGTCTAAAAATGAGGTTTTCTGTAAATACCTTTCATAAATTCCCATAACCTTTCTTTAATTAATTTATAGAATTAATAATAATTTGCCACTCGGTATGCGCTTTGTTTAAATGTGAATTAATAATGGGAGTGAAATTTATAAATAAATTGTTTTAATTTTATTTTAATAAATTTTTACTTTGTACGTAAATATTTTACAAAAATTAATTATCATTTATTTGATTATATAAAAGCAATTTTAATTACATGAGTGGTTTAAATGAATAAAACATTTAAAGAAAAATTATGATTTTTAGAATTATATATTACATAGAGATCGGACTGAGAGGAGTCTTGATTTTCAAGATTAAAAGTTTTCGAGATATTCATATCTTCGGTGCCAGAAAATCGAAAAGATGTTGGATTAAGAGGGATTCAGTGGATTAAGTGGACTTCAGGGGATTAAGAATATATCGGGGAATTAAGAAATTTGATGGTTAAAGGGATATTAAGGATATTTATAGAATAAAAGGATATCGTGGGATTAAGGGGATACGTCTCTGAAACAAAAATCTTTTGCTCATCTATGCTTCTTTGGCATCTTCTTTATTTATGTACACAACAGAGGTAGTTGTTGTGTCTTTAAAGAACTGATTATATAACCAATTAAATTCATCCTTTAATGCCAAATTGTGTGCAGAACTTAATTAGATACATAAAAAATATTTTTAAAGTTTTTAATTTCTCTACCTTACAGCAAATAAAACTGGAACTTCTACAGTTGAACTTAGTGAGGATGTGCAATTTACAATTATATTTAAAATATTTGTTGGAATAGTAGACAAGGACATTAATTTTACAATTTTATAGCCAGATAGGCTAAAGAAATAACCAAAAATTTGGATTGACATAATAATTGCAAGAGTTTTGTAAAGAGATTTGCGCATATTGCAAACTGAAAAATTAACAGTCGAAAAATTATTTCTGAATAGTCGGACCTCACGATAACAAGACCTTTAATCTTAGTGGATGGGGGGGGGGGGGGAGCTGATTACCTGGATGAGAGCTGATTAAGTGATAATTAGGGTTGGGGGCCCAGTCTGGTCCGAAAGATCGAGTCGGGCATCGAATTTTGGCCCGAAAATTTTGGCCCCCCACTCGAAAACCCCAACCCTAGTGATAACACCTTACACCTCCTCTGACCCCAACAAGTTATCAATAATAGAGAGTTAACTGTATTTTATTTAATAATGAATTACTTTTTCCTTTCCATTGATCATAAAATAATTTAAAAAACATTAAAATATAACAAAGCGGGGTTAAGCAAATTAGTACAAGTTGTATACTCAATAAAATATCCTCCCCATCAGAACCAACCAAATCCGAGAAATTGCATTGGACATTTCTGTTAAATTAAGAATGTGATCATCTAAATAGGTATATAAGAAAGACTTACAAGAAAGGATCTTGTATAGCAGTGTAGATAACAAATCCCAAAAAGAGTAGAGGAAACGATAATGATACAATAAACATTATTTTTAGATAACGTTTCTTATTTCTTGAATAATACCTTAAAATTATTAAACAAGCTAAATTAAGGTGCCTATTTAAATTAACCAAATAGGCAGGAAGATAGCCAACATTCTGTCAATACCAATTATAAGCATTAAAGAAAATACATTTAAACAGCCACCGACTGGTATTATCTGGATTAAAGCGCAATACAAACGAGGTATTTTTCCAGATCCAGGAAGCACGAATAAAGTAAATGGAAGCAATATTTGGATTTTTGATAGGAGAGAACAGACGGCATAGATACCCAATAATAAATGGCACGTACCATGCAAACGTCTTAAAATTTAGGAGGGTGGATTAGAGATTTGAGAAAGTTTCATACTTTTGTTTAATAGTAACAATTATTAAAAGCGTGTAAAAAGCAGTTCCAATTTGATCAACAAAAATGTTCGTCCCGAACATAATTTTTCCTATACTAGTTTCTCTGAATTCAGTCATAATTGGTATTTATTTCACTAAAATTTGAAATTTAATTTTGGCTATGTTTTTGTGCAAAGTGTTCTGTAAAAATTCATCAAATTTTCTAAAAGTTATTAGAGTAAAGAAGACAAAAACAGGAATTTTCTGAATATTCCAATTAAGTTTGATCGCGGTAAACATTTAAATTTAATTATAGGAATATGAAAACATACAAAATTAATTATAAACTATCATTAATCTTAAATGTGCAAAAGCTATTTTAAATGCTCCTTCAATTACATACTAAATTATGAGCTACATTCTGTTCCAAATTTATAACAAATTTATATAAATTTATATAAAATTTGCAAATGTATACCTCTAAATTTCTCAGTATTTTATTCTTCCTTCAATTTTTCTACAAATTTTCTAATAATGATTAAGTACCTAAGGATATATCTCATTTAATATTAGAACGGATTTTTTAAATATACAGCTGCCGGAGCTCTAAACTTTCCTGCTCATTGTCAGGCTAACAAATAAGTAAATGTTTCAATTCTTTGAAAAATTGTTTGTTTAAATATTTAATGTAAAAAATTTATTATTATTTTATGGTTCATGTGAATTTTTACAAAAATTTTTATTAAAAAAATTTTTTTCCCCAAAATTCTATTAAAAAAAGTGAATAACAAAAATTTATTTTCTCAACAAATTAATTAAACTTGATAAAACACCCACTCAATTTTTTAATATTGAAAACTTAAGTTTTAAAAAGTACAAAAAGTTTAAGGAGTAAAACTTTATAAAAATTGTATTTTTAAATGAGAAAAAAAGTTTTTGGTTCATAATGTTGCTTAGATATTAAATTTTTCTTAAAATTTGTTTCAAAAAATGAAACAAATTTGATTGTTTCGGATTGGCTTGTTTAAATTTTTCTTTGAATATTTCTTTTATTAAGTTCATTATCCTTGTTTATGAATTCAACAGCAGTTGTGGTTGTTGTACTTTTAGTAAAAAGTTTAGATAACCATTTGAATTCGTCTTTCAATGCCAAGCGATGTTCAGTACTTAATAAACATAGATTAAGTTGATAAGATGATATAAGATGAACCCCTAGGGGACTGAAGTTTGTATCTTATAATAAAGTGTGGCTTAAATAGAGGTGAGTCGCTTCGGCAGCTCCCAACTCCATGGTCCCAATGTTAGTAAAGAGGGGTATCTAACAGAGGTGTGCCTTTTGCCTTTTTGTCTACTTCGGACACTCCTGTATCTATGGGTGAGATACTAAATTAGAAACCAGTGGGTTTACCTTGCTGCAAACAAAACTGGAACTTCCATAGAAGCAATTAAGGATAAAAGACAATTCAAAACACAAAGAATTAATTGTTTTTGCATGAATGTTAAAATTGAAGAATATGCGTCAACTACTTGATAAGCAATTAAAGCAAAAAAATATCCAAAAATTTGAATAGACATGATTAAAGCAAGTGTTTTGTAGAGAGCTTTGCGTATATTACAAACTGTAATATAGGAAAAAATAGATTTTTGATTAAATTATATGAAATAAGGTTGATGGATCTGTATATCCGGATCCGAAAAAAGATCCCCATGATCCGCTAACTTAGACTAAGAATTGTAGCTCAGCATGGGGTGAATCAAATAAAGGGGATCTCTTTCCATGCTCATGGAGCCGATTTAATTAGAAAAATATTCTGGGTCTCTTATAATGAGATCCGGCTGTACATTATTAGGAAATATTTAATTACTTTTCCCTTTCAGCTGGTCATATAACAATTTAAAAAACATTAAAATATAGCAAAGCAAGGTCAAGCAAATTAATACAAGTTGGCCCGTCTGTAAAAAGCTCTGGCCATCAATACCAACCAAATCCGCAAAAAAGCATTGAATTTGCCTATTAAACAATGAATAATTTAAGGAAATAATTAAAAATAAATTACAAGAAAGGGTCTTGTATAATAGAGCGGCAGACAAATCCCAAAAAGATCAGAGGGAATGATAATGAAACAAGATAAATTATTTTTAGGTAATGCTTCTCACTTCGAGTTGAATACCTTAAAACAAAAAATTAATTAAGGTTGCCTAATTAATTAACCAAATAGGCAAGAAAATAGCCAACATTCTATCAATTCCAATTATAAGCATTAATGAACATGTATTCATACAGCCCCCGACTGGTATTATCTGTATTAAAGCGCAATATAAGCGAGGTATTTTTCCATATCCAGGAAGCATGAATAAAGTAAATGGAAGCAATATTTGGATTTTTGATAAAAGAGAACAGACGGCATAGATACCCAATAATAAATGGCAAGTACCATGCAAACGCCTTAAAATTTGTGAAAGTGGCTCAGAAACAATCTAAGTTTCCTACTTTTGTTTGACCGTAAGAAATATCAGAACTCCAAAAAGAACTGTCCCAATCTGATCAACACCAGTATTAATAGCAAAAACTGTTTTTGCTACAGTAGCTTCGCTGTCGTCAGTCATTTTATTTTTAAGTAATAAATTTTTCTTTTAATTTTGCTTTAAATTTATTTTAAATAGAGCCAAGTGCATCTGGCATTTTATTAAAGTATAAATATTGTTTAATTTTTAAAAGGAAGTCTGTGGCAAATGTTGAATTGCCAGGTGTATTATAATTATAATTATATATTCAAGCAACTGTCATCTGATTTTTATTAAAATTTTTGATAAACAAAGTGACATTTAAATGTATACTTTTATTTAATAATATTTAATTAACTTGAAAAATTTTTTATGAATATATAATTAATAATGATGATTGATATGCTATAGTACTGATTAATATACCAAGTCTCTTGATTTTATAAGAATTTTCTGTTCGGATATCGGATCCGGATATCCTGAAGATTTCCAAATATTTCCAACTACCCGACAACCATAGTGCCGGTTTCGACTGTCGTCGAATTTCGTCTTTATTGGATTTTCTTCATTCGCCTTTCGCTTTTTAAATAAAATTGTCTGAGATTTACTAGTTGTCTGAGATTTACTAAAATTGTCTGAGATTTTAAACACCACTGAGATTTACTAAAACTTCAAAGAAATTATTAGAGACTGCCAAAGTCTCCTGATTTTATAAGAATTTTCTTTGGGTTTCTTTTTCAATTTTGGTCACGGGGTGAATTTCTTGGTCCTGAGTAGTGAAAATTTATGACCCTGGACGTCTCTGGAAGTTATGGCAATTTTTTGGCCCTGGTTTCAGTCAAAAATAGTGTTTATGAAAGCTCTAATATTTTCTCATGTACAAAAAATTTTAAAGAAATCACAGTCTTTTTGAATCATTAATTAACTAAAGTGTTGATTTTTGGAGGTTGATATGTTTGAACACTTTTAGTTAAATTTGCATTAATTTGTTGTGAAATATTCTGAACATTTGTCTTATTTATATTTGTTGGAGAAGAATTGGGAAACAACCAACGAAATTCTGATTTAATAGCCAAGCGATGTTCAGTACTTTAAGAAAAAATGTCTTTAAAATTTATTTTAATCCTCTAACCTAACAACAAACAAAATAGGGACTTCTAAACTTGAACTTAAGGAGGATATACAATTAATAGCACACGTTATATATTGTAAATCTTCGTCTGTAAACTGGTACGAAATCCTCATTTTTATATTATAAGCAATTGAAGTAAATGCATATCCAACAATTTGGATTCCCATAATTAAAGATAACGTTTTATAAATGGCTTTTCTTTGAACAATAGCTAAATAATTAAAGTTTAAAAAAAGTTATAGAGTAAAATAGGTATTAAACAAGGATGGTACGGGTTGAGAAGAAGGATGGTACGTGTTGTTCGGGTCGGATTTTTAAAATGTTCTTAGGATTTCAGGTAGAAGCCCAGCCTTCAGGTTTAATTGAATAATGAGTGGGAGTGCTAAGAACAATTATACTTAAGATATCGCTCATTATACGAGTTTTACAATCGAGTATATGTATCTTATAGTGAGGTTCGTCTGTATATTATTATTAAACATTAGTACCTTTCCCTTTCAGCTGGTCATAAAATAGTTTAAAAAACATTAAAATATAACAAAGCAATGTTAAACCAATTAGTACAAGTTGCGCCTCCTGAAAAATATTCTGACCATCATTGCCAACCAAATCAGCGAAAAAGCATTGGACATTTCTAAAATAGAAAGCTTTATATGCCTAAGAACTTTTGACTTACAAGAAAGGGTCTTGTATAGTAGTGTTAATGACGAATCCCAAAAAGAGTAGGGGAAACGATAATGATACAAGATACATTAATTTAAGGTAATGCTTTTCACTTCGAGTTGAATACCTGAAAAATTATTAAACAAGCTACTTTAAGGTGCCTGATTAATTAATTAACCAAATAGGCATGAAAATAGCCATCATTCTATCAATTGCAATTATAAGCATTAAAGAAAAAACATTCATACAGCCACCAATAGGTAATATCTGGGTTAAAGCGCAATATAAAAGAGGTATTTTTCCAGATCCAGGAAGCATAAATAAAGTAAAAGGAAGCAATATTTGAATTTTTGATAAAAGAGAACAAACGGCATAAATGCCTAGTAATAAATGGCAAGTACCATGCAGACGTCTTAAAATTTAGGAAGGTGGATTAGAGATAATTTAAACTTTTTCCTACTTTTGTTTAATAGTAGCAATGATTAGAAACGCAAAAAGAACAGTTCCGACTTGATCAACACCAGTATTGATAATCCATGTTGTTCTTACCAGAGGAGATGATCTTGTATCAGACATTTTTGTCTTGTAGGAATTTTCAGAGGACAAGGGAACTCAAAATAGGCTTCTCTCTGGCCTATAGCCTATAGACTAATTACGAATTTTGAAACATAAATAAATTAATGAATAAATTTCCGTCAATTTAAAAGAAATTTTGTATTCAATTATAAAATTATTAGATAAATATCGTGATTAAAATTTCCTTTTTTATTATTAAAAATACAAACTTATGTTTCGAATTGCCTTAATTGAGCTATACTACAATTTTTTTAAAAATCTTTTGTTTAAAATAATTGGTTAGACTTTTTATAGAATTAAAAAAATTTTATTAAACAAAGAAAATTTTCTTAATTTACTTCTTATAATGTACCAAGGGACTGCCGGATATGATTTTAAAGCTAGATTAAAATTTTATACAAGACAAATTTGATATAATCTAAGCTAAGGAAATCTTAAGCTAAAAATGTTTAATCTAATAATTTGTTTTAATTATCTCATTATTTTCTACAATATTTGTTGTTTATTTTTTGTTATTTTAAATAATCAGAACCATTTTTAGACTAATATTTGGAATGTTTATTTATGGAATAACATTATTTTTGTAGTGTTCGAGAAAAACACAAAATTTCGGTGTTGGAGAGGGCTTCAATTTACAGTCAAATTCACCACCATATACATAGAGTATGAATAATTAAGCATGGTGAATCAAATCAGCTATAACGTATGTTTTTAAATTCAAAACTACATATATTAAAATATGAATTAAATTTTTCAATAATATGACTATATTAAAAATAATTTTATTTAAAAAATTCAACTAAATGATCATCAAAAATACATGAAAAATTTAAAAAAATCGTCCGATAATACATGTGTGCTTTACTTTACTAAATATTACATGTATAATGATTATATAAATATACTAGAGCTTCAATAACGTTCTGAAAATTTTTTGGTTCCGGTTCCAGTCAAAATAAAATACTGTACGAGAGAGGCTCTAATATATTTCGATATACAAAAATTTAAAAAATTTTATTTGTGATTAATTCATTGAACTAAAGTGTTGACTTTTGGAGGTTGATATTTTTGAACAAAATTTGTATTTATTTGACTTGTAATATTCGGAATATTATTTGTATTTGGCTGAGGAGAATTGCGAAATAACCAACTAAATTCTGATTTAAAAGCCAAGCGATGTTCAGTACTTTAATAGAAAATGTCTCTAAAAATTATTTTAATCCTCCAACCTAACAACAAACAAAACTGGGACTTCCGCACTTGAACTTAATGATGACATAACATTAACAGCACAGGTTATATATTGTAAATCGTCTGCACTAAACTTGGACGAAATCCGCATTACTATATTATAAGCAATTGAAGTTAGTGTATATCCAACAATTTGGATTGCCATAATTAAAGCTAAGGTTCTGTAGATGGCTTTTCTTTGAGCAGTAGCTAAACAAATAAATTGTAAGGCTCGACTGTATTTTATTATTACCTTTCCCTTTCCATTGTTCATACAATAATTTAAAAAACATTAAAATATAACAAAGCGAGGTTAAGCAAATTAATACAAGTATTATGGATTGTATAAGATTCTGATCATCACTGGCAGTCCAATCTGTGGCGAAGCATTTGACATTTCTAAAATAGAAGGCTTCGTATGAAGGGATTTTCATTATCTCAATTAACTTACATGAAAGGGTCTTGGATGACAGTTTTAATGGCGAATCCTAAAAGGAGTAGAGGAAACCAAAATGAGGCAAGATACATTATCTTTAGGTAATGTTTCTCACTTCTGGTTGAATACCTTAAAATTAAAATTAAATTAAGTCTGTCAATTAAATAGGTAACCAAAGAGGCATGAAAATAGCCAACATTCTATCCGCACCAATTACAAGCATCAATGAAAATACATTCATAGAACCACCGACAGGTATTATTTGGATCAAAGCGCAATATAAGCGAGGTATTTTCCCTGTTCCAGGAAGCATGATTAAAGTAAATGGAAGCAATATTTGAATTTTTGATAGGAGAGAACAGACGGCATAAATACCCAATAATAAATGGCAAGTACCATGCAAACGCCTTGAAATTTAGGGAGGTGGATTAAAGAATTAACAAGGTGGACCTACTTTTGTTTAATAGTAACAATAATTAAAAGAGCAAATAGAACAGTTCCAATCTGATCAACACAAGTATTAATAACCCATATTGTCTTTACTAGAGGAGACTCTCTTGCATCAGTCATTTTTGTCTTTTAGTTTTTTAATTAAAAATTTAACGTTGATAAATTAATGAAAAATTTACTTTAATTTAAAGAAAATTTTGTATTTTATTTAAATAGATTTCGTGATTAAAATTGCCTTTTACTTAATAAATTTTAATAAAATTTTAATAATTTTTAAAATTTTTAAAAGACATGTTAAACGAGTTAAGGACTAGTTAATGAAACTTTTAATAAAACTCATATTTTATTCACGAACATTAAAAGCTTTAATATTACAAAAAGTCATATGAGTGGCTACATTGGCATCATGAAATAACCTTAATTTAAAAGATAAATATTGTATTCAAATATAATTTAATTGCATTCCGTGATTAAAAGTGGCTTTTTATTAAAAACGAGTAGAGGACAAACGGCATTTCATTAAAAATTAAAGAACAAATGGCATAAATGCCTAGTAATAAATGCCGAATTATTACTAGGCATTTAGCCGACTACCCCCTCAGCTTGCATTTAGACGGCCTGGCATTCAGCTAAATTTTAATAAGGTCTTTATTTAGAATGATTAATTAGATTAAATTTTTTCTAGAAATTTTAAAAAATTTGTAAAAAAATTATTCTTTTTAGTATGCACCCACATAAGTATCAGGTGCATTTTTTAAGTAATTCTTTTAATACAATTTTTTAATATTTAACACGAAAGGCGGAAGTTACTTTAAAATGCGAACGACGTAATACGAACCACCAAAAACAGCCGGGAATTTGGCTACCGAAAGTCAAACTAGCTCACCTCTCACCTCCGACTTCCGATTTCCGTTTTTTCCATCCGATTTCCGAAAAAATTTTGATTGCCAACTTTCCGAGTACCGACTTTTGAGCAAGTTCCGATTTCCGGCTCTTCCTAGTTCCGACACCTCGGACTGTTCCGACCCAACTCTGTATGTAAGTATTTCTAACTTTTATTGTCCGACAGGGGGGAGGGAATTAATATTGTCATGTAGTATAATATAAATAATTTTATTAATTGAATTAAAGTTTTAGGATTTATTTAAGAATTTATTTTAAAAAACTATATTAATTTTAGCTGAAGGTATTAAAAATTAAACCAAAATGAATCTTTAAAAAATTGTAGAATAGTTTTAATTGTCTCATTATTTTCTACAATATTTTTGTTTATTTTTTATTGTATTTTCTGAGAAAATATTTAAGCGATGAATTTTGCAGCTAAATTCGCCAAGAAGAGGAAAAACACAAATTTGGGGTGTTGATAAAATGCTTCCAACTTACAGGCTAAATCACCTGATTCGGCGGTACCAGGATTTGTCTGGCGTGTGCAGCTAAGAATGTGGGTCTACTAAGCTTTACATTACTTGATCATATAACTAATGAATCTTTAAAAAATTGTAGAATAGTATTATATTCCAGTGGGCAATTAATATTTCAACCCATCTGTGGGATGGGTATTATTGTTTCAACGTATCCCCGACATGGGGAATTAATCGAGGGTGGGGAATTAATCGAGAAAATGCGGTACCTCAAAAATAATTTTATTAAAGAATTCAAATAAACAAGCACCAAAAATATGAGAAAAATTCAAAAAATCTTTCTATAACCTCATCCATTTTATCATCTATTAAATTTCTCAATAATATCATCATCATTTATATTATTAATCATCTACCTCGTTCTTTAATCATCTCTTCAACCTCATCATCTATTTAGCTATATAAATACCTCTTCATTCTATTAAGCTCTAATTATTTTACCAAAAAAATTTAAACGGTTTGGATGATTTCATCAATTTTCTTTACTTTTTTTTTATCCAATATTTGCTCAACTTCAAGTCGAGATTAAACTCAAACTAATTTTTAGTAATTTCTTAAAACCTATTATATCCTTTAGTTTTTCAATATTTAAAGCTTTGGGTACTTGAGACTAAAAATATTTTTAAAAATGTTAATTAGTTAATATATAACTTTAAAATGCTTTATATTTGTCTAAATGACGATTGAAAGGATATAGTCTTGTGTAAATCGACATTGCTGCTTAGAACATTGATAAATTTTACTAAAAGAATTTCTTTAAGCTTAGAATAAAATTTTTTCTTTAAAATTAATATTTTTTATATGCCGTAAATGTCCTGATAGAATGTTAAGTTGAGTGAGCTAATTGAGCTGATAGGGCTTCATTTATGCATAATGTAAAGGTATGTCTAAAAGGTACCTAAAAAGGCATGTCTAAATTTAAAGACATGTCTTAAGGAATTGTCTAACGGCTTAAAAGATAAAAAATAAAAAAGCCATGTTTAATTTAGCGTATAAGGCATGGGCTTCTATTAGAGCATTCACGGTCTATTTAGATTATAATAGTTAATAAATTTATTAAATCAGAATTCTTGATTAATTATACAAATTTAATTCGAATAAAAAATCAACAATCAACAAGCACCGAAAACAACAGTTTATTCACACAAGCAACAGCTTTTTTTACTCCAAATAATATTTTAAAAGCATTGTGAGTAATTTTTAATATAAAATTAGTAAAGATAATTTTATACTAAGGTAATATCTCTATGAATCACTATCTTATCATTATTTTTTATCATATCACTATTTTAAAAAATGCTTAATAACAATTTTTGCATAGGGTATTTAAACTATAGGGTGATGAAAATTGCCTACTATATTCTCAGTTAAAAATTCATTTTAGAAAAAAAATTTTACTTGATTAAATACTCTTTTGAATTCTCTATCTAATGAGTAATAAAAGATTTGGCATGCGGACATATCGGGACAGACATATCGGGATATGTCAATATACGAACTGTTAACGGCCACTTGGTCTTGGATAGTACATTGGCCTATTGAAGTAAAGAGTTTCTATGCTTTTGAACCAACGTAACATAGGTTATTTTCCTCTCACAGCAATCCCGACAAGTTCGTCCTGATATTCGTCCAGATATTTGCTCACACCTAAGAGTTGTCGGTTTAATATTTTTTGATATCCCACTCATACTGGATTATGTAAGGTGTACTAATCTTCGCACTTCCTCGGGACCCGATCTTTATGTTCATGACGTAATTTAAAATGATGGCAAAATTTTTGAATGTAGTTTAAATATTTTTATGTGGAATAATCCAAGTTTTTATTTTATTATTCAATAAAAATTTAAAAATTTGTTGGTAGAAAAGGTTTATTTACACAATAAAGTTGTAAAACTGTTCACGCGCCCATCGCGAGGCATTTTTAATATGCAAATTCAATGTTTAAAATAGAGCAAAGTTTTTTTTAAATATTTTTTAATATTCAATTGCAAAAACAATCAAAAAATGTAAACAAATCAGCGATTATTCATCGCTTTTTTTAAAACATCTTTCTCTTTTTAGCAAGAAAAAAAAATGAGACAATTTTTTAAAAACATTAAAAAAGGGAAAATTAAATTTCTTTCAGTTTTTTTAAATTTTATTTTCCTATTTTTTAAATTTTTTTAATAGAAAATAAATATGAAAAGAATAACTGATCATAACCTGATCTCATTTCTAGATAAAATCAAAATTTTTAGAAGTTGGGAGGATTGATCACACCTGAGATATTCCTCTTTAAGATACGGCCACTGGAATTAGGTTAACTAAAAACAAGAGATATTCTTATTTAAGATACAGCCATTAGAAGCATATCCCTCTGGGCCTGGACCAAGGCCTGGGTTTTTCCTGTACCCAGAGGCATTTTAGACCTTCCTGAGTTTTTGCTGGACTACATGCCCAGGATCTGACTAATTAATTATTAAAAAGATAGGTTTATTTCCAAAATTTTTCTATTGAAAAACCCATTATATTCCCTAAATCACCTAATTATTTCTTCAAACTAAAAATGAAAATTTTCTGCCTTGGATCAATCTGCAGGGTATTAATTTATATTTTTAATTTTACTAAAAAGCATTTAATTTAATAGAAAATAAATTTTCTATTTAAAGAAAAATTTTTCCAATTTTGCTAAAAATAGTATAGTAAACTAAAAATAATTTATTTTATTTTTTGCATTAATCTTTGCTAACGGCCAAAGAGCAAATTTGTACATTTCAATTAAATATTGGGTTAAAATAAGGGTTAAAATCCTTAAATCTCCTTTTCTTCTCTCAACGTCAATTTGTCAACATACCACAAAGAATACTTAAGCGCGCAATCATCTCATTTACTTACTTTTTTCCTAAGACGATCATCTTCTAAAAGGGGAAAATTTTAGTAATATTTAGTAAAAAATGAAGCAAAAAAAGTAAAAAAAGGGGGGAATAGCATGGAGTGTTTGGGGAGTGTTTGGTCTTTGTTGATATTGAGAGAGATACATTTTAGTGGCTTTTAACTTACAAGAGGTATATAGGGCTAATACAAAACAAATAAAAAAATATATTTATTTGTGTGCGCGATCCTCTCAAGTAGAGGTTATATCGGTGGAAGGGGGAAGGGGCCGGGAATGTTTTGTGTTGGGGAAAAATTTGGGGGAAACTTTCCTCCAATTAATATGTTTTGCACGTGTATTTTTGTTTTGTTTTTTATTATCCCCATCTGTGTTTTTGAGAAACTTTCTTCATTTATTCCCTCATCAGTTTCCATTTTGGATCATCTTCCATTTGCTTTAATCTCAATTTTGTCTCGATTGCTTGTGATTGAGAAGAAAAGGAAAGCAAGGAAAATTAAAGGATCAAATACTTTCTTTTTATTAAATCTTTCCCTCTCTCATCTGTTGCTAAAAGGACAGATTGGGTCGGAGTTGAAGATGTTCTTTACTAAAATAAATTAATTTTTTGTATAACACAAACACATTTATGAAGAAGAATTTTTTTCGTTTTTAATAAATATAATATATTTATGTATCTATCTTAATTTCCTCTAAAAATCCCAAAAATAATGTTGGAAGCGATTTACCTTCATTATCAAAAAATTAATCTTGATTAATAATTCCACTATTTAGTTATGTTTAAAAAATAGATTCACATGAGCTTTGACTAGGGCTGGATAGGGTCTGGGAAATCGCAGGATTAAGAAATAAGGCTAGATCCGTTCCAAAAATTTCCTGATATCCGGTCTTATCTCTCATCCGGACATACAAATCTGCCATCCTTAACTCTGCCTGATTTTTAAATTTATTTTCTAAGTATCATATGATTTTCTTATATTTTTAATTTTTTTGATTTTAATTTTTTTTTAATTTTAATTAAAATTTATTTACTTGTGTATCAATTTTTGACCAATATATATTTTTTTTCTATAAATAGAAATAAAATACTAAATTTATATGACTGGCGAGAACAGCCTCTTTCCACACTTTTTATGTTGATAAGAAGCATTTAGGGGGAGTTGGCGCTTTTCTTTTATGTTTATGCGATCTTTTTGTCATCCTACAAACATTTCCCCCTAATCATTACTTAAACAGGCTAATATTTCCCTTCTTTTTTGGGCCTAAATTAAATTATAAAACATAAAAAGTAATAATTTTATGAGTAAAATGATATCTAATTTTAATTTTTAATTATTTTTTGTTAACATTGTTAAAAAATTATTTTTTTATCTTTTTAATTTAATAATCAATCTTTAGTTACCAATATTTAATTTTTTAATTTTTAAGATATGAATTTTATTTTATATTTTATGATTTATAGTTCTAAAACAGTTGAACCTCGTTTTTGGATACTCCTTTGGGGTGAAAAAGTCGTTACCTTATAGTGTGGTACCAACCAGGACCTAATTTTTAGATACCCCTTTTGGTCTGAAAAAATCACTACCTTATAATGAGAGGTACCTTAAATAAGGAGTATCTTGAATATATGGTATCAACTAAATAAGGGGAATCTTAAGACAGTGCTTCCTCCCAATTGCCAACCAAATTTTAAAAAATCGTATCTTAAACAAGGTTTTATCTACATAGTATTGGAGTTATATAAAATGAGGTTCGATTGTATAATTTTATCAATTTTATCATCACCTCGTCTCAAATAAAATTCCCAAAAATTTCAAAAAATAATCGGCAACACGTGAAGAATATCAAAAAATGATCCTTTTAACTTCCCCTCAACTTCCGTTCTATCGTCTCATAATTATAACGCTTCAACGGTTCCATAAAATATCAAATGCGCATTTATCACAATCAGTTATCGCCGACGGCAGTTGATTGTGGTTACTCTCATCACAAAATTATTATTTTTTTCTGATATTCTTTTACCAATTTTCCCACAGCGCAATATTTATTCCCATAAAATAAAAAGAAATAAAAAAAACTTTTTGGATTCCCCTTTAGATTTGCTTCCTAATCAATTCATATCTGCTCTAAATTAATCCTTTTTTCTTTAAAAGTTTTCTTAAAAGATTAAATAGATAATTCTTCCTAAAATCGTCCTAAATCTTCTTAAAATCTTCAAAAATTGTCCTAAATTCTCCCAAAATCATCAAAAATCGTCCTGAATTCTTTCTAAAACTTCCAAAATTCTCCTTGAACTTTTTCTAAAATATTCAAAAAATTATTCTTATCCTTTTCTGAAATATTCCCCTTTGTGATGGGCAACATTTTATGCCAAAAGGATGTTAGCCCGGCTCCTGGCAGTCGAAAAGGAGTGGAAAAACGCAATACTGTCTTAAAGGTAAAGAAAAGAAATTTTTTAATTAATTTTTAAAATTTATTTCCACTGTTTTGAAGGAAAATTTAATTTTTTTCTCAAATTTTATTTCCAATTTTTTCATTTTTCAAAGGAATTTTTCTTATTTTTTTCTTATTTTTTTCTTATTTTTCCTTCATTTTCTCTTCCTTGATTAATATTTGACCTATTAAACAATAAAATTTTTGTCAGAAAAATTTTTAAAGAAATTTAAAATATAACACGAGAATCTTTTTATTATTTTTTTGCATAACCGCTCAAATCAACGTGGCAAAGTTTGACTAAATAAATATACAAACCTTTTTACACACATGTTAATAAATAAGAATCATTTTAAATAAAAGCGATGCTTTAAAACTTACTTAGTTTTTAAAAAAATTAAGAATTAAGTCTCTCTAAAAATTAGGAATTACCTCTTTCTAAAAATTAAGAATTAGTCTCTTAAACCAAGCCCTACAACGACTTTGAACTAATATTTGTTCATGACCGGTTAATCTTTGCTTGTGGCGGCTAAAAAGAGAAGAATAAGATCATTAGAGCCACCACAGGCAAAAGCTAACCGGTCGTGAACCCCTTGAACTTAGCTAGAACTGTCCAAAACTTAAATTTCTAGATGTTTCTTAGGTTTTAGGCGTTGGGTTGAAGTCTTGGTCTTATTTCAAGTCTTAAAAAATTAGGAGCAAATACCGGGTCCGTTCTTTTTAAATTTCAATTGACTTTTTTGGGAGTTTTTGGCTTTAGGGTGAAGTCTTAGTCTTGTTTCTAAGTTTTAAAAAATTTTCAAAGTCTTGGAAAAAATCAGAAAAGACCCAACTTCATTTTTAAATACTAGGAATTTCTTATTTTATTTCGTTAAGAACGATAATAAAATATTTTCTAAAAATATTTAAAAATATTCCCACATAAAATTTTAAAAAATGAATGTTGTTAAACGATCATTTACAATTGCTTCCGTTGCTGAATCAGAAACTTTGGTAATTTTAAAAATATTTTTATTTATTGACAGAACAAAAACCAAAAATTCCCCTTTTTTGGCAATCCTTCGATTTCCCCTTTTTGAATTTTTGATTCATTTTTATTTTTAATTCTACCTTTAAAATTGTGTAAATACGGAACAAAGCCCAAAAATTGCGGCGCATTTCAATAAAAATAAAAAAATATTTAATTGGTCTAATACATTTTTAAATCCTTTTTTCCTCTCTTTTCCCCTAACCCGTTAAAATCTCTTCTCTTTTTCATTCAAATTGGCCATCAATTCTCGATTTAATAATTCACACATAAATATTTATTTTATTATTATTCACCTCTCTTTCATCTCTTTTAATATTTTACCTCATTTAATTTTCATTTTTAAATATTAAATAAATATTTTTTAATTATTTTTTTGGTGGTACAATACATAGAAGAATAAAAGAAATTTTTTAATTAAAATCTTATCTAGTTAAAAAAATCTTTTTTAATTTAGACTTGAGGTATTTTTAAGTGAATAAAAAATAGAGGTGTATTCCCGCTATAAAATACACCTCTTGGGGTCTTGTAATTTAATTTAGACGAGGGTTATTTTAATTAGTAAGTTTCTCTCTGGAAGCTTTCCCCATCCAGTGGTCAAGTTAATTTTAAAATACTCTCCCTATCAGATACACCTCAATTTAAAATACTTAAAGTTTGATTTTTCACTAGGAGGGGGAGAGCCTTCCAACTGATACCCTTTATTTAAGCACACAGCATTATAAGAGACAATTTTCAACCCCAAGGGGGTAGCTTATAGCAGGGTCTTTAAAAAATTTGAATGAAAAATAATAATTCTCTTTATATTTAACAGAAAGTCCGGAGCCTAATGGAGGAAAGACGAAGACGTTTCTCCACTGCTCAGCAGATTAATCCAGACACGTTAAAAGTAATATTAAAAAAATTTTTAATTTTTAAATATTTTTAAAATAATTTTATTAGGTAATTAAAAAGGCAGCTAATCGTTTAGAAAGTATTGCTGACACTAAAGAAGAGCCTGATAATAAAGAGTAAATTTTCAATTTTTAATTTTAAAATTTTAGCGAAAAAAAATTTAATTAATTTGGCGAAATGACAATTAATTTTGAACGACAATAAGACGGTGGGACAATTGGACACTGAACAAATAGCCAGTGAATTGTGGTTCATTTTTATGAGAAATCCACATTTACTGTCCAACTTCCTTTTGTCTAATTGTTTTATTGTTCAATTGTCCTGTTGTCCAATTGTCATTATGTCAAATTGTCATTTTTTCCAATTGTCTTTTTGTCCAAATTTAGACAATTGGACTGAGGACAGATAGCCAATAGGAGAAAAAATATCCAAATATAGATAAAAATAGCCAAGACTGTCCAATTGTCAGTGCCACTAATCATTTAAAATTTAGGCAAGTCTATGAGAGGAAACATTCAATTCAACAAACAGTTACTTCCAAATTGGGAAGTTTGGCATTATTTAAAGACGAAGATGAAGACGATATTTCTACTGCTGGTGGAGGTTTATTAATAATTAAATTAATTTTTAATTAAAATTTAAGGTGCTTCATTCATCTCTGCCTATACAACCCCCGGCCCTAAAGAAAGAGCAACATGTGCAAAGAAGAAAGCAAATTTGGGAGTCATGTTTGGGGTGTATCTTCCAACAATTCAGCACATTCTGGGGGTTACTATGTTTATCAGACTGTTTTGGGTTGTCGGAGTTGCCGGTGTTTGGCATACAATGTTGCTGTTATTTTTGGTAATTTTTTTATCTATTTTTGGGTTGAATATTTAATTTTAAATCAGGGAAAAATTCTTCAAAATTTTTAAGTCTAGTTGTATTAATATAAACAAAAAAAATTTTTCAGTGTTGTACCTGTACTTTACTTACATGTATCTCATTATCTGCTGTTGCTACAAACGTATTAAATATTTTTTAAGCAATTTAACAAATTTATTTTGAAGGGTGTGGTAGAAGGCGGTGGTGCGTACTTTATGATTTCTCGAAATTTGGGTGCTGAATTTGGCTTTGCTGTTGGAATTCTTTTTTATTTGGCAAATACAGTTGCTACCTCTATGTATTTGGTTGGAGGTGTTGAAGTCTTCCTTCTATATATTTACCCAAGCTTAACAATTGGTGGGGAAGAGGTTCACTCTGACACTGGAATGCTTGGAATGATGTCTAACGTATTTTTAATTATTTTTAAATTAACCATGTTTATGTTTATTTTTTAGAATTATAGAATATATGGCACTCTTTTGTTATTAATTGAATGTGTAATTGTTGCACTTGGAGTTAGAGTAATTATTTTAAAATTTATTTTTAAATTATTTGGACCTCATTATTTATTAAATGCCCTTTATAAGAGACCTCAATTTAATATACACAATTACGAGGGGAGCTGCTTAACAGGGTGGTGTATCTTCGTCTTTCACCGAATTTTCGAATTTTTTGGTGGTTCGCTTTTTACAATCTTTTTCGCACATCCATGCTGCCTAACATAATAGATACCCTCAAATTTTGGTCTAGGGGAAGGGGATCTGTCTCGCATAGGTGCCTTCCTCTTGTGTATATTCACCCTCATCTAAAACGAGATTGAATGTATCCAGGAAATTTTTTTTATTTTAAAGTTTGTTCAACTCCTTGCTCCAGTTTCTCTTCTTTGCGTCATTCTTTCAATCATGGCATGTTTTGCTGGAGGAATTGAAAAAGCAATTACATATAATGGACAACAGTTTATTTAATTTTTTTAATAAAATTATTTAAATTTATTTTAAGTGTGTGTATGTTGGAAGACCATTTATTAAGTTCTCGCGTTTTGAATATTCCACATCATGAGGATATTGCTAATATTTGTGATTATTGCAAAAAAGGAGATCAGTAAGCGTTCTTTAAATTGACTTATAATGTGGGGTAGCTTAAGTAAAGGGTATTGGTCGAGAAGCTCTCTCTATCTAGTGGCCAGTCTCCCATTGTCCAGTACTGACTGTGTCAGTATTATTTTCTAAAAATTTTCTAGTATCGCTGACGAGTTCTGTGAAGGAAACGCTACAACAGAAGTATGTCAAACTTATACTGGAGGTAATCTTCGATGTGTCAACGCCTTCCCTGGATTTAATTCTTTGATTTTAACACAAAATATGGACTCAGTCTATCTTCAGGTTGGAAATTTTTAAATTAAATTTAAATAAATTTTAAATTTATTTAATAGGCAGGACAAGCAATCCTACGTGAACGAGTGGCTGATAAAGCAAGAGAAGTATATCAAGATGTTACAACCTCATTCTTCCTCCTTTTAGCTATTTATTTTCCTGCAGTGACAGGTTATTTTATTTCTAAAAATTCTCAGAAATTTTTTTGATTTTTAGGAATAATGACGGGGGCTAATATGAGCGGTATGCAAATTAAAATTTTATCATAAAACAGCAATTTTCTGTTTTTTAGGAGATTTAAAAGATCCTCAAAGAAGTATTCCCTCTGGCACAGTTGCAGCAACGCTAACTACCTCTTTTATCTATGTTGCCTTGGCAATTCTTTTTGGTGCTTCTATTATAGGGTAAATTTAAAAAAATTTTAATTTAAAAATAAAATTTAAAAAAATTAATTATTAGACCAGTTCTTCGTGATAAAAATGGAAAAAGTCTTGATGGAAGTTTAGTTGTTGCGTCACTTTCTTGGCCTTCTCCTTGGGTTGTTATTGTTGGTTCTTTTCTTTCTACATTTGGAGCTGCTTTACAATGCCTTTGCAGTTAATTTTAAAAATTAATTGATTTATTAAAAAAAATTTTTTAAAGGTGCCCCTCGTCTCTTACAATCTATTGCTAAAGATAATGTAATTCCAATGCTTTCACCTTTCGCTAGAGTTACAAAAAATAATGAACCTTTTCTTGGACTTTTGATCACTACATTTATTGCTGAATTGGCTATTTTATTAGGTATAAATTTTATTGTTTAATTTAAAAAAATGGGGTCAACCCTGAAAGACCTATAACTTTTGAAAAGGAATATTGAGGGATTTGGTGTTATTAAAGGGGATAGAAATCACTAAGTGAGTAGTCCCCCCAGAGTTACTCGCCCGGAGTTAGGGAGTACAATTGAGGGATGCCCCGTAATCCCTCAATGTTCTCTTTCAAAGGTTGTAGGTCTTCAAAGGTGTACTCAAAAAATTTTTTTAATTATTTAAAGGAGCGGTAGACGCAATTGCTGAAGTTTTGGACTTTTTCTTTTTGATGTGTTATGCCTTTGTTAATTTAATTTGTGCTTTACACTCTTTAATGGGTGCTCCAAATTGGAGGCCAAGATTCAAATATTATCATTGGTTTATTTTTAAATAAAATTTCCTTAATTTTACTTTTAAATTAGGTCACTTTCACTTGCTGGTGCTTTTCTTTGTTTCTTTATAATGTTTGCCTCGTGTTGGTATTATGCATTAATTGCTTGTGCCTTAACTGGAACAATATATAAATATGTTGAGTGGAAAGGGTAATTAATTTTTTAATGCGAATACTATGGTGTTGGCGTCGGTTGATTTTTCCCTATGGCGGCCCAAATAGGGAAGGATATTATTAAAACCTTGTGGGCATGGACTAAAAATGATCTTTTGAATTTTTTAAATAAAAAAATTTATAAAATAAAATACTTATTTAAGTGCCAAACAAGAATGGGGTGATGGCCTTAGAGGATTAGCATTAACAACAGCACAATATAGTTTAATGAAAGTTGAAGATAAAGATCCTCATCCAAAAAATTGGAGACCTCAATTACTTATCCTTGTCGATGGCAAATATTCAAAAGAAATGATTGATTTGCGTTCCTTAAATTTATTAAATTTGGCTGGTCAATTAAAAGCTGGGAAAGGACTTGCAATTACTGGTTTATCAATTTTTTTATTTTTTTTTTAAATTTTTTTGTTCAGTCGCCTTTGTTCGTTGTCCAGCAACACGTGGAATGCATGCAGAAAATCGTAAAAAAGCAGAAGAAATCAAAGAAAGAGTTCAACAGGATATGACACAAGCAAGGCTTAGAGGGTTTGGGAAAGCACTGCTTTACACAGAAACACAAGTATTTTGTTTTAAAAAATTTTTGAAATTTTTCTGAATTTTTCTTCTAGATTGAGGGTGCTGTTTCTGCACTCTATCAAAGTATAGGAATTGGTGGACTTAGGCCAAACACTGTGTTCCTCAATTTTCCAAGAATGGGAGAAAATCAGGATCAACATACTGAACAAATGATTTTTGCTGGTAAAGGAAATATTTTGAATTTTTCAGAATTTTTTTTTAAATTTAAGAACAATTATGTTGTGGTGCTCAAAATGATAATTGTATGGTTGTTGTTAAAGGAATAACAGACTTTCCTCGTCCCAATGATAGACTTAGAGGTTATCTTGATATTTGGTGGATTGTCCAAGATGGGGGTATTTTAATGCTTATTGCTTATTTATTGCAACAACATAAAGTATGGAAAGGATGTAAAATGCGGTGAGAATAATTTTTTATAATTTTCTTGTTTTATGGTGGGAGGGTTTAATAGTGGGGAAAACAAGAGCCAAGAGGTCGCAGGTTCACTCCTGCCCGGTGCTTCTCCTGGATCAATCCAGGAGAACAACACCTTATAGATATCAGCTCTCTAGTGGTCTGCTGACAATGGAGGCAACTCCAAATATTTGGGTGGATAAATGGGACTAACGATCACCAATACATTGGCTTGCTCTCTTTTGTCTTATTTAACAGTTAGTTGGCACCTCTTGGGGTGGACCCATTATTATTTGCTTATTACTTCCAAATTAATATTTAATTTTGTTTATATTAAAAAATTTTTTTTAAGTGTTTATGTAATTTCTCAAACAGAAGAACAAAATGAAGAAATTAAACATGCATTACAAAGACATATTTATATGTTGCGAATTGATGCTAATGTAAAAATTATTTTTATTTATAAAAAATTCAAATTATTTTTTTAAGGTATTTATTGTAAATATGATTGATCCAGATAGCGTAGATGATGACGCTGTTCAAAAAACTTTAAATATGGAACAAAGGACAAGAACACTTTTAAAAGTATAATTTTTGAAAGATTAGTTCACTTATAGTCAAAAAATTTTTTTGGATTTTTTGGAGGGTGTGCGGACATTCGGGATTGCTGATAGAAAAAAACTGTTCTTCAATGGGGCAATGTGTTAACCAGACCCAGTGGTCGTAGGTCCCGACATCAGTCCCGGCATGTCCGCATGCCTTTTTAAACAGGAGAGAAAGAAAATTCCTTGCCCTCCTCTTTAAAAATTAATTTTTTTCTTTTAAAGAAAAATTTATCAAATCTTTCAAATGGAGGAATGCTAAATGGTGGATTTTTATCAGACGATAGTGGTCGTGTAACTCCACAAACTAGAAATAGTGCAAACAATACTTTAGCAGTTCCAGGACAGCAACAAATAAGACAATCAATTATTGAAACGAGTTTTATTCAGTAAAAAAATTTTTTTTAATTTTCGATTCAAAATTTAATTTTATAGAAAAACATTTGAAGGAATGGATAATCAAGATACTCTAAATAGTTCTGATCAAATTAGTTTAAAAGATATTGATGATGTTAAGGTAAAAGACTTTTTGTATATAAATTGAAAATAAATACTTTCATGAGGTATTTTTGGGAAGGAATTAAAAAAAAGAAATTTAAGGAAAGAGATTTAGGGGTCAGGCCCAAGCTTATTGTTTGCTGGGCCAAGTCCTATGGCCGGCGTAATGGGATGTATCTACCCCACTTTAGGATATTTTTTATCGTTTGGGTATCGACTGAGATTAACCTCTACTATTTAACGATTTCTCAGTTCCCTGGGAGATATTTTGCAATGGGGATATCCTATTGTAATGGGGGGATATTCGATAGTAATTATAATTGTAGCGGGGTCTATCTATTATAATACATATATAAATTTAGGTACAAAAAATGAATGCAGCTGTTCGTTTAAATCAAGTAAAGAAATTTAAAATTTAAAAACTGATAGTTTTAAATTTAAAGGTGATTCTGGAATATTCAACAGAAAGTCAATTAGTTTTGCTTTCATTACCAAAACCACCAAAATCGATTCAATCTTTAGTAGAGAATTACTTAGCCTATGTAAATTTAAAATATTAATTCTTTAAAATTTTGTTATCTTTTAGGTTGAAGCTTTAACTGAAGGTCTTCCAAGAATAATGTTAATTGGAGGTTCTGGTAAAGAAGTTATTACTGCTGATTCTTAAGATTTTGAATAATTTTTTATATGAATCTTTTATTTACTACAATCGAACCTCACTATTGGATATCCCCCTTATATTAGATAGACAACAGGGGTGTGCCAGTTTCGCAATTGCTGGTGACCTGTTATATTTTCCCTGTAGTGGCTCAAATACACTTATTTTATTCTTTATTAGAAACACCAGAGGCAAGAATTAACCGGCCGTCAACAACTCTTTATACTGCCCCAATTTGATCAAGATTCATTTTTTTAATTTTAGTTGGTCAAAGGGTGGAGTGGGAGCTGAAACGAACCCCCCTTCTTTTAGATAATCCTCATTGTAGTATATACTTTTCTGATTTTACAGTGAGGTTTAGATTGTAATTTAAATACTTTCCAATGCACAATTTTTTTATATTTTTTTTCTACCAAAAATTTTTTTGACCTTTTCGAAAATTTTTCGAATTTCTCTTACATTACTTTTTGTATCAAGCAATATATGTACAATTACCTTTTTTTATTATTTTTTATTTTATAGAATTTCAATTTAAAAAATAAATTTTTTTACAATCTTAATATTTAAAATAAATTTAAGAAATTTTTCAATCAATTTTTTTAAAATAAAAGTGCAATCAAATGATTTCGCCAAAGTGCATCCACATGTCAAATCTATCCCCTTTGACAGTTTATAAATGCCGACACTTTTGTTTATCAATACAAAATAAAAAATATTTATATTTAAATTAAATACAGTCAACCCTTAAGAGATGGAGAAAATTTAACCTTCCCTGAGCCTGAAAGACATTTAGGTATCTTATAATGGGGTGTATCTCTTAACCCCCAGACCAATGGCCAACCAAATTAAAAAGGGGATCTTAAACATGGGGGGTTAACTGGGTATCTTAAAATAGAGGATGTCTCTTTGGCATATCCTCGTTGCCTATCACCATAATAAAATCCTAAACTGAGGTACCTAGTAGAGGAGGTATCCAGAAAGGGCAGATTCTTATTAAATTTTTTAGGTATGAAAAAATATTTTATTTTTTCTTTATTCCTGTATTTATTAATTCCGTCCTCATTTGGAACAAAATTAGCACACCTCTTAAATATTGATCAAGAAGAAATAACTTTAAAAATTCTTGATGAAGAAATTGCAAAAATTATGGAAGAGGATGCTAGGGAGAATTTAAAAAATAAAAAAGGAAAGAGTGAAATTGAAGAGATAAAAGAGGATGAGGATTTTGAAGTGAAAGAGGAGGAAAATGTTGAAATTAAAAATAACGTATTCTCTCTAAAAATAGCCACCGGGGGATATTTTTTCGTTCGACCTGTAGAGGATGAGGGGGGATATTTCAGAAGAGGGGAAGGGCTATTCAGAAAGGGGGGAAGGGCTATTTTAGAGCGGGGCTTTTTTAGAGAAAATACGGCAATTTTGAGGCTTCTTCCTCTTCAAGTTTAATAAATCAAGAAGAAGAAGAAAAAATTAAAAGCCTTGAAATATTAAAAAATTCTGAAGATGAAAACAATTTTCCTTGTAAAAATGTTCTGGAACCCTTTCGAAAATTTAAAAATGAATTTTATGTTTATTTAAAAGATGCAATTCCCAATAAAATGCCGATCTTAGTTGAAGTTGAAAGGGCTTATTTTTTGGATAAACTTTTGAGAGAATTTTTGACTAGAGGATTTGATGAAGGAAGTGATGGGTTAAAAATAATTTTTAGAAAGATTGATGAAATTATTGACTATTTTGGTCAACAAATGGAAAATATAACTAGATATAGTTCCAAAAATAGAAGGTTAGTGTGTAGATTTAGCATTTTAATAGGAATGGATTTGGAAGGAAGCATATGCTGGCCTTAAGACATTGAGTTAAGCCTGGGCCTGTTCCTGGGTTTGATTTATTGACCTGGTCCGGGTCCTGGGCCTGTATTAGTCCAGGAAAAATCCTAGACCCAGGAAACTCCCAGGATGGTCAAAAAATGCCTGGGCCTGGACTCTGGGTACATGAAACCCTCCCCCCCATGCCTTGTTAGAGACCCAGCTCGATCTCTAGTGCGAACCATATTTGCAAACGGACAAGTACGAACCGACATTTCGAATTTGAGTCCCGACATTTGCGGTCAGATATTTGCGAACCAGCATAAGTAATCTTTACTTTAAGCGAGAATGTGTACAAATGGTTTGATAAACTTCGTGAAATGGATAATGATTTGGCACAAATCCCAATAAAAACAAAATATGGAATTTTAATTTGCCAGCCTTTGGAGCAGTTTAAAGGACTTGAAGTAAAATTTAAATTAAACAATAAAAATATTTGTGATGTTGCCGACGAATTTGGGGAAAATATTTTGGAAAAAATTGAAATAGAAAAAGGAAAAAATAAAAAAGGATGCTCTCCTAATTTAATAAAAATTAATTTGAAAGAAAAATTGAAAAAATATTTTAATACAGAAAAGACTAATTTAAACGATTTTTTAATTAAAAATAGAGAAAGGATGATTAATGAATTGGAGGGAAGTTGTGGAGAAAATATTTTAAAAATTAATGCCGAAAATTGGTTATTTTTGGGGGGAACGGGTAAAAATGAATCTACGGTTAATTGTCGAGGGGGTATTGTTAATGAATTGAATTTGAAGATTGAAGAAGCGATTGAACGTCTTGTGAAGAAAATACCTGAAGATGGCCAACTTAGGGTATGAAGGATTTTTTTAAATAAAAAAACTCAGTATAAGATGCAAACTTAGGGTCGAAAAAATTCTATCTTGTGAGGGGTACCTTAAATAGAAGGTATTTATTAATTGAGAAGCTGTGTCATCCAAACCCAATAGACAAACAGATTTTAAGAAAACGTATAGTAAATTGAGCGTATCTAATAAGGTTGGTGGATACTGGGAAATTTTCGAATATCCGTAGCGATATCCGAACTGGAAGATTCAGATACTTGGATACAGATCCTCTATCTCAACCGAAAATTTCCGGATATCCTGTCTTTTTCGGATCCAGATCCGCCTAGTATTCAACATAGAGAGTTCTTATAGAGAATATTTACTATATAATTTAAGTAAATTTTGTTTCTTTTCTAAAATAATTTTTTGTAGCAAGAATATGCATCAATCCGTGCTCATTATTTATTGAACAAAATGGGACTTAAATTACATTCTAAACTAGTCAAAATAATCGGGGGAAATGAGAAGGATTTGGTTAAATTATTCGAAAAAATAGAGGTTCCTTTTGATTCAGAATTAATCGAAAATTCTTTATATGCAAAAACAATAGTTGAAGAAATGTTTGATTTAATGAGTGGGAATGGGGAGGAATTGGAAAACTTGAAGGAAGCAATTCAAAATCCAAATGTTGAATTGCCTGAAGAAATGGTTGATGAGAGAAAATGGATAAAGTCTTTGACTGAACGTGTGGCAGTCAATAGAGAAAGTCCAAAAAGTTCAAGTAAATCACCTAAGGTACTGAACTCACTACTAGATAAACTTTGGGGGTGAATAGTACCTGTGAGGTCCAATTGAAATATTATGCATGACAGTACTGGAATGATGGCGGTTAAGTATAATGAGGGTATTTATTCCCCTTAAGTTCTGGGAAAAGTGATTCTCTAAATACATTAGCATATTTTCTTACTATTACCTGGAATCTCTAATAATCCAGGTTAATTATTGTTTAAACCTCTAGCTATAGTGAGTATTTAATTGAAAAAAGAGGTAATTATTCAACGAGAGGAATGGGCAATTCCGAGGGTGATTATCGCAGGTGAAGGGGGGATTATTCAAGTGAGGTAATTAATTAATCAAATAGAGGGGGAGCAATTATTCTAGGGATTGTAAAGTTCCGAACGACTACAAAAATTTTAATTTAAGCCAAAAAAGAGTACTAAACGACCAACAAATCCTTATGATAATCAGAGTGAGGCAAGAAAGCTAGGCTATGTTCAGCATGATGTAGCCAAGGTTCTGATAGCTTATGAACGTTTAAATCGTTTCTTCAAAATTGAGAATTATGCAAATAATTGGAAGGCTAAAATAGAAGCAAATATTGAAAATGAATCAGTACGTTTATTAAATGAGGATTTATTTGAGAGCTATTTAACTTATATAAAAAATTTAAAATATGATGAAAATATGCCTATGAATATGGAAATGTTTCTTTATCGAACTTATGGGTTAAAGAAAAAATGTGGAGAAAATTGAAGAGAAATGACTAAAAATGATTTTTAAAGAAATAATTCGGAGTTTTTTAATATACTATACAGTCGGAACCGCATTATAAGATGCCCCACCTTACCCCGCTTTGGGCTAAAAATCGTATCTTATGTTAGGGTGTCCACAAAAGGGCGAGAACGTTTCGGGTGGGCCATAAAGGTCGTGCTCTTGGGCCCGAGCTTAAACCTTTCCCAAAGGCCGGCATTTCAGGGATAAAAATAGGAAAAAGACCTAATATGTACATCCCAGCCGACTTTGTATTTAATAAATTTCCATACCGTAGTACGGTATGGTGCGAAATTCCGATCACTAATTGTAATATTAATCTGTGGAAGATAAATGTTGAAAAAAATTAATTTAATTAATACGTGAGTAAATGTAATTACCTAATCTAAAAAATCGTATTAAGACAGTTCACCATAAATACAATTCACCGAATGGGAATTCTTCATACGGGATTAATGTTTTGTTTAAATTCCTAAAAGAGATTAAAGGGAGATATTTTTGCAAAGCAAGAACATTTTTTACCAAAAATATTTTTAAAATATTTCAAAATAATCCTCTCAAAAACACCCCTTTTTTACTATTTTTAAGAGTTGAAGAAAATTATTTTTTTTATTATTGTCATTTTCCCCCATCATTATTGGCCTTCAATAAATTTTGTCACAAAATTGTAACGACTTTGCGCATTTATAATTGATTGAGATAAATAAATAGTCAATTAGGTACTTATTTTTAGAGAATAAAAACAACAAAAAATTTATTTTTGCATTTAAAGACGGGGAGAATTTTTTAATTTTTAAAATTAATTAACTCTTAATTAATTTAATTAAATGTTTCGTAAATTTTTAATATTTCTTTTAATTTTATTTTTTATTCCTATTATCATTGCGACAGAGAATTGCCTTTATAAATGTAGAGATGGGAAAGAAAATCTAGTTGATGGACGTTCAGATTTTAAAGGTGGAGAATAATTAATTTTATTAAATTCGGATTTAGACCAGGGGGTAAATTTAGAACAGGGAGGTGACGAAATTAATTATAAAAGCCCAGAGGTGAAATAATAAAAAACGAAAAAATTCAAAAAGACAGAAATTCGCCAAAAGACAAAGCACCAAAACAAGCGAAAGACTTCATTTTTAGACACTCGTTTGGCAACTCATTATGAGGGCCCTCGCTATAAGCGACTATACACCCCATTATAAGCGACTATATTTCCAGCCCTTAGGGTAATCTAAAAACGAGGAATACCCTAAAAAATGATTTAATAAATCTAATTTTACAGCAAAATATCCTGTAAAAATTAAACGTCTACGTGGAACACTTTACCGTCCGAACAAAGAACCTGCTTGTAATGAAAATAGAGCGACTGTTTTAATGCCTGGAATTGTTAAACTTTTGGAGGGTAATTTTTGAAGGAAGTTTTGTGAAAAATTCTTTAAGGTGAAATGCTTGTTCCAAAAAATAATTTTGATTTAATTAAATCTGGCACAGTCAGAATGACAGTTAATTCGCCTAATTTTGATAAACCAATTTGTTTAAATGGGACAAGTCAGTATTTAGCTATGCCTAATTCTTGGTGGTTTGTAAATTTTAATTAAAAATAGTTGGAATAAAATGGCTTTGGAATTTTAATACTGTTGGACCCAGGACCAGAGGTGGCTCGGAAATCACGATGGTGCTGGAAATTGGAACTGTTGGAAATCGGAAATGGCTTAAAAGTCGGAACTCGGAAATCAGTCTACATTTTCGGAAATCGGAAATCAGACACACCTCTAGCTGCTCAGGACCTCATTTACGCCCTTTAGGTTAAAAAATCAGACACTAAACTGAGGTGCCCACAATATTGGAGGTATCGGCATTTATGGATTATAGGGTATACCTTTGAGAGACTTCTGTGGGAGGACACTTGCGGGCCGACATCTGAGGACATTTAGGGTTGAAAACTTTCTAGATTAATTTACAGATTTAAAAGAATAATTTTTTAGTTCATTCAATTTATGTGAATTTATTGGAAATGATTTATGCAAACTTTTACAAACACCCGGAATTCATACAATTAGGGAATTAGAAAAAGTACTTAATTTTAACTCAACCCAACTCCTTCCTGATCCACCTGGTATTTTTGGGATTACTTTATTGGATATATTATCGGTAAATTTATTTACAGTAATTAATATCCCATCCAAGTCAATACACCCCCTCTCCCCTCCCCCGAGGAAAAAATCGTGTTTTCGGTGTAGTGGGAAGATTTTCAGTCAATAACCAAAGGGGGCAAAGGTTCGAATCCTCTTGGTGGAAACAATTTTTATTCCGTAAATAATGTAAGAATAATATGTATTTTTAAGGGCGAATTTTCTTTCTCAATGTTTCTTGAAACAGAAGGAAAAACTATTCTGGAATTACAAATTCCTACAAATCAGAAATACCTCCAAATAGGAGTGGATAATACTTATTCAGAAGAATGCCATTAAATTATAACTCAGTAAAATAATTAGTAGTAAATTAACTTTAGGAAAAAAATTTTTTATTTTAAAAATAAAAATAAGGCTCTTCTTTAGGGCATGCGTCACATACTTTAAGATATTTCCCAAGAGCTTATGAGTTCCAAAAGCAATTTCCGTCCTACTTGCGTCCTATTTTTGGGTTGACGCATAGTCGTTCACAGGACGCATAGTCGTTCATAGGACGCATAAACTCTCATAAGACGCAAAAAAGCTCATAGGACGCATGCCCTAAAGTATAGCCAAAAATATTTATTAATTTAAATAAAGGCAAAAAATAAAAATATAAATGAATATTTAAAAATATTTTTTAAATTTTCAATCATCGAGTTTGTATTTTGCGACTTTTTTCCTTCTTAAATTCTTTCCTCATAAAAATCTCCAAAAATCAAAAATTGTTTAAAAAAACATTTATTGAAGCAGCTGCACATAATTTGAAGGGAAAAGGCCACAAGCGCCATTCGGCGAGCGGCCGTACCACCAACCATCGTGCACCATTTGTATATCGGAAATGATGTCATCAGGATTAAATGTCAACTCTGTGTTGTCCTTTAAAGTATAGGGATTATAACTAGTGATCAGATGTATCGAATATTCGATCGAATACTTTGAATTCGAAATATTCGACTTCAAACATTCGATTTTGACATTTTTAGGTCTCTAGATATAGTTAAAAGACTCGGCACTAGGTAAGGTTTGTGAGTCCGGATCGAAAAGTCCGAATATTCGAAGTTTTTCGGTTCGAAAATCGGATCCGGATATCCATAGATTTCCCAGATCCTCGACTTGTTACGTTCGTTAAACTCGACCCCTTTGGGTGACGTTAGAAAGGTAGTTATTTAAGGAAATACGGCATAAGGACTCTTGGCACTACTAGGCCTTTTTGCGGAAGGTATAAAGAAGGATCACAAGGATAATTCTCTCTTTAAAATTATTTATTCACCTCCGCCTGATAATCCCAAAGGGCTTTAGCATTAACTTGTTGTTTTTGTTTATGTTGTTCATTTACTAAATTTATTTTTTCTCCACCATTTTTAATATTTTCTTCGCCAATATTTTGTTCCTCTATTATTTGTTGATAGTTTTCCGTATTTGTTGGTTCACTTGGGGGAGGAGAAATATTTGTAGTATCTCCGTTTTGTGAAGACAAATTTAATAAATTTAAGTCCTCATTAATTTTCTTCCCATTTTCCTCTAAATTAATTCGAGTTTGGTCGCCATTTTGTTGATTTAAAGGAATTCGAGCAACCGGGGGAATTGGTGCTATTGGAATTTTATTGACAACTGAGAGAAAAATAAATTTATTTAAACATTAAAAAATCATGGCTCTTATACAGAAAGCGTCCAATCACATTTTTATGAGCTCCTTCTATGGCAACAAATACTCTTTTGATGTTAGAACCTTGTATGGTTCAGGGGTCGAGTTTTGCCTTCCGACTTTCACCGTTCGCTTCTTAAATCGACTAAAACCACTTTCGTAACACTACTGCTATGGTTCGGTATTGCGCATAACTCTGGTTGAGTAGATACGCGGAACCGGGTACCTTCGCCATAGAGTGGACGCATAAACTGGACAAGTTCCAAATTTATTTACTAGGTTCCTCTGGCTGTTTTTCAACTTTTTCTAGTTCATTTTTTATTTCTGCTACAGATTTTGTTTGTTCTGTTCGTTTTTCTTCTTTTCTTTTTAGTACACATTCAAATTGTTTTGGTGGTGGCGCTGGGACTTTGTTGACTGGAGGGGTGTTTAAACGATTTTGTAGATTGACCTTAAAAATTTTTAAAAGTCAGGCTTCTCTTAGATGTCTCGATTGGATTGAGATAAAAGATATAATGAGGGGTATGTTAAATAGAAGGTATTGCTTGAGCAACTCCCCCACCCAGTAGTAACTCCCCCAGCAACTCCCCCACTCATACGACCAAGTTTAAAAAACGTCTCTTAAACAGAGGTGTATCTAGTATTTGGTATTCTTATAGAGAGAGAAAGCAAGTACCTAATTAAGTACCCATAATTGTGAAATACGATTTCTTTGGTTCCAAGGGGTATCTAAATTCGAGGTCCTATTTAATTTAAAAATATTTTTTATTCAATTTTTATTTTACCTGCCATTTAAAGTTTTTTGGCTTTTTTAAAGGCTTTGTAGACTGTGCCAATTCCGACACTTTTTGTTCAAACATTTTTGTACGTCCACTTATTAATTTTCCCATTTTTCCAGAATTAATTGAAGACGAATCAAAACTTGCTGATTTTCCCATTTGTTGCTTTTGTGCTTCCATTCTTTCCAAATGAATTTTGTGCAATTTTTCAGACATTTCTTGTTGTTCATGGGCATATTGTGCTTGGAGTTGTCGTCTCTTATTTGCCTCCTCTTTCATTCTTAATTCTTCCTCGTCTCTCATCTTTTAATTTTTAAATTTTAATGTCTAGCCGGCTCTATTAGAAGCCCATCTCTAATAGAAGCCCACACGAGAAGACCAATTGAAACTCTACTCTCTAATAGACGCCGATATCTAATAGAAGCCCCCCCCCCCCCCCCATCCAAAGGCCAACCAAACTTAAAAGCGTATCCTATATAGAGGTATATCTTAAATAGGTGGGACTTGTATTGAGTGTATCTTATAAGGAGACCTAACTATAACTATAATTCACCTCTTCCCAGAATTTTTCTCTTTCATTCAAATTAATTTCTTGATTTAACCCAGAACGCTGATTTGTGACACTTGCTGGGGTTGGTGGAATAAAAGGAGTATTATTTATTGGTTGTATAACAGATGATCCAGCAGAGCTCTAAAAATTCGGAAAAATTCCCAAAAAAATTTTTCAAGTTTTGCCTCAGGCGTTTTAACATCTGAAGGAGTAATTGAAGGTGCCAAGTCTTGTAACTTTTCAAAATGCCTTTCCAAAACTTGTTTCTCCAAATCCTCCTCATTACGAGCATATATTGTTAAATTAACTCGTCGGACCTTTAATTAGAATATTTTTTTATTTAATTAAGGGAACTAACAAATCTACGAATTTCCTCAACATGCGAAGCAGTAGTTGATAGCAATGCTGCTGGCACTCCTTCACCTTGCTAAAAAAGGGGAATAAAATAAGAAGAAAAAACGAATATAATAGGTAGACCAAAGTATTAAACACACCCTTAGGCACAATAAATTGTTCCTTATTGTGGATGTAGCTTAAATGGGAGGTAAAACAATTGGGCAATCTCTCCAGCCACCCAAAGGCCAGCATAAATTCAAAAAACGTATTTAGAATAAAAGTGTACTTTAGTATAGGGGTATGTTATAGTGAGAGCATCTTATAATGAGTGTCTGTCTTTAATATGGGAGGTATAATAAATAGGCAGTTCCCTTTGGCCAACCAGCAATAAAAAGGAGTTATTTATTTACCCAATGGAATAGAACAACTTTTCTTTGTGCCCCAGCAGCAACCGTTGCAAACCCATACTGCGTTTTGGAACTATTAAAACTCGCTAATAATTGTTCAAGGCCACCATCTTTAAAGAATATAAATTTTAAATTTAATTTTGTAAAATTAAATTTACTTCCCGCTGCTTCAACTTTTACAATACTTGATGTCCCATCATACCCAAAAATAGCCCTAAAAAGGAAAAAATTGGAAAAATTATTTTAGAATTTAATTAACCATTCGTCCCCAGACTGGGAATTGCTGACAGAATTGAAGGCAGAAGTTAATTCAGATTCATTATTTAATAAATTGCAAGTCATGCCTATTTTTTATTAAATAACTAAATCTTAAAATTGAATTTATAGCCTAACGGATTTGATTAAAAATTATTTAGTTAGCCGGATCTGGTATATCCAATTTAACCCTCATTTTATCCAAGCTTATCCAACTGATTTTGATTTTTCGGAAACATTGAAACATGGATAGAGATTAAGCTTTCGAAGGGTGTACAGAACAGGGGTGTACTAAACAATTTTAAAAAGCGAAAGACGAAAGGTGAAATGTCAAAAAAGGCGAAAATGAAAGGGCAAAACCACTGATAACGAACACGTATATAATACAATTAATAATACAATGTTTGAGGCTAAAAACTTGAGACAAACACTAAGAAATAAAAAAGTGGATATATTTAAGCTTAGGATAACAGAAGAAAACATGTTGATCTTCAAAAAAATGTCAAAAAAAAAATTATTTGTTACAAGGAAAGCTGTAAGACGACCTTTTGTAAATGACAAAATTCGTAGGAAATAAAAGATAAATTCAAAAAATTAGTCAAAAGGAAACATTTTCCACCATATATTTATTTTATTAGCAGCTTTGTTAGTATAATACAGCAATAATAACATTTATTATGAACAATCAGTATTTTTAATATTTTTGAAGGAAAATTGTGTTTATGTTAAATCATATTTGTCATTAAAAAAGGGGGTGTAAATAATAACTATATTTTATGTTAAAGAAAATATTTAAAGAAGAAGGGAAGAATTAACAAAATATTTATTAAAATCCGGACCAAAACGAGATCTCGGGGAAAATTTAGATTATCGTTCTAAATTATCACACAACCCAAAAGTCAGGGCTCTAGTATTTACACAGCTTCACCTCCTTTTTAAATACCCCCAATTTTAGATACCCCTCGTTTCAAAAAATCATTTCATTGCCATCAAGAGAAATTGCGAGTAGTTAAAACTAGAGATCTAACTGAGAGTGTCGTAATAGGATCGAGATCTCGTCTCGGTCTCTATTTAAAATAAGTCCGATTGAATAAAAATTATTCAATAAAGAATTCACAAGAACTAAGAAGACTTGACAGAATATTTTTAAAATTTGTGAGTACTTTAAAAATCCTCGCTAATTTATCTTAAAACAAAAATGTGTTTTATGTTGGTGTTTATTTTTGCAATTTTTAGTTGCAATATTTTAACATTAAAAAAATAGCTGGCAGAATCACAACACAAAAATATTTGTTTAATTTATTATAGCAATATTTAATGTTGGAAAATATTTTTTGATTGGGAATTAAGGAAAAATTGGAAGAAAAAAATTAATTAATTGCCTGTCATTTTTAATTAAAAAATACAACAGGTTTCAAATTCTAATAACAAATTTTAAGGAATACAAGAATTTTTAGGATACGTTTTTTAATTTTGGTTGGCCAGCCACTGGATAGGGGAGCTGTCAAAGCGATACACTCACTTTAAGATACATCTCATTATAAGAGACTATCATTAAACGATAACCCCCAATACTAGGCAAATCTCAATTAGGATACGCTGGGTTGAAGAGCTGTTCAAGCTATAATCTCTATTTAAGATCAGGGGTGGGCGCATTGCTTTTGCGTTGATTTTGGCCTTGAGCTGCGTTTTTGGAAATTGTCTCTTGCGTCCAACATTGTTCAAGATACCCTTCATTATAAGACAATTTTTAGCCAAAGGTTACCTTATAATGAAGGTCGACTGTATACATAAAAAGTTTAAACATTTCAAGTAGAAAAATAAGCATGTTTAAAAGCCCTATGGAAAAATAAAGTTTAAAAGCGATGAGTGTTTTTCCCCTCTCCTACAAACCAGTCATTTGCCATATGCTTTTTGAGGAGAGTTATTGGACATGAAATAAAGTGTTTTTAAATAGTATAAAGGGCAATAAATGGCAGTTATGGGAAAGAAAAAAAAACTGGTCGTTAAATGATAAAATAAAAAGAGCAATCGAAGATCAGGCAATGGAAAAATAAGGGATGAGAGATTTAGTGAAAGATTTTTTGTTAGCTTCAGCTTTGTTTGTTTTTAGTTAAGCAAAGGAAAGAATAAAAGAGAGAAAGGGAAGTAGGTCCTGAGATTTAGAAATTTCCAGAAGATACTCCTCAATTTAAGATACGTTTTAAAATTGGTTGCTGGATGAGCTGCTTAGGGAATACCCACAAATAAAAGGTACACACATTATAAGGTCTACTCATTATAAGAAAAACCCAATACTAGACCTTGAATTAGTTAGGGAAGTAACCTCGTATGTAAGTGATGTTTGCGTGTAAAAATTTAAAAAATGCTTCATTGACATTAAAATTAGAAAGAAATTTCCGACGTGAGACTATTTAGTAAAATTTCAAAGAATGAAAAAGATAAAATCATAAAAATATGTAAAAAAATTAATTTTAAGATGTAACGTTAAGCTTAAGGAAATGAATGGTGTGAAGGAAATGTATGGATCAACAATCCCTTCCAGACCGCTCATCTGTCAGTTCTTTTTTGTTTTAATCCTCCTGCTTATATTTATTTTTTGAGAAAGTTGCTTACACATGACTCATCTTCTTAAGGTGCTCAAATAACTTTTTGTTTATTATTTTTTACCTTTCTTTGAATTAATGAGAGAGAAGTTTGTTTGGAAAATGAAGATGCCTAAGCTTTTCCTCTCTATTTAAAGTACCTCATTATAAGAGACGCTCTCTTAAATTCGGTTACAGCCATAGGGCATGGAGCTATCTAAGCGATACCCACTATTCAAGGCGAACCCCTCTATTTAAGGTACACCTCATTATAAGAGATGATTTTCCCAAGAGGGAATCTTATAATGAGTTACGACTGCATTATTTATAGTTCACAATAATAGCAGTAATTTTGAGATTAATAACGATAAGATTGATTAAGCGTAAATTAAGGAAAAGCGGATATATCCGAATTATTAAGGGAAGCATAAAAAAGTAAATTAAGTGTATATTTTCACTTAAAGTGAATTTTGGAATTTTTTTTCTTTTAAAATATATAAATTGCCTCGTCCATCTTTATTTTTTTTCACCTTCAGTTGATGCCAGCCATGTGTCCTTCCCGCTCTTCTATTTTAATTTTTCTTCTTCTTCCTCTTTTATCTTCGCGCATTTTTATGCCCGCTGCTCCTCTCCTTTCCCCAAAAATCTTTGAGTGGAAAGGAGGGAAATAAAAATATGTACAAGAAAACATAGAAACAGCAGAGAATGAGGAAAATTCAATGAAAAAAAATTTTTTTTGGAAAAAATTTGTAGTAAAAAGTGGTTGGATAGAGGGACCGGACAAATAGTAGAAGTAGAAGAAAAGCGCGAAATGAAAACTAAAGTGATGAACAAAAAAAAATTCAATTTTCTTAAAGCCGATTATATTTTTTTATTAGTTGACGCATTTGTAGCTTCCATTTAAACTTTGTGTGGTGCATCCAAGCGATTTATAAAAATAAAGTACAGGAAAAGGATAATGTTTTTAACAAGAAAAACAAGTGGTGTGGCCTTTTAGAGGAATGGGACTATTTGAGGAAACAATTTTTCGAAGATTCGACTTCTGAATGAAAGAAACCGACTTCCAAAGGAATTCGACTGTTAATTGAGAGAATTCAACTATTAAGAGAGACAGCGACTTTTGAGACTCGATCTTTAAAGAACCGACTTCTGAGACAATTTGACATGCGAGGACTTGGGTTGTTCCACGCCTCTCAAATTCCCCAGACTTTCGGGGACGGGGAACAACTCTAGTGATTTCTGAGGGAATCCGATTTATGAGGACGTCACTATCGAGGACCTGACTCTTGAAAATCTAATTGAGGGAATTCGTTTCTTGAGACACCGACTAGTTTTTGAGGATACTTTTAAACTGGAAAAGTTAGAAAATCGTTTCTTAAAGTATCCTAGAAATCAACTATGACTACAAAAAAACATAAAAATACCCCCAAAAGTTTAAGGTAAAATTTAGTTAATTTACAATATTTACTAAACAAAAATTAATTTTAAAAATAAACAATAATAATACCTACTAGAATAAATCAAAATCTATTTTCAGTTTCGTCGCAACGGTAAATATAAAACAGTGAGGCATAAAAGATGAAAGCCATACACAAAATACGTCTAATGAGACTTTTTCCATGTCGCTTGACTTGAAAGGAACTGAAAAATATAAATTATTAAAAAAATATTTCTAATGATATGAGATTGATTTTGAGTCCAGTTTTTGCCATAACTTGATTACGAGAACACCCTTTGGACAATCGTATCCTATAGAGGCCGAAAATTTTAAAATCAATTATTCCTAATTTATTTTTCTAAGGACCTTAGCCATATGCTTACACTTAGGTAAAAATCAAGGAACACTGAAAAATGCTTTGATTTTGACTATGAATCCAGAAAAATCAAGGTCTGGATCCAGACCTAGCAAAATTAAAAAAATTCGCCGTACTATTAGAATGAAGTATGTGGTTTATGTGTGGTATAAGTGAGTTGCTGTCGTATAAATGAAGGCAGCTCCACAATCCCGTGGCCAACCAAACCTTACAAATCGAATCTTAAAGTGAGACGTCCTAATTATGGGAGGTATCTAAAACTGAGGGTTGACTACATTACGTAAGGTTAATTTTCTACCTAAATAAAGAAAAAACCTAATTAATTCCTCACTTTAATTTAGCAGGCACCTCTGACAAATTTGAGTACATTCCCGTCCAAACAACCATCTTTCGTTGCAAATCTGTAGGCTCTATCAATAACGGTTTTTCTTGCTCAAGTTGTTCACCTTTAAAAAAATTAATTTTATAAAATTAAAAATTTAAAAAACAAACGGAATTGATCTCTTTCATCAGCCCATTTCTTCTGTAGAGATTCCCATTCGTTAATCAATAAGGGATATCCAACCTCTGATTTTTCTTTTTGCTCCTGAAAATAGATCTTTTGTGAAATTAAAAAAAAATCGGTTTCCCTCCCTTTCCCTCTGCCTAGTACCCTGTTCCTGGGTTTGATTTATTGACCTAGGAAGATCCTGGGACTGTAGTCTGGGAAAAATCCAGGCCCAGGAAAAACCCAGGAAGGTCAAAAAATGCCTAGGCCTGTACTCTGGGTACAGGAAAAACCCAGGCCTTGGTCCAGACACAGATCGATCTCTAATTACCTCCATAAGGAAATAGAACAAAGTTGATGAAAAAAACTGCCATTTTAAATTATTCGACGCAGGGAAGTGTGGGCATAAGAAATTGAATATTGAGGAGTCTGGAAAGGGTGCTAACCGTAAAAGGAACTTACTTCTCAATAAATGACAACTAGAGTTTAAACCACGGTCGGGACCAAGTTTTCCCGGGTGTTTCTGGATTTCGCGATTTTAGTCCGGCCAACCCTGATCAGGGAAAAATCCGACACTTTGGAAAGTTCTAACTTTAATGAAACCCCGAGGTTCATTTGGAATAATCCTTTTAAAAATAAAATTACTAAAAAAATAACCTTTTCTGTTTCCGATTGAAAAATAGACAAATTAATTTTAATAGGTTTATTTAAATAAATTTGTTTGTTGTCCACTTCCGCAACTGGAATTAAAAAATTAAAAATATTTTTAAATTAAAAAAACCTTCAGATTTGCTAGAAAATTGTCGAATACCATAAATTTTATTTTGAAGAATCCGTTGTAAATTTAAATCAAAAATGTTGTTGGGAAGGATAATTGGTTTTGTTGGTCGAATAAACAGAAACATTTTTGCTTAAAATTGAGCTAAAAATCCAAAAATTAACAATAAGTATACTGATAGTGAAACGTCCCATTTTAGCCTACTGACCCTTTTTAATTTTCCCCATTCTGACCATTTTTCTTGTTTACAAAAAAAGTCAGAAGCACGAGAGATGCAATAAAATAAAGAGAGAAGATAGACATTTAATTAAATTTTTGGCGTTATGTTTGAGGAAATTTTCGAAAAGAGTTAGCCAAGAAATCCTTTCCTAAAATTCCCAGTTTTTCCCATTTCGGGGTAGGGGGGGTGGCTTCAACCCCCCCTGGCTTTTTTAGACAATAAATTATTTTTTGTAGCAAATTTTTGATTTTAAGAACTTTCATTTGTCTTTTTCGAAAATTTTGCAACCTTAAAAGTTTTTACATGATCTACATAATTTTATATTTTATACTGAAGCTACAAGGCAACGTTTAAATGTCAGAACAACCAAAAGGCTCAACAAAAGTAAATTTCTTGTTTAATTAAATTTTTCTTTAAATTAATCTTTCAGGTTTATTACCATTTGGACGACTCTACTCCCTACATGTCTGAGCTGCAAATCCCGCCAGACCGATTGACACTGGGAGATTTTAAGCGTACTTTCAACAGGAAAGGCTACAGTTATTTTTGTAAGGAATGGGATCCAAATTTGAAGAGGTTTCAATTTTTAAAATTAGGTATCCAAAAATTTTATTTTAGAGAGGTGAAAGTGGAGATTGTCAATGATCGCCAGCTTCTACGTAAATCGGTATTTTTAATGTTATAATAATCTTGTTTCTAATTAAATTTATATCGATTTTGGGAAATGTTTAATATACTCGGTGGTTATCCTATACCAATTTTTTGGACTATTTATGTAGACTTGTCAGAGATTTGCCAGGATTTTTTTCGGGGGGGGGGGGGGGGTGTTTCCTATTTTTTCATTTTTCCCAATGTTAACCTCCACCCTCTCGCTACGTCCTTGCTCTGACCATTATGAGTCCGCATAAATATCAAAAGCTGGTAAGGGATAATCCACAAGTACTGTTTTAATTTTAAGGTAAATGGCCTCTTCGAGTTATTTTTACTCTCTCAACAAAATTCTTCGCAACCTTTTTCTAATACGACTACACATATGGGCGCAGATCAAGAGAGTGATTTGCAAACTTTAATAAGCAGTAAGTGATGCTTAAGTTTTTTTAAAATATTTTCATTCTTTTAGAGAGAGCAGGAGAAAATTTAGCAGAAATGTACAATTCAACATCGGAAGATCCTTACAACAGAACTTCTGTGTTTGTTTTAAAATTTTTATTCAAAATGAATGTTTTTTCGTTTTAGATCCTCTTCTAGCATTTTTCAAAGAAGGCCTCTTCCTGGTGCTCCTATGCCTTCTGCTGAAAGCACAGCGGGTTTGAAAATTTTAATTTATTTTTTAATTTAAAAATTAAAGAAAGTGCTGCTGAGAGAACGTTGCTGGTCAATACTTCTGCAGCAAGACAAAAGCGTCTAAGAAAGCAACGATATGTACCTTCAACAATTTCATCGGAATCCGAAAGCACGTAAGTTTTGATATTTTTAAGACGATTCTTAAAAACATTAACTCTTGTCTCTTTCCTCATCTTATTTGCTTTTTCTAGGCATTTAGCTGTGTTTAAGCTAACACTAAGGCCTTGTATTTTCCTTTTCCTAGACTCCGGGTCCTGAACCCGTCCTAGGTCAGTGGATACGAAAATCAGTCCCAGCCTAAACTTTAAAATAACAATATTTAGCAAATCTGTTTCAGTTATTCTTTGCCACGAATCGAAGAAGTCAAGCTACGTTTACAGGATGCGCCATTAGGAATTTCTGTTGCCAGTCAATGTGGCTCTATTTTTATTTATCACATTCAACACGGTTTGAATCTTTAATTTATTTTTTTATTTTTTCCGTTTAAGGAAGTGCTGCTGAAAGATGTTGTAGGCTTGAAGTTGGGGATCAGATTGTTCAGGTTTCTTTAAGTTTTTTTGATAATATTCTCACAATAATTTTAAGATTGATGAAACTCGTTTTGAAGATCTTAACGAGAAACAAGCATTGGAGGTTCTGAAGAAACTGAATTCTGTTAAAAAGTATTTTTTCATAATATTTTTTATGTAAATATTTCATTAAACACGGATGTCACGGGTTACCCGAAACCCTGACTTCACATGCATTCCGATCCGAAACCTTTTCAAACCCCTGAACTGAAACTCGACTTTTATCTCCCTTACTTCCCTAATTTGAGAGGAACTGAGGGGGGGGGGTCCGTGACCCAAAACCCGTATTTTTTCTACCTTAAACACGAGCCGAGTTTTTTCTCAACCCGTAAGATCCCTGCTACTTAAACGATACCCTCTTTTTAAGATACCTCTTTATTCAAGACTTAAAGATTTATTTTATAATGAGTTTAATTTATTTTAAATTTGTTAGGACTATAACAATGTACGTCGCAAAACGAGCAAGAACAAATGGAGGTGAAAGTTCTGAAGACCACAAATCTGATCCTCTTAGTTTACTCTGTGAAACTCAACAATTGGATATCAGTCAATGGGTTGAGTCAACTACAGAGTAAATTTGAGAAACCCAAAAAAACTTTAAATTTTTTTCTAGCAAAAATTGTGTCGAGCAAGTCCGGCCTTTCGCAGAAATTCCGCCAGTTTCTCGGGTTGAACGGGGAACCTTACCAATAGACGGATCTAAAGTGAAGAATCAAACCGTTGATGTATATATTTGGTTAATTTTTAAATTCAAAAAATTTTTTAGGAAACGAGTGATGAAGAAAAAGCAGCTTATTTGGACAGAAGGAATGGCGTAGGCGCGCGTTTGGTGCCTATTATACATCAGGTTTTTAAAAAAATTTAAACATAACAATCAACTTCATTATAATATACTTCAAAATTAGGGATGCATTATAATTTAATATTTTTACATTTGGGTTGCCACTGTGTGAGTGGGGAATACCTAAGAGATATCCTCCCTATTTGATTCCATCAGTTTAACATAACTCCAATGCGAGAAAATCTTCAGTTCAGGGTAAAGCTTTTTTCATTCTAACAATAAGGGTAAAGGGGTATCTCATACATAATGAAGGTCGATTCTAATATGAAATTATTATTTATATGATCCGAAATTTTATTCTATTTTAAGGTTCGTTTTCATCAACAACAACAACAGCAGCAAAAAGCAGAAGAAATTAATAAAATGCAAATGATCAACCTGGAGAATAATCCAAGTAATAAGAGATTTTTTAAGTTAGTTTTTAAGTAATTATTTGTTTCTAGCAACCTCTTCATGCCCAATTATGCTTGGAACAGTAGAAGAATCTTCTCCCCATAACGACTGTCATCCCCCACTTATTCAACTCCCATTACACGCTGCTATGGACCCAAAAATAATTTTGTCTCGAATGGTTGAATTTGATTCTGGATTGGAAATTCGAAACAGAAAATGGCTAAAAATACCTGTTCCAATGTCTTTTATAGGTTAAAAATTCAAAAATTAATTTGTAATTATAAATGAATTTGAGAGAGGGGCTAAATCAGTCTCCCTAAATATTGTCCAGACAAAAAACAGTTCGACAAAATACCGTCCAAAGAGACTCGATTGATATGTGATAATTGTTCAACTGTCTTCGATCTCGAAATCAATGAACAAATAGATCAACTTAAAGTTTCTTTGGACTCTATTTTGGTAAGACTGTGTCTTATATATCCCTAACCCCTTTCTTCAGGGGGTTAGTCGGCGTTGGGCCCCAAGAGTGGTAACCCACCCTTGGGGCGCGCCGATCCACCTATTAAAAACGAAGGCCTTCTTTTTAACCTTTTTATTCAACAAATATAATTAATAAATAAAAGGCGAGAGGACAGGCCAACTTTTGATCGGGCCCAGAACTAATTAATGAGAAAGTAAGTTGATTTGGCCTATTCTCTCTCGCCTTTTATGAGGCGCTAAAAATGGGCGTTTTATAATCTTAACTATGACATTCTATACGCGGGGGTGGGGGATACAACGGAAAAAGCGGATAAATAAAAGTGCGGAAAATGTGAAATGAAATTCTTCTATACAAATTGACTCGATCTATACAAATTGACTCGATAAAAATTCCTTTTTATAGGAGTTTTTTTCCTTAATTTGGTTACGCCCAAAACTTGCTCGCACAAAATTTTCTGCTGTAATGTCACAAGAGATCGCTGCTATTCTTGTGATAAGAAAATTTTGGCGTTTCCAAATTCCTTCTTATTTGCCCACTTCCGGCCTATTTGCGCGTTGCTGCAAAAGAAGTCCAAAGAAACTAGTTTAATAAATAAACATAATAATTTTTTCCGCTCGCCAAAATTTAGTTGATTGATGGGTAGAAGAAATGATTTTTTAAATAAAATATTTTAAGAATATTTTTAGCAATATTTTTTGGGTGGAGTAGGAATTTTTTTTATTAGATGGAGAAAATTACAGGAGCGCCATCTTATATATCCCTAACCCCTTTCTTCAGGGGGTTAGTCGGCGTTGGGCCCCAAGAGTGGTAACCCACCCTTGGGGCGCGCCGATCCACCTATTAAAAACGAAGGCCTTCTTTTTAACCTTTTTATTCAACAAATATAATTAATAAATAAAAGGCGAGAGGACAGGCCAACTTTTGATCGAGCCCAGAACTAATTAATGAGAAAGTAAGTTTATTTGGCCTATTCTCTCTCGCCTTTTATGAGGCGCTAAAAATGGGCGTTTTATAATCTTAACTATGACACTGTGTTTTCTCTCTGGACTGTGTTTTAGCACTTCACGATTTAAAATTTTAAAGGAGATGAAATGATTGATTGGCTTATTTCAAATGTACAAGGATTTCGAGATCGAAGACATGCACGTTCATTTGCTTCAAATTTATTGGCGCAGGGATTGATTAAGCATGGTTTTTTTTTAAATTTTTTTTCAATGAAATTCTTTTTGTTTTTATTTCAGTTGTTAATATAAGCTCCTTCAATGAAAAATGTTATTATGTTTTTAATGGTTAGTAAAAGTTTGTTTTTCTTAAGAAAATTTTTTTTGGGAAAATTTAACCTAATCCCTAGGATTCAAACTCTCGTTTTTAGTTACGCACAAAAAATTCTCAATTTAACATTAGTTTTTTAGAAGTTAGAGGTGATTATTAGGCGTGTGGGGCAGGGATGTCACGGTTTGAGAAAAAAGTCATGTCTTGGGTCCTTCAAAATTTTCATCGGATCGAAAAAAAGTCCGGGCATCTTGGTATGGAGGTGAATAACTTTAAGCAATCAAAACCTCTATTTGTAATACTTTCCAAATTTTTTAGATGAAATAATTGCTAATCGTTTACGTCTTGAGGAAGAACAAAAACAACAACATTTAATAAAACAACAAAAACCTGACACTGATTTCCAAACTGCTTCAATTAAGAAACCACCTGCTCCAGCACCTGAAAGCAATACGGAAATAACGTAGACCTTCAACCTTGTGGTTTTTTAAAATTTTTTTTCCAATTTTTTTTCAGTTATATGAGTAATCCACCAGTTACTTCTACCTGTTTGGGATCTTCTGGAGCTCCTCAAAATGTTACTAGTAGCCATCCTCATCCTACATTAACTGATCAACAACAAAGAACTCAATATGTTATTGCTAACAATCCAAGATGTTTTTTTTAATTTTTTTTTTTGAAAATTTTGAAAAAAATTTTTATTTAGATGCACCGGGTCCAATGTCAAATAATTTCTGTGGTCAGAGAATCAACAAAAATACAGCAGCTTTGATTGCAGATGCAGCACATTTGAACAAAATCGACAAGAATGCACCAAAAAATGCTGTTGCTACAAATATACCCCTAAGGTTTTTTAAAAGAATTTGAAGGGGTATTTATAAAATTCTGATAAAATAATTTAATACAGCCCCAGGAAATAGCTACTCCTCGGTTTAGGATGTCTTTAAACTTTGGTTAGCCAGTGTTATTGGGAGGTATTGTTGTAGTAGTGATACCCCCTGGGCGATATTTTCCCTATTTAAGATGCACCTTATTAAAGTTAATTGAAAGGATACAGGGTAGGGATGGGCTGTCTTGCGTTTTCATGCGCAGTTACTTGTTGAACAATTCCGTTAAAATAATTTTAAAATTGGGGGAATCCTATTCCTGGTATAAGGGTTATCTTGTAATGAGGTTTAACTGTAAATTATTTTTAAGAACATTGAATCCTCCTAAATTTGGTTTAAAACTGCCTGTTTGGCCAATATCTCCAATCCTTTCATTTTATCGGCCTCAAAATCAAGAAGTATCTCAACAACAACAACGTGGAAGATGTGATTCACCTGAAGCCTCAGTAAATTTTTTTTGAAATTTTTTGATTTTTTTTTGAAATTTTTTTGAAGGATAAAAAAAAATTTTAGAAAACAAATGACGATTATGCTTCAATGATTCAAGGAGAAATAAATTGTGGAGCACAATTCGATGATGGATTAGCTATGCTTCAAAATCAACATCAACAACAACATTTATTAAAAAGCAAGGTTACTTCTCCTTTAGGCACTGGAAAGTATTCAAAGGATTTAAAAAATGATGTGAATATGTCAAATAAATTACCACAACAACCCTTAACAACAAATACAACAAAACCTCCTCCACCACCAAAACATCAATTTCCATCAGAATTTTTAACGTTACAATAAAATTTGAAAACCAAATAAAAGTCGAGTCTCACTATAAGATACACTCAATATAAGAGACGCCTTGAAAGAGAGACACCTTGGTTTGTTTCTAGATTGAAAAGGCTGCCTAGGCGATACCTTCTATTTGGTTGGTCTCTAATGGGGAAGTTGCCCAGGCCCTCTATTTAAGATACACCTCATTATAAGGGACTTTTCAGCTCTATGAGGGTATCTTATAGCGAGGGTTGATTGTATTTATTTTTCCTTTTTTTTAAATTAAAGTGCATTGAATATTTATTTAAAAATCAAATATCCCCTTATTAGCCTTTCATTCACTCCCCCTTTCAATTAAAAATTTGCCTAAATATTCTATTAAAGTACAACTTGCCATCATTTTTTCCCTATTTATTCACTATACAAAAAAGCTTTATTTTTTAAATTTTTCGAATAAATTTTATCGAATTTTTTAAAATAATATTTTAATTATTTCTCTTTTGTTTTAAAAAATTGTTAATTTTTTAACAATTAATTTTTTTAAAATTTTCTTTACAACTGTTTATTCTGTTCTACTGCTGTCTGTAGTATTTCGCACTACTGACCTCAAACATTTCACTGTTAATTTCTTTTTTCAGAGTTCAAAAATTTGCGCTATTTGGCATAATGCTAAAAGTAAAGAATAAATGACACTTCATCCCAAAAATCAATAATCGATTTTTAATGACTCATCTAGTGTTCTCTGTTGCCATTTATAGCAAGGATTTTCTACATACAACTTGGAGCGTGGCTTTTCCTTTTTTGGGGTTAACTTTTTTGAGGGGTGGGGAGGAGTAATGACTTGCGGACAAGACTTGCTTTTTTCAATTTTTGAAAAACGTGTCCAATTTTTAGCAGCAGCAACAACAGCAGCAACAACAACAGCATCAACAACAACAACAGCAACAACTTCAGCAGCAGCAACAACAAAAAGCACCAGTTTCTCCGGAGATAGCAGGGCAAATAAGCACCAGTTTCTCCGGAGATAGCAGGGCAAAAAAGCACCAGTTTCTCTAAGGAGATAGCCGGGCTAAAAAGCACCAGTTTCTCTAAGGAGATAGCCGGGCTAAAAAGCACCAGTTTCTCTAAGGAGATAGCCGGGCTAAAAAGCACCAGTTTCTCTAAGGAGATAGCCGGGCTAAAAAGCACCAGTTTCTCTAAGGAGATAGCCGGGCTAAAAAGCACCAGTTTCTCTAAGGAGATAGCCGGGCTAAAAAGCACCAGTTTCTCTAAGGAGATAGCTGGGCGATCTTCAACAATTCAACTCCAATGCTCTCGTCAACATGGTTAGCTTTTTTTACTTTATTAAAATCGCAAGTTTTGTCCGCAAGTTTCTCCTTTAAATAAGTTTATCCCTTCCCAATGTTAAAGCCAATTAAATGGTGGCCAGAACGAGAAGACGCACAGCAAATGTTCCATTGGTTGGATGTGCTGATTTGTTTGTTTTGAATTGTTGATCTTTTATAGGTTGTTTTTATTTTTAAGAGTTTTTCAATTACTTAATTTTCAGCTTTGAGAGTGTACTCAGAACCCTTGAAAATGTTTAAAGAGGTTTTTTTAATTATTTACTATGGTTTCGAGATTATTTTTTAGGGCAGTGAATTGTTGCGGGAAGACCGTTTATTTGATGAGTATGCTTTAGAAGAACAAAAAACAGCAGAAGAAATCACTGAAGAACTTCAATCTTTCGTTGGAATTTAGCAAATTAGGTTTGGAAATTATTCTAATTGATTGGTTTGGTTATCTGGTTTCCATAATTTTTCGTTCATTTTCAAGTTTTACGCCTTTCTAAACCTAGTTTAAAAAAAATCCCCGTTGTCAATGTTTAGGTCTCCGTTCAGTTGCTTCCCTTGGGTAGTGTGACTTGTAGGGTGTTTTTGTTGGCCCACCCAATTCCGACAAATTGTATGTCGTTCGAAAAAGCTCGTTGAGCTGACATGAGTCGATTTGGGATAAATGTTTGGGCCATCCATATAGCCAGGGGAGCTTGTGGGGCTATATCCCTCCCCCTGAAATTTGGAAAGTGAACTCGGTCCCCTAAACGTCCGTTAGAAGCTTGTTGAGCTGAGTTGACTTAAATTTTTTTAAGATTGCTGTATCAGCCCGAATGTTTGTATTGGTGCAAGTGTTAAAATAGAAGAAGATGTTCGTCTTGTTGACTCTTCAATACTTGCAGATGCTACAATTCATGCTCACAGCTTTATTTTTAATAGTATTATTTTTTAATTTTTCGAATAAATTTTATCAAATTTTTTTAAATAAAAATTTTTGAAAATGGGGAGAAGTGCACATTAATTAATAATTTAATGATCTATTTAGTTTAAGTGTATTGCACATTAAATTAGAGAAAGTTTTGGGATTAAATTACAATATTTAAACGTTGTGAAAGACGTTTAAAAAACGAAAAATCGGACCTCTATATAAGGGACACCTCCATTTAAGATATTTTGGTTCATTGGATAAAGGAGCACAGTCTAAAGGATACCTCCTATTTAAGATATAGCTCATTATAAGGAACCTCAATATAAGGTACGCTCAATATACCTCTATATAAGATACGCTAATAGTAGGTACACCTCTATTTAAGACACGTTTTTAAACCTTGGTAGAGTTGTTAGGGCGAACCCTTTATTTAAGGCACACCAATTATAAGAGACATTTTTCATCCCTAAGGGAATATCTTATAATGAGGTCCGATGTTTAGAGGTGCTACATTAATAAATTTGCACACAATTCTTATTTATGCTTTATGCATTAAACGTTGATTTTGTTGGGAGGGTGATGTCTCTTGTGATGCTGCAACTGCATTTGCTGCTATCAAAGCCTTCAATTGTTCCAATTCATTGTTTAATTTAATCATTTCTTGTCGAAGCTCTTCAAAAAAATTTTTTTAAGAAAGTTAATTTTCCTCTTAAATTACCCCCATTTTCTGCTTCAAGCAATTGGGCACGCCGGGAACGATATTCAAAAACTGCTCGGCGATTAGCTCGGCAACGTTTGGCTGCTTCGTTGTTTCGGCGTCTACGGTCCATATACTAAATTTTTTGAAGATTATTTTTGAAGGAAGGATTAAAATTGGACCTGATTATAAGATACCCTCGGGGTTGAAAAGAATTAGTCTCTAATTATGGGTTATATTAAAATAAGGAGTATCGCTTAGGCAATTCTCCCATCATTCCCATCCTTGGAAAAATGCCTATTCATAAATATTATTTGAAAAAATAGGGATAAAACTAGGAGGTCACAACACAGGTCCGAGTAGGTCAACTCCCTATTGATCAACAGAACCTAAAAGCAACTCCTAAAAGATTAAATTATCCCTTTTGGTAATTGACATATAAGGACATTTGATTAGTAGAAAGCTGATCTTCTGGGAATAACCTTTGAGTTGACCTTTGAGGATCCAAAAATAATCCCCTTTTAAGAAAATAATGTCATTACTTGGGGACCTATGAACATTAATGCCTTAAAAGAAAGGGGGCATCTCATAATGAGGCCCAAAAATATTCTCTTAACTCGTTCCAGTTCTTCATTATTTTTTAGTTTTACTCTAAGAGAAGCAACACTCCCTTCCATTTCACAATTAATATTCCCTCCATCATTCAACAGCAAATTGTCTCCATTTCTCAAAAAATTTTCTTTTAAATTGTTACTCAATAAATTGGCCTGATAGTGAGGTTGAAGAGGTTCCGCTAATGTATCATCACCAGAAAAACCGGAATTTCTGAAAAAAATTATTTTTATAAATCAAATAAACAACAACACCCAGAAGGTGAAAAGCTACCGCCTCGTCTTGTTCGGTCACTATCTCCAATAGTTGTTGAACTTGTGCCAGGAAATGTTGATGAGGTGGGGGAATGTTGAGAAATACTTAAATTTATTAAAAGTTAAATTAGCTAGTTGGATTTCAATAAGTCGGACTTGAATTATATACGCCAGAGAGAAAGATCCTCCCCATCCATCCAAATCAGCAATATCCCTTTAATCCCACAAATTGACCTCTAGGGTCAATTTACCACTAGGGAGTTGACCTCTAGGGTGCTGGCCTCCTGGGTTGATCCGTACAAATTAGTTGGGGTACACATAAGTGAGATCACAAGCGAGGTAACACCTCGATTTAAGGTATCGTTCGTAAAGTTGTGGTTGGCAATGGGTAAGAAAACTGTCAAACCAATACCCTCTATTTAATGGATATCCTCATTATAAGGTAAAATTTTTTCCTCCCCAAGGGCGTATATAATAAGGAGGTCCGTCTTCAAAATTTAAAAAGATTTAATTTCCTCACTGTGAACGTAAAGAATGCATAGAATTAGGGGAAGGTTGACTGACCACCGAGTGTTCACTGTCACTCGAAGACGATGTTGAAGCTTTCTTTATTTGTTGTTCTTTTTCAATTATTTTTACTTCGCTTCTCTGAAAAGCTGTTAATCCACTAAAAAATTCTGTTCTGGAAGCGGGAACTGTTGGAGATATTTGAAGTTTATTGGGGGCTGCTAAAAGAGTTCCCAACATTGAATTTGAGGAGGATGAACGAATATTTGATGATGTTGACTGGATAGAGGAGGGTAGGGGATGAAGTGTTTCTGTTAAAGTAAGAAGGAGTAAATCCTTTTGTTTTTGAGAAAATAAGTCGGAAACCTCCCTATAAGGAACATCCACAGGGTGAAAATATTATCTTATAATGAGGTGTATATTAAACAGAGGGTATCAATTAAACAGGTTTTTGCCTAGGCAACTCCCCCACAAGTGGCTAAACTAATTCTAAAACATTAAATAGAATGTACCTTAAATTGAAAGTATATTATAGTGAGGGTATCTTATATAGAAGTCTGACTATAAGTTTATATCATACTGTAATTCTATACCCTCTATTTAAGAAACACCCCATTTTAATGTACGATTTTTAAAATTTGTTTGCCCACTCAGAGAGGGGGCTACTTAAATGATACCCTCTATTTAATATACAACTCATTATAAGAGACGATTTTAAGTATCTTATAGAGAGGTCCGACCGTTATAAACGACTGGTCATTTAGTTTAAAAAGATGCCTTTGCTGGCAGAATTAATTTGTTTTGAAGAGGAGGGTTGTTGTACTTGTTCATCTACTTTTCCATTTTCTTCGGATACTTTTGAATTTAATTGGGGTTCAATAGGATTAAGCAATCCAGTTAAATAGTGATGTTTTTGTTCTGATTTTGAAAGTAAAAAATTTGCGAGAGGACGGAAAATAGAAGAAGAGGAATTTGTATTCGTTTGTTGTTGTTGGTGTTTACCATGTTGGCAGCAAAGTTGTTGAGAAGAAAATGAAGGGAATGAAGTTTGTTGGGAATTTGTTGAAGAGGAAGGAAGAGGAGGTCCTTGAAATTAGAAAAAATTTCACTTTAAAAATTATTAAAAAATTTCTACCAGTAATTTCCAAAACAGTTTTTCTCTCAGGAAAGACAAGTGAGGGGTGAGGCAATTCTGTAGGTGGAGGAATGCTTTCAGGAATTGTAGTAGTTAAAGGAAGCGGCTGTTCACATGCTGAGAAGAAAAATGTAAATTTAATTAAAGTCGCTCTAGTTAGAAATACCCCCAATACCAGATAAACCCCCGATATAAGATACTCCAAATATTAGAGATCCTCTATTTAAGCTACTCCCCATAATATATCTCTATTTAAGGTATGTTTCTTAAAATTCTATTATCTACTAGGCAGAGCGGTTGTCTAGCCGATACCCTCTATTTAATAGAACTTCATTATAAGATACGATTTTTCTGCCTCAAAATGAGTTTGCTTTTTTTTTGCCTCAAAAAAATTTTCTCTTATGAGGTTTTAGGGTCAAAAATGAATTTTTAAAATTTTTTAAAATCCAAAACAAAAATTAAATTTTTTGCATTGACCCTTGTGTTTGTAACATGTTGAGATTTCTTCTCCTTCATTTGTTAATGAAGTACAAATAACCGATTTTGTTTTATTTTTAGTCAAATGTTTTTTGATTCCATGCTTTATAACGCTAAATGTGAAAAAATTGAAATATTTGAAAATTTTTATTGAGTACCTAAAATCTAGAGGAATTTCTTGAGCTTCTTCGTGTCTCAATTCGTTTTGGGTATAATTTTCTAAATGTTCTTGAGTTGTTGGTTCTGATGTATCCAAAGTGAGAGGCTGCGAAAACTGATTAATTCGTGAGGGAGATTGTGTATCTAACGAATGTCCTTGGATTTTAGTCATTCCATTTGTCTAAATAAATAGAAATTTTTTGGTTAAAAAATGTGTCAGCAATCCCAAAAATACCCTATTAACTGTATTATTTGAATCTTCTGGCTTTGGAGGGCATTGTGGGTCAGAGGGGTATTGCCCTTCCAGAAGACGATTGATAGAAAGTTCACTTTTAGAGGTGAACTCCCCCTTTAGAGGTGAATTGATATTGGGTTGAATTGACCTTCTAGTGGAGCGGGTGGGGACGCTTATCTTCTAATTTACTTCCCCTTTAGAGGGAAGTTCACCTCTAGAATTGATATTGGGTGAATTGACCCTCAATGGATAGGTTTATCCTTCCAATTGTCAAAAGGTGAACTGCCCTTCTAGAGGGTGAATTGCTTTTGGTTCTACTCAAATTTTTTTGTCACTATTCCAATTAAAAATAAAACGGACTAAAAATAATTTTAGGATTATTGAAACAAAAATAAATTTTAAAACGGAAGCATGAACAAATAAAAATATTGTTAATATTAAATTTGCAAAATAGATAGAATTTGTGGAATGCACTTTTTGGATATAAATTTATTAAAAATTTTGGGAAAGAATTATTGTTGCGCAGAGAAAATTAATAAATATATACCGGTTAGAATAATTTTACTTATAATTATTATAAAAATAAAATTCTAATTTTAATAACAGCCTCAACAGAGTGTCAAATAAGGTTGTCGGATCCGGATATCCGGATCCGAAAAAAGGCCGGATATCCGGAAATTTTCGGTTCGGATACCGGATCCGGATCCGGATATCCGAAATTTTCGGTTCGGATATCGGATCCGGATCCGGATATCCGAAATTTTCGGTTCGGATATCGGATCCGGATCCGGATATCCGAAAATTTCGGTTCGGATCCTAGAATTGGAAAAATGGAAGAAATTCTAGCCCTTTGGCCTTCCAAATTTCAAAAATTTTCGCCTGCGGCGCTGATAATGGGAGAAATCTGGCTTCTTGGCCACCCAAAATTCCCAAAATTTTCGCCTGCGGCGCAGGAAATGGAAGAAATCTGGCTTCTTGGCCTTCCAAAATTCCCAAAATCTTCGCCTGCGGCGCAGGAAAGGGAAGAAATCTAGCTTAAGGACCTCCAAAATTCCCAAAATTTTCGCCCGCGGCGCATAAAATGGAAGAAATCTGGCTTCTTGGCCTTCCAAAATTCCCAAAATCTTCGCCTGCGGCGCAGGAAAGGGAAGAAATCTAGCTTAAGGACCTCCAAAATTCCCAAAATTTTCGCCTGCGGCGCTAAAAGAGAATGTGTTGTAAACAGTTGTAAAAACTCACATGCTCCCCCCCCCCCATCCGAAGCTAACCCCTGGATACGCCCTTGAAGGATATTGGAATTAAAGGGGATATAGGGGATTAATCAATAAATCCTTCAATATCTCTCGTAATTCCCAAACCCTAGCCCTCAATCCACCAATCTTAAATGTAAGAAAATACCCGATGTCTCTATTAATTCTTCAAATAACTCATTCCTCACATCGATAACTCTGTTAATCCTAAATTCCCTCAATACCTCTGTTAATTCCCCAAATCCATTTATAATTGATCTTAATCCCTCTATATCATCCATAGAGACTCGACTTTACAGCGCCGCAGGCGAAAATTTTGAAAATAAAAATTTCGGTTCCGGATCCGGATATCCGAAATTTTCGGTTCGGATATCGGATCCGGATATCCGAAATTTTCGGTTCGGATACCGGATCCGGATCCGGATATCCGAAGATTTCCAACTATCCGACAACCTTAGTGTCAAATAGGGGGAGAGTAAACTAAATTAGAGAGTAATATAAAGACCGTATCCCAAACTTGGTGTAAAATTAAGGAAGAATAAATTAAAGAAAATTCTATTTTACAATGACAATGGAAAATCGTCTACTAAACTGCTAATTTGGTATATTTCTAGGTACGATTCGATAGAGGATCTCAGACTTCCTATTGCGAAGTGATATCCGTTTTCTTGTAAAAAGTGACTTTGGGCCGAGTTGTGGCCGTTCACAGTTGGGGAGGTGATCCAAAGGGAGGTGATTAATGCTCATAAAGATTACCTGCTCATAGAGTTTTTGTTGTGGATCTGAGGATGATGAAACTGTTGAATTGTTGGCATGTTGTTGTTGTTCATATAATTGTTGTTGTTGGGAAAAGAGAGAAAAAGGGACTAATTGAGAAGCCAAACGGATAAATTCCAATTGTTGACTGTTGCTGTGGAAAGGGAAAAAGAAGGGGGAAGTTGAAAGTGTTGAAATATAGGGATTTAAGGAGGATTGTAATTCTAATGGAATTGGAGGTAATTGGGGAGGGATTGAAGTTGTTGGAGGGGAGGGTGAGGCTTCTTTTTGCTTAAAAAATAGTAAAAATTTAATTTTTATTAAAGATAATGTCGGATCTCATTAATAGGATTGTTCGGCTCGGAATAGAGCTGTTTCGAAATTTCGTTTTCGAATTTCGATTTTTTGGACATATTTTTGATTTTCGAAATTTTGCAAAAATTGACGAATTTTTAGAGCCAAAAAGGACGAATTCTGGCTTCACAGCCATGGGAAATTTAAAAAATTTTTCGCTTGCGGCGCAAAAACAGGAAGTTTGGGATCTTCCTATTCCCCATTTTTACTCACTTTATCATTCCCCACTAAACTTCCAGCACGAATAACAGAAAACGCAGAGCGTTCAGATTTTTGTAATGTGCTGCTGTTGTTACTTGATGTTAATGGAGTTGAAGAAGAAAATACTAAAGGGATTTCTGTTGTTATAAAATTTTGAATTTCATTGTTGTTTAAAGAGGAATTGTTGTTGTTAGTTGAAATTGTTGGAAGAATACATCCAAAATTATTTTCATTAGAAAAATTTAATGAGCTAGCCAAAAAAGGATTTGCAACAATTACCTGTTTAAAGTAAATTTGAAAAGATGTTATGGACCTTCCTTGAGAGAACTCCCTTGGAGTGTCTCGTCTCTTATAATGAGGTGAAAACAGTCTCTTATAATGAAGTGTAGTTTAAATGGAGGGTGTTTTCAACTCATTAAAAGATACACCCTTGGTGCTGATAAATACCTTATAATGAGTTGTATGTTAAATAGAGGTCGAACATCATTATAAGAGACCTCCCTTGTGTGTCTCTTATAACGAGGATTAAAAATAGTCTCGTATAATGAGGTGTAGTTTAAATAGATGGGTTTAGTCTCTAGATTAAGAGAGCGTATCTTAAATAGAGGTGTATCATCATAGAAGGGTTTGCCTGTATTAGTGCCTTATTTTCTTACAGAATTTAATCGAATTTGCTCCTCCAACTTGGATTTTTGTATTTCATTTTCTCTTGTTAGTTGTTTCAAGCATTCCTCAATATCCTGCTTCCCGCTTTGATTAACCGATTTCCTTTGTTTTTCTTTGTTGGAGGAAGATGCTGTTGTTCTTGTAGAAGGTTCATTACTTCGTTTTCTTCGTTGTTGTTGTTGACGGTCATTATTGTTTTCAAGAGAGGAAGTTCTTTAAATTAATCATAGTTAAGTCTCGATATTAGAGACGTCCAAGACTTTTGGTCTTGAGTCCTAAGTCCTTTCTTGGGGGCTTCTCGGTCCTGAGTCTTGGAAAATTTTCGGTCATAAGCGCCTCTTCCTTTCGATATCATATCTTCACGATTCACGTGTCTTCCATTAAAATGTCGGTTACTTCGGTCCCAAGTGACGTATTATCTAGGGGAGGATCTACTTCATATGGTGGAGGGGGGGGGGGGGGATTATTCAGAAAATACAGTATTAACTATTTTAAAAAATCCCATACCGTCTCAACAAATTATTTGAAGTATACTCAGTGAACTTTTGATTATTGCCAACATTATCGCAATCATTTAATAATTCACATTTTTCTCTGTTTAATCCAATTTTTTGCTTGGATATAAAATGTGAATTTGATTTATTCATTCCATTTTTCTAAATATTTTTTAATTTTAAAACATACAAATTGTAAAAAAATTATAAAAAAATTTCAAATTATAGGAGACAAGACAATTAAATAATGAAACAATTGGACATTGACCCTCGAATAATTCTTCATTCTCGACTTTATCAATTTCGATTTTCGATTAGTTCCTTAACTCTCGATCCCTCGCTCTCGATTTTCCCAATGTTTATTCCAATTTTCTGCACGGATTCCAACCCATCTCACTGATGAGTTGAAATCTAAATCCCCAAGGGGGAATTAATCGAGAAAATAATAAGCAATATCTAAAATAAGTAGATTAGAGAAGTTATGGCTCTAAGGTTGAAGATGATTTAAAGAGCGGAAATAAGATTGGAAAAAATAATTCACTTTTTAATTCTTGAATTGAGAAAGGAAAATGTTGAAAAATAATTTTAATAAATATGCAGATAATAAATTAAATATACATATTAATTTATTAAAAAACAAGTTTAGAAGGAAAGGAACAGGTAAAAATATTAAAGAAGCATTGGTCCGCTTAAATCCCGGAGATTGACGTAAATTAGATAGAATCTTTTTCCTATTTTAATAAATTATGTTTGTAGGTCACCAACTTTTTTAAATAAATTTTCAGAGAAAAAATAAAACAAAATTAATTAGAGGAAAAAATAAATGTATAGTCTGACCCATCTATAAGATACCTCCAAGATACTGGATAAACTTCGTTTTAGGATACGATTTTATAAATTTGATTGGCCATTGGGTGGGGGAGCTGGCTATGTAAGATACATCCCATTAAAGACACCTCTGTTTAAGATACTCTCACTATAAGAGACTTATCCTCATTATAAGATACTCTCAATGCAAGTACACCTCCATTTAAGATATATTTTTAAAATTGAGTTAGCGACTGGGGTGAGGAGTTGCCTAAGCGATATAACTCCTATTTTAGATACTCCTCGTTAAGGATAAAAATAAAAAAATTTTATGCCTTAAGGGGTTGATCTTATAGTGAGGTCCGAATATTTAATTAATTTGTGTGAATATTTTATTTTAAAGAAAATGTACTGAGGAGAAAAAAAACTTTTCAACAGAAGCAAGTTTTTTAAAAATAAAAAGGCTATTAGGGCAAGGGCATATATCCGGGTCTTTTTCTGCTCACCATCAAGGTCTTTCCCTTTCATTTTCTTTCCGATCGGTCAGACAATTTTCTTCAAAGCTCCGCCAATTTTTACAAAGAAGCAACGAAAAAGAAAAGAAAATCGGAGCATTCCTCAACCTCTAGGGCAAATGAAAGTAAAATTAGTTTTGTTTGTCTGATTAGAAAGCCGGTCAAGGAGGAAGGAAGAAAACGGAGGTGCGCGGTGTGAGGGGGGAATGATTGAAAAAAGTAGCTGGCTTGTTCAACTAAAAAAAGATTAAAAAGCAGTAATTTTTAGAGGGTTTTTAAAAATAGGAACGCAAAAGTAAAAGAAAACTAGGGCATGGACAAAATAGCTAAGGAGGGAATTGAAATATTTAAATGAGAATTTTAATTATTTTTAGACAACTTACCATAAATATCCTTATTTAAGCCCAAGCTAATAGAAGCCTATTAAATGAAACCAAATGAAAAATAAAGGCCCAGGGCTTCTATTAGGACAGTTACGGTACAACAGCCAGTGGCCGACAGGTATCTTATAGTGAAAAACAGAGGTATAAAAATTAAATGAGAGGTCTAAAGTTTTTTAAGCTAAGGGAATGTGGGTTGATCAGTTGTTTTTTAAATAGGAGGTATCCTTTAGACATCCCTCCACCTTGTGGCCGATCAAATTCTAAAAAAGCGTATCATATGTTAGACTGAGGATCATTTAATTCTGTTTATATCTTATAGTGAGAAATAAGGGTCTAAAATTAAAACAGAGGTCTAAAAATTTTTTAATATAAGGGTAGATGGTTGACGAGAGAAAGAAAAAAAAAATACAAAAATTCTTCCTAATAAAATCCAAAAAGGAAAATAAATATTTTTTAAAAAATCCTATAAAATCTTCACCATATTTAATGATCAAAAAACATGGATAAATTTAAAAAAGAAAAAATATCCCTCCATCTGTCACCGTTCGAATAAACGAAAAAAAATTAGGCCATCGGATTGAGGTGTATTTATAAAAAGAAAGTATTGGGAAAAATATAAAAAAATATTTTTTTAGTGAACGCAATAAATGACCGAAAATGACCGCCGCTAATGTGAAAGCTAGTAAAATTTTTTCATGTGCAAACTCAGACAGCCGAAAGGGGAGCTAAATATGGGTATTTTAAGGTAAGGGAGAAGAGATTACCAAAAATAGCAACAGAAAAGAGGCAATAAAAAAGAGTTAAGAAAAAAATGTGAAAATGAAATATGAGGGTGGGAAAATTTAAAAAATTTGAAATCTTTAAGGGGAAAATGAATTTACAACCGGACCTCAATATTAAAGACATCCAATATAAGTACAGCTCTAATTAGGATAGGCTTTCTTGAAATTCGGTTAGCTGGTGGGAGTGGAAAGCTTCCTATACGATACACCCTATTCAATCAACATCTCATTATAAGGTATAACCTCATTATTAATATCCCTACTACACCACTATTTAAGAGATGTCCCTACTATGTACACCTCTATTTAAAATATAGTTAATCATGGGGAAAGGGAAGTGCCTACACCCGATTATTTGGCACCTACTTGCTTATACGACACCCAAACTTCATCACAAAATACCTCCTATACTAGACATACCTCATTCTAAGATATGCTTGGGGTGGGGAATTGCCTAAGCTATACTTCCCTATTTAATATACACCTCTTCATAAAGCACGAATTTTTTCAATAACCAAAAGGTGTATCTAAGTAAGGTCCGACTGTAAAATTAAAATTTATTCGTAATCAAAAAAATGTAATAAAATTTGAAAAATAAAAATCTAGAGCAAGCCAAAACAAATAGGAGAAGAAGATCGCTTTTTGAATATAAAAATTCTTTGTCAAAGGACGAGTATATGCCTCGGCTTTTTATTGGAAAGAGAAAGGGAAAAGAGGGGCAATTCGGATTTGTTGAGGAGAAGCTAGAGCTGATTTTCCTTTTTAAAAAAATTTTTTTCTCTCCAAAAGTTCTCTCACTTTTCATTTTTCTAAAAAATTTTTGTTTCGCATGGCTTGTCTTTCTAGATAGTCCGCGCAAACGAAAAAAAAGTGAAAGTAGAACAGGAATTCACCCCCAATCGCTTAATCGCCTAAAGAGTAGATTTATATGCTGAATGACAATGTGAGTATGAGTTGGGAATTTATAGGGAGTTTGGAATAGAGTTGGGAATGGTCATCTGCCAAAATTAGAGAGTGTGTGAATTGGTGAAACAATTAAATTTTTTAAAAAGAAAGTTGGTTTAGGGGGTTTTAAAGTTTCTGGATTAAAAGTTTGTGGGTTGTTAGTGATAGAATGAAAATTAATGTCAAATCAGAAAGATACATATAATCAGAATTTAAAATCAGAACACTTAAAGAGATCACCCCTTTTTCAAGGACTTCAAGGGATAGATACTGGTCCTATTCAAATACAGCCTTACTTCAGTGTAGGATATCACTTTAGAATATAAAATACCCCTTTCTTCAAGGATGTGCCGATTCCTCAAGGAGAAAAATGGCTAAACTTGATTTAAAATCGAAATACGTAAGGCCCCTGTAGTTCCCCTCTCAGGGCAAGTCAATATTTTAAAGTTAAGTTGTATCTAATTTTGGAGGTAATAGGGTTGTCGGGACGGGAAAATCCTCGGATATCCGAAACTGAACCGAACCGAAGACCAAGTCCGAGGATTTTAGGCTCTTCAATCTGATTAGAACCAGGGGATAGAGCCAAGGGACTTGGCTTTCTTAGAGCTAACTGTCTTATTGAGAATAACTTATTTTTGAGAGTATCTTATAGTAGAGATTTGGCACATTGGTAATTAAAAATAAAATAATTTGAAATATTGAAATACGAAAGACCCCTATAGTTCCTATCACAGGAGAAGTCAATATTTTAAATTTGAGTTGTTTCTAATTTTGGGGGTAGGGTTGTCGGTTCTTGGAAAATCATCGAATATTCGGAACTAAACAAAACCGAAGACCAATGGCGAGGATCTTTCGGCTCTTAGATTCGGTTACGAACCAAGGGATAGAACCAAGGGGCATGGCTTTTTGGAGCTAACTGACCTTATTGAGAATACCTTATAGTAGAGATTCGGCACATTGCTAATTAAAAATAAAAGAATTTAAAATATTTGAAGGAAAAAATTTTTTTATTCAAAATTTACAAATTCCATTTGTGTGTAGCTAACTGATCAAAAAATATTTCTATTCCCGAATTTTTTCAATTATTTATATTTATTTATTTGTCGATTGTTGGTCTCTTCCCCCAATTTTTTTGCTAATTTTTTTGTGGGTCGTTCGTTTTCCTTTCCATTTTTTCTTTTTTCTAACCGATTGAATGTTCGGATTTTTTATATCTTTTTGGTTTGTCTGGGTCAAATTGAGGAGGGGGGGGGGTTTAAAATTGCGAGAGAGAGAGAGAGAGGGAATTTTTAAATACAAGAAAGGAGGTTGGGGATCGCTTTTCTGGAGTTTTTTGAAAAGGGGAATTGAGAGGGAAAGGTTTAACGAGAAAATAGAAAAAGGATCATTTCAATTCTTAAAAGTAAAATTTTAAATAAAAATAAAATTTTAATAAAATTGAAAAAAAAAGAAAAATTTAATGAAAATTAGGTTTACCGTATTTTCTCGATCAATTCCCCTGTGTGGTTCTTGATCGTTTATTAAATGTAGATGGGAATAATGCTAAAATCGAATTCGAAAATTTCTAGATTTAGACAAAGGAACGACGTACAAAGTTTGAACTCTAAGTATTCGAAATTACTCGATCGAGTATCTGAGTGGTCTGATCCTCCAATTTTCGGATTCAATCTGATTTTTAAAATGCTTGAGTTCTAGCCAAATCCTCGGTGGAATTAATAGGTGGTAGGGGATAAAATAGGGGATATAAGTGATCTAAAATAGGGGATAGGGGATCTCAGTAGGGATTTCAAAGGGGGATGGGGATCTAAAATAAGGGGATAAATAGGGTATCTCAGTAGGGGATTTTAAAAGGGAGATTTTAAAGTAGAGATCTTAGTGATCTTAAAAAATAATCATTTTCAGTAAATAAATATTTCTAATTTCCACTAAAACAATATAAAAATTAAAATTAATTAAAATAAATTAAAAAAAGAGGACAAAAAAGGTCAAATATTTGCTATATTCTCGTTCGATAAATGTGCAATTTTTCTGAGTTTTTCACTAGTAATCAGAGGAAAAATAAAAACTAAAAAAAGGGCGGACGAGGTCAAATAGTACAAGAATGGACGGGAGATGGGTCACAACACACAATTGGCAACAGATGGGGGGCAAGAGTGGATTTAAGCAAAAAATGGGGGAAAGATTGAAGAGAAATGAGAAGAAAAATGTATACAAAAACTCAAAACTCTCTTCTCTTTTTTGAGCAACAGATGACGCCATTAGGGCCCGTTCTTCCGTTCCTTTTTATGTTAATTCTTGTTGAATCTTTGTAAAAGAATTTTTTTGATTAATAAACGGACAGAGAGGAAATCTTGCAAAAATTTGGATTAATCAGATGGAGATTTTTCGAGATACCTATCTTGAATTTCGATTGATCTTCAAGTCCGGTCTCTAATTTTATGAAAAATTTTAAATATTTTATGGAGAATAAAAGAGTTCTATTACAGTCAAACCTGACTATAACGTAATCTCTTTGGTCTTAATCAAGGAGCGGATCCTGGAAGATCTCCGAATATTAGGACTCGTTTCATACTTGGATATCCATATCCGCCAACCTAATCTGAAAAATATTAAGTAGGTTATCTCTTTTGCAGCTTCCCCGCGCTGTGTTTAATTAAATTCTGAAAAATGTATCTTATCTAGTATTAGGAATGTAAGTAATTATCTAACCAAACATTTACATATCAAATTTTGCTATTTATAGAACATCCATTAAGTAGGATTTGGATAGCTTTTGAGGCATTTGGTTTTTTCCTTCAATTATTAGGAAAGAATGAGAATAAATTTTGGAGGTCATTCCATTACTGATGAGGTCATCGTCGGCCATAACAATAAATGGGCCGATGGCCTAGAAGAATGCAAAAAAAAAGCAACGATGTTCGAGGGCGAGGGGAAAATGTAAATATGTTTAAGAAATGGTTCGAGAAGAGATGAACGAATATATTTAGTTGGACCTCTCTATTAGACACCTCTCAATATTAGATACCTTCTATGTAAGATACCCTCAGATTAAGACTCAGACCTCATTAAGATGCCCCAGCACTATAAAACCTCAATTTAGGTTATGTTTGTTTAAAGTGAACCCTCTATATAAGGTACCCTCATTATAACGGACGATTTCTGAGTCCAATGGGTTGAGGATTAATTAGATCAGACTGCATAGTTAAATATCAAAAATGCTTATTTTTCAGTATCAGACTTGAAAAAAATGAACCTTAGAACGAATAATAATTTTATAATCTACTACATAATACTCATATGTATTGTTAAATAATGTTTTATCACTATAATCAAATGCCTTTCTTTTTTCCAAAATCCTTTCTTTTTCCAGTCTGATTGCGCGGTTTGACCTCTGAAATTTAAAATTTGATTAAATTTTAATTTCAAAATACCTTCAAGTTCATGATCATTTTCTTCAAGTGATTTAGGCAAAAAAATTTTCTCATCATCATCACTTTGAACTACCTATATTTGTTTAAAATTAAACTGATCTTTAATGACCATAAATTGTCTGTGTCTAAACTAGCCGTGGCTAACAAAATTGCAATTTTTAGTTGCAGATGGGCGTTTGCGGGTTTTAAAATTAGATGGTGGTTGCGAAAAATTTTTTTCCCTTTCCCGAAAATCGCAGATTCATTTCTTTAATCGGCAGTATTTTTATGTCTAGCATTGGGAAGTATCTTATACATTTTGGTTTTGCTTACCTCCGTTTCTTCATCATTATCATTCTGAATTAATAAAATTAAATCTCTTTATCTTACTGAGGTCTCTTAAGCTTAGGATATCTGATTTCGGGTTATCTAACATGTAAGGTCTACCTAAATAGAGGATATCGCCTTCCATCCAGTGGCCAAGCTAATTTTAGAAACCGAAAAATACGCTCGTAGTACTGTACGGTCCGATCACTAATTGTAAAATCTTTGAACTCTCACCTGAATATTTGAACTCTCTCCAGAATGAGTAGTATTCCCCGGATATTGCATTGATGATTGAACCGGATTATTTTGGTGCCAATAGTGATAAAGTTGTTGGTCCCATCCTGGTTGATACTGGTGATAATGATGAGTGCCATAAGCCAAGTCGTCTGGAGGCAAAACCTGTGGTGGCGGGGGTCCTGGTGGGTGCATTGCAGGATAATAAACACTTAAGATATGCATTTTAAACAGTAAATTAAATTTGAATATACGCTGGTGGTGGATGAGGCAAAATTGGATGCAGTTGAACAGCTGGTATAAAGGGAGGAGGAGGAGGTGGTGGATGATGAAACATCATAGGTGGTTGAGGATGTAAAATAGGAGGAGCTAAAAATTAAAAAATGTAATCATGCAGATTAAAACCTCACTATAAGATGCCCTCTATATCGGATAGCCTTTATTTTAATATATAAATTTAAAACCCCGAGCTGGACACCAATAAAAAATATTTCTGCAGCTTCAATCCTTAAATAAAAATCCACCCAACCCTCAAACCTCAGTCCGCAATCCGATATTTCGTCCAGCTCTGGTCCCGAGGGGTCTTATAGTGAGATTCGAATTGATAATAATTTATTTTTAACGTATAAAAATATGTAACACACGATAATATATAGGAGGATGTTGTCCAGGTGGGTAGTAATTATGCTGTCCGTGTTGTTCATATGGATGATGTTGCTGATTACCTTGTTGACCTTGTGGTCTTTCTATAAAATATTTACCGAATTTATTAAACAATAGGAATACTCTCTTATGTTCCTATAGAAAATAACTCACGATTACGAGGCATCGCATCAATCAAAAGCAAGCAAAAACTTGCACCAAACATCAATTTTATAAAGTAATACATTACAAAAATTTAATTGTTGAAATATACTCGAGACTTTTCTAGAAAATATTTAAAAATACAGTCGGATCTTGTCCGTTTATAATATCCTTTTGGAGCTTAAAAATATCTCTTGGGGCTAAACAATACGGAGTATATGGAGGGGGTATATCAGTTTAACAAAAAATGTTCTTGCCGCATAGTTAGAGGTTTATAAGAAAATTATCATGTAGTATATGATGTTTAAAAAAATCAGACTGTTTTAAACAGTAAAATTTAAATAAAATTTTAAAAGTACTTGTTTGAATTTGCTATGAAATTCATGTGAACAACTTAATAAGTTTAAAAATATTTTAAAAGAATTCTTATGAAATCAAGAAATATTTTTTGGGGGTTAAGTCTGGCCTACTATTATGTATAAAATTGTAAAAAGAGTCTCTTATAATGAATGTCTATTATATAGAGAGTGAAACTCTCTTAAATCTTTCTATCCTTAATATGGAGGATTAAGAGCCTCTTGAATAGAAAGAGCCATCTTTCAAAGACCGTATCTTCTAATAGAGGTTTGCCTAGTATTGGGTGTCTTTTGTATAGAAGTTATTTCATAATTAAAAATACTTTTATAAAGGCAAAATTTATAAAGAAAAAAAATTTTTTAATGGAGAGACTTTAGCAATGCCATTTAATAGACAACAGCATATCCAATGCCTTCACTCGATACATATTATGAAATAATTTTTTAAATAAAAATTAAAGCAATTATTGAGAAAATTTAATTGATTTAATTTTATCTTTAAAGGAAAATTTTAAAATAAAAATTAATTAAAAGAAAAAAATAAAATTAAATTAAAAAAAATTAATTAAATTAGTAATTTCAGCAGCTAACAAGTTCAAGGTGTTCTTCAGTAAGTATCACTAGGAGGTAATGATTGCTGTTGGCACTCCTTCACCTTGCCAAAAGAAGAGAAATAAGCTGGAAACTCCCAACACTTCAATTTGCGTTAGCCACTGAGTTGGAGAGTTCCTGAAGCGATACCTTCTATTTAGTATACTCCTAATTATAAGGTACGATTTTTCTACCCGAAAGATGTATCTTCGAATAAGTAGGGCTGGGAAAAACTAGCAAATGCTTGTGTTGTATGCTGATATGCTATGATAAGAGAAGCCAAAAATGGTGTTTTTGCATTGTTTTGAGCATTTTAGTATCCAGTTCTTAATGATATTTTTGCAGAATTTGGAACTTACTTGCATAATTGAATTTTTGAAAAAATTTGTAGTCTCATTTTGCGACAACATCTCTCTTACAAAAAACATAAACTTAATTATAAGACCATTTTAAGATACACTGGGAAGGGAGTTTTTGAAGAGATACCTTCTATTTAAAATACAACTCATTATAATAGACAAGGATTTTAACACCTAGGAGTATCTTATAACGAAGCTATAGGGGAAAACAGAGTTGCAACATTGAAGGGCGTGTGTGTGTGGTAATCAGAAAAGAATGTTTACGTAAATTGCAACTCGAAAATAGTCGTAATTACTTCGAAACTCCTCGACAGGATTTAAAATTTTTTAAATAAATTTCTCAACTTTTTAAATTTTAAAATTAAATTTCAAAACTTTTAAATGTCTGTGGGAAAGGACAATAATAATTTAAGGCAATAATGACTTTTAAGAATAAAAGGACATATAAAATAATGAAATCGGGAGAATAAAAATAGATTTTTTGAATTCTTCGAATTATTATTAATAAAAATGCTAAAAATAATTTTATTTATTTTTTATTTTATTTTTATTTTGTTGAAAACTAGTGAAGGTGTTTTGGAATCAAAAAATGGTTTTTAATTAATTATAAAAATTAAAAAAATCCGCCGACCTCCTCTAAAGTTGGAGGGTTAAACTAGGGGAGAGTCGACTTTAAATAAATATCTTTATGTAAAACAGAGGTTTAATAGATTAATGTATGCAATTCAGAGAGTATAAAACAGCTCTCCCCAATAAGATTAACGGACTCTGGGGAATCCCGGGTATCCGAATCCGGAACCTACCCTTTAGAGGCGAATACAAATAGTTACGTAAAATAGATTGTATACGTAAATAGACTTCTATTTTATTGTCTCCGATAATGAGAGTAGATTAGATAGAAGTTGAACTTCATTATATGATACTCCCTTGGGGCTTAAAAAATTGTCGCTTATAATGAGTACAGATGTATCCTAAGGTAATGGGCTATTTAATAGAGAGGTTTGGCTATATATAATCTGAAAAATTATTTCAGAAAGCAATACAAATCCAAACAAAAATCCAACATCATCAACCAAACAAGAAAACGAGGACAAAGAAAATGTCCCAATTTTGGGTTGATTTTAAATTAATTAATCAATTAATTTGATCATTTTAAGCCAATTTACCAGACGAAATTAAAAAAGGAAAAATACCAGAAAATCAGAAAATAAAATCAGAATTCATTTTTAAAACACCGGAAAAAATTAAAAAAGAAAAAAATGTTAAGAAACTTAAAAAAAACAAGAAAATTAAGATAAAGAAAAACCCAAGGGTAACTAGACGCTTGGTTTTTGAAGGAGAGAATAGTGAGGGAAATAAAGAAAATAAAGATGTTAATAGTCCAATAAAGGATGAAAAAAATGAGTCAACAAAAATGGGTTTTTTAAATTTTTTGTTTAGAGTAAACCTCGGTATAAGAGACACTCAATATTAGATATATCCTAAAAATAGATTACCCAAGGGGATATTTAAGATACCTCTCATTATTAAAGACACCTCATTATAAGAGACACCTCTTTATAAGATACTCTCGCTATAAGATACTTAACCTCATAAGATACACCTCCATTTAAGATACCTCCATATAATATCTCCATATCTAAGATACCTCCATATCTCCATATAATATACACCTCCATATAATATCCATTTAAGATATAGGATCCATTTAAGATCCTAATAGTCTGCTGGCCATTTGGTGGTGGACGCTGTCTAGGCGATACCTTCTATTTAATATACAATTCATTATAAGAGACAATTTTCATACCCCTAGGGTTTATCTTATAATGAGGTTTTCGACTTTACGTTTGAATGATTTATTAAAGAAAATTTGAATGATGAAGAAATCGAAGTAACAACCCCAGAAGAATGGAAAATAGTGCCAGAAAAGGTTGACTTTTCGTTTTATCCAAAGGAAGAAAATCAGAAGGCTTCTGAAAAATTAAATGAAAAGGAGAAGGGAGAGAGTTCAAAAACTAAAAATTCTGAAGTTGATTTATTTTGTGATGAAAAATTGGATTTAAATGAAGGTTATTGAATTGAGGAGGAGTGTGGATGTATTTAAGATTTAAGAAATATATTTTTTGAAAAATGAATTTTAAGTAGTAAAATTATTTTAAATTAAAATTTGATGCAAAATAAATTTTTTTAAATTTATTTTTAATTTAAGTCAAAACTCAAGGATGCACCCTTGGGGATGAAAAATAGCCCCTTATAGGGTTGTCGTATCTTGAAAATCTTCGAATATCCGGAACCAAACCGAAGAACCAAACCGAAAAATCATCGGTTCTTCGGTTTGGTTTGGTCCAGAACCTAGTCTCTTATAATGAGGCGTTGATCAGCTCCCCAATAAGTAGGCTGAGCAGGCTGAATTTTAAAAAGCAGGCTGAATTTAGCAGGCTGAATTTAAAAATTCAGCCTAAAGCAGGCTGAATTTTAAGAAAACGTAACTTAAAAGGACGTCATCTTGTATTATTTTGAAAGCGATTTAATCAAAAGATTTATCCGATAAAGATTTTTCTACCCTCTTAGACCTTGTAAACATCAGACAGTCAAAAAAGCCGCTTAAAGAAACGGAAGGAAGTTGCGAAATCAAAATTTCATTAAAAGAGAATTCCGCCTTACCAATTTTATAGAAAATTTCTCTTTTAAAATCGCTTTCCGGCGGCCTATGTCCAAGAGAAATGATGGCCAAACAACCCTAATCGCCTAAAAACGAAAGTGCCTATTTTATGAGTTTTGAGGAAACCTTGCCCAATCGCTTCTAATTTTACTAAACCATACAGAAAAACGGTAAAATTGAAGTTCGTATACCCCCTCCTTTCTTTCCATAAAATATTAAAAATTCAGACTTTGCAAAAATAATAACTTTTAAAAATTCCAAAAAAACTTCCCTAATTTAACCAAAATCAACACCTTGAATTTTCATATCTTCCAGGGTTGTTAGGTCATCGTCTAGTATTTTGAAAATTCTAAATTTTGAAAGATTTGTTTGTAAACAAAATGTCTATTAATTCTCGCTGTCGCAAGACGCAAAGGCGGCATTTATACATATAAACACCATAACACAAACTACCTTACATTGACATATAAGGGCATTAAAGCAAATAACACTTGACTATATTTTTTTAATTAATCAATTTATTTGACAAAAAAATTTTTTTATTTCTTATAAAGATTTATAAATTTAAAATTAAAAATTTAAATTAAAAAATTTAAAATGTTTAAATTTTTTATTTTTATTCTCCTTTATTTATTTTTTGTTTTTGTGCTGAAAGTGGAAGTTGTTGAAGGTGGAATTACTCCTAAAGGTTTTAATCTAGTTTAAAATAATTTTTAAAATAGAGAGGCCAACCCCTTCCAGAAAAAAAGCAAAATATTAGAGGACTTGTCTTAAGAG